GATTTAACAAAAATTATTTGATTTTCAAATATCTCCTGTAAAACAATTGATGACGACAAGTCCGACGGACACTCTCAGAATCCAGATGGCATTCTTTTTTTAAATATTTTCTTCTCATATCTCTTTCACATTTCTTCAAACTTTTGCTTTTTTCATTAATTTCTGAGCTTCAAGTGAAGAGTTTCAAAGATCTGTTGAAGCTGACTTGTAACTTATTTTCATTTTGTTTTCTTGCAAATGTGTGGAACGGTCGTGCTCCTGTCTCATCTCTCTCTATCTCTCTCCCTTCCACAGACTTCTCTACTTCCATCTTACACACACACACATCTTTATTCATTCTCTCACTTCATTATTATTTCATTTTCTCTTTATCTTTCTCTCTCTCTATCTCTATCTCTCTCTGTATCTCTTTATCTCTCTCTCTCTCTCTCTTACTCTCGTATTTTCTCTTCAAAGAATCTTCTTTTTTCAGAAGTGTCCTAAACTAATTTTAGAATTTCGAGATACTTGACTACGAGAAACGAAGGTAAACGTTTTCGTGTCATCGCTATTATCAGGCGATAGTGATACTGAAGATAACTCTGATAGCACTCAGGTTTGAAAAAAAAAGTAAGAAGAGAAAGAATGATAGATAGATAGAACGAGAGACAGAAGAAGGTAGAAGAAATGACTGAGGAGAGAGAGATAGAGCCTGAAGTCTGTGTTAACACGGTCAACCCCAAATCATTTTTGAAAAACTGTTTAAGTGAACTAGGATTATCTGTTTTCCCCGTTTATTAAAGAACACCACATCCACAGTGATAGAGAGAGGAAGAGATAGATAGAAAGAACCCCTATAGTACCGAGAGCATTTGAAATCTTTCTCTTCCGTCTTCTCTACCATTATCGAAGGCGAATCAAACTTATTACAACTTTCAAGTTGATGTTCTTCTGCAGGCTGGGAATAGCATCATTGCTTTCCTTCTCTCCATTCATCGACTCTACCCCCCTCCTTCCCTTCGCCTTCGTACAACTTCAGTGTGCTGTGTCCTTTTCCATTTTTCAATTTGTCATCCTGTTACAGTTCTTTTCTCCTTCTTTTTTTTTTGAGGACCTTTTCGAGAGTTTTTGCAATTTCTTGTTGAAAAGGACTGTTCTCTCCCTGTTTAGTTGATCTGATGAGATGTGCACGAGGTATGGTGGCATGATCGTCTTTTTGTGAATTTTTGAAAGCCAATGCCATTTTTCTTTCCATCTTCCTCATTCCAACCCTTTCTAGCTGTCTTCTTCCTTCTCTCTCTGTAATCACCTGATGAGAATTAACATCGTTGAGAGAGGAGGAAAAACCTTCAAAGAACAGCTGGAATGAGATGATGTTCTTTCAAATTTCAAAAAAAACACATTTTTTGTCCTCTGTCATTCAGCACAGAAACTTGATGTTGTTTTTCAAACAAACATTGTTTTGCTACTTGTTTTCAGTAGATTCTGAAGAGAATACTGAAGTTGAGACAGTGATAGAGAGAGTAATATAGAGAGAGAGAAGAGAATGTAAGAAAATACATTGTCAGTGAGAGATGGGAGAAGCCTTTCTCACTCGTCAACTCCATGCTTCTTACTTGTTGAGGTGAGGCTTACGAGGTTTTCCCCTCAATTTTCTGTCTCATTTCTCAGCAAACTCTCTTCAAACGTTCTTCTCTCTCATAACAACTTTTCGATATCTTTTCGACGATCTCAGTGAACTGAAGAAAAAAGATAGAAAAGATTGAAAAAAAAAGAAAAAAAACGATGGAAGATGTGTAAGCAATGGGACTTTTGCCTCAAGGTAAATCTGTTAGGACAACTGTTTCTTCAGCCATTTGCCACAAAATTCTTGTGCCTTTCATTCTCTCTTCTTCCTTCATGCTCTCTCTATCTCTCTCTCTTTCCCTCTCTCTCTTTTCAATCTTTTTTGAACACAAAGAAAAGCTTCGATATTTTTGAGTTTTGTATGAGGAAATCTGTCTTTATCTCTGAACTCTCTGCCACAACATGTACTACAGGCTCATCCATCATTTCATGTTTTTTGTCAGCTCAGCCACCTATAACATTCCGGAGGGAAAAGAATTCGTTGGAAGAATTGCCTTTCCGATTTGCTTCCTTAACCTCAGCTTCTTTCTTAGAACCTAACAGCGCTCTAACTTCCATTTTCTCTTTCTTCCTCACTCTCTCTCTCTCTATGTATATATCTATTCTGTCATTCATTCCCAATCAAAGTCTTTTGGTAGAAACTTCGGCAAACGAATTTGTTTGACCTCTGTCTGCCTAGGAGTCAATTCTCGTTTATTTCAAAAATCAAATATCAAAATGAAATTTTTGTTTTGAAATTTGAACTTTCAAGTTTAAAAATCGAGAACACTAAAGCTAATCAGAGAATTATTCGTTTGTTGAAGCATTTGAAGGTCTGAGAGGAGAAGCAGATGCATCATGAAAGCCAGTCGAAATACAATCACATCAGCAATGGTTCCAAGCTTTTTCTGATAAAAAAAGTAATAATTTGGAACATAAAATGGAACTTTCTTTTGCCATCTTGAGCAGTCTGCGCTATGGGCCATCAAAACGTTTGAGCTTATGCAAGGTTTTAAAGTCAAAAAGCCGTAAAAGTTGTAATATCGTCGACGACGAGGTGGATGCCAAGCCATACGGCAGGATCTTTGTTTCCGAAAGACATGAAGAAAGAGAGGCTCAGAAAGAGTGATAGAGAGAGAGAGAGAGAGAGAGAGAGAGATGAGATGAAAGAATGAGAAAGAGGGAGAGAGAGAAAGGATCGGATGACTACGTGTTCTTTCTTCAAGCTTCTCCTCATCCCGGCTTCTTCTTCATCTTCTTCTTCTTCTTCTTTTTTTTCCGCAACCCAGACGATATTGTTTTGAAAAATGAAAATTTTGCAACTGAATAAGCTTATCTACCTTATCAACGGTGTGTTGTACTGTTTTCAAAAGTGATTTTGCGCCAGCTTTTTCATTGATCACAAAAAGGAACTGACGCAGTTATCGAATGATTTCTATCTTTTTATAAAATGTTCAAGATGAACTATAGTAAGTGCAGTCGTCATTTGCCCTTTTGCGTCACATGTGTGACGCAAAACAATTTTTATCGTTCATAATTTCTTATTTCTACTTACTCTTATCATTTAATCAGTAGATAATTGATTAAAATATTCATATTTATTCAGCTTCTTAGAAAAGCTTCTCTTTTAAAAGATCAGTCTCATACACACATGTTACCCCTTTCACTCTTATCCTTGTACATACATAGACATCAACAATGGCTTCCATGAACATACACTATCGATTTACCTGTTACAACCTCTCCCTTACGCAAATAGCTTTTCCTGCTGCTATTTTCCTTTTAAGACCACGCTTCTACTCTAACAATACAATAAGGTTGCTATATTGGAATCAACATAGAGAGAGAGGACAAATGAGAAGAAGATAACTTGATGATCATGATTTTTCATTCAATATCTCACTGTCTCCTCATCTTCATCTTATTATCTCTCTCTCTTTCTCTCTTCTTCCTTTCTTTTTAAGTTTTCATTCTCTAACTCCGGTGCACAGAGTCTGGCATTTTGGACGTCGCACCGATTATTACACCGTCAAGTTCATCGCACAAATAACCCTCGGGAACCCGTTGCTTTTCCCTCAAGTTGAAAGCTGAAATTCCATCTTTCAAAGAGAAAAGATAGAGAGAGAGAGAGAGAAGGATCTTCTGTTTCCATTTGACTTCTTTCCATTACAAGTTTTGAGCCAGGAAATGTGTCTTTAAAAGGAAGTTTTTTTTTCTCTCCTCATCTCATCCATAGAGAGAGGAAGAGAGGGAGAGAAGGAACGTAAGTTGAAGGATTTGCAGATCAAACACAGATCTCTATCGAAGAGAGAGAGAGAAGGAGATAGAGAGCTTTAGTGAAAATGCATGGAAAGCTGAAGCAAGAAAAGAAGCTTTGAACAGAAGATGTTTTGACTTAACTTTCAATCAAAAACTTCAATTGAAGAGAGAAAGCAGCTATTTATCATGGATTTATATTTGAGTTTGTGTAAAATATACATACAACTCCAAGGGTTCCTCCTACTTCACCACTCGACAACAAAACAAAATTTTATTTCAGGTATTTTGATGGAAACATCTGTAAAACAACAGCTTTATGTGCAACTATCAACACAATAGTTTATCTTCCAGACTATTGGCTCCTCTAGTAATCGCAAGCTTCTTCCTGGTTATATTGTGTTTTTCTTAAGTCAGGTGTTGTTAGCTTACAGCACCTCTTGTTAAGAAGGCTTCTCTTCTCACATCCCCACAAACACACACACACAAAATCCTCCTTCATCTACACTCGTTCTTACTTCTTACTACAACTTTCAGTCATTCAGTCTTTCTTACTCAGACATCATTCTTCTCACTCCTTACATGTTGACCTTGAGCGTTCAAGGACTGTGCGTTTAGGTCCTACAACGATTTCACAGTAGACAAATATACGATGACGTTTATAATGTACTGGTCACTTTAAAGTACCGTTCTGATCTTTGTATTCGGATTTTTCAAATTCTTTATTCATTTCAATATTACTAGCTTTCTTCTCTCTTACCTCATTCTATCCTTCTTCCATCAAATGCTGTCAATTCACCTTTCTTTAAAGAACGCTCCGATCTTTGTACGTACGTTACCATTTATCATCATGTCCTCTGTTAGACAACGTCATCCTTGTTGAAAAGAAATTTAGAGAGCTTTTACTCTAATCTGTGCTCGTTTTTAATGATTATTCCATTTATCACATTGATTGTTTTTACATTCAGCACATGTTCTTGATTAGAATATCCTCTTCTCGAGGTTCTCGTATATCCTGCCATCTGTTGTCAGTGTGCACTCTCTTTTTATTTGCATTTCGTTGTTTTCACTTCTCAAACTTTTCATTTTATGATCAAATATTCCACTTTATCAGTTTTTGTTTCAGAAACGCCGTAAACTCTTGGGTAACTAGTCCAAATATGGAGGACGCGCACAGTAAATCGGCCCAAGAAGTAAGATTTTCGTTTGTTATTCCCTAATGTTTACATAATTGTTCAGGTCTGCCGATTCTTCGGAACCGGAGATGATGGTTTATCCGATGATCAAGTTGAAAAGCTTCGTGAGAAATATGGAGCCAACGGTCAGTTCGTTCTCAAGATACTGTAGCAATCAGACATTTCAGAATTGCCTGCTGAGGAAGGCAAAACCATCTGGGAACTCATTCTAGAACAGTTCGACGATCTCCTTGTTAAAATCTTGCTCTTGGCCGCTATTATTTCTTTCGTAAGTTTTCTGTCGTTTAATACTTAATGGTCCATTCATTTTATAGGTACTCGCCCTCTTTGAGGAACATGAAAACCAAACCGAAGCCGTCACTGCCTTCGTTGAACCATTTGTCATTCTTCTCATTCTTATTGCTAATGCTACCGTCGGAGTATGGCAGGTTTGTTAAGTCCCCTATTCTCTTCTTAAATTGCTCGTATCGTGCCTCAATGCATGCCAGTTTGTAAAGATTGTGCTATCAGCTAAGGGTTGATAACACTTAAGACTATGATCAGTGTAAAGATTGATAAGCCTCAATTTTTGAGGGTGGGAGAATAAGTAGCCATCTACTGACATATGCTACTTGAGCACTATTAAATAAGACAGTTGTTGAAGGGAAAATCATTATGACCTTTTATAGGAACGTAACGCTGAATCCGCTATTGAAGCTTTAAAGGAATATGAACCCGAAATGGCTAAGGTTGTTCGCGCCGGTAGTCACGGTATTCAAATGATCAGAGCCCGTGAACTCGTTCCCGGAGACTTGGTTGAAGTATCAGGTTAATTACCATATTTGAGACTAATCTCATTGTACTATTTACAGTCGGAGACAAAATCCCAGCTGATCTTCGCCTCGTCAAGATTTACTCCACCACTATCAGAATTGATCAATCTATTCTTACTGGAGAATCTGTTTCCGTTATCAAGCACACCGACTCTGTTCCCGATCCACGTGCCGTAAACCAGGACAAGAAGAACTGTCTGTTCTCTGGAACTAATGTTGCTTCTGGAAAGGCTAGAGGAATCGTTTTCGGAACCGGATTGAACACCGAAATCGGAAAAATCCGTACCGAAATGGCCGAAACTGAATCTGAAAAGACCCCTCTTCAACAGAAACTCGATGAATTCGGAGAGCAACTTTCCAAGGTTATCTCCATCATTTGCGTTGCTGTATGGGCTATCAATATTGGACACTTCAACGATCCAGCTCACGGAGGATCATGGGTTAAGGGAGCCATCTATTACTTCAAAATCGCTGTTGCTCTTGCCGTAGCTGCTATTCCTGAAGGTCTCCCAGCTGTCATCACTACCTGTCTTGCCCTCGGAACCAGAAGAATGGCCAAGAAGAACGCTATCGTTCGTTCATTGCCATCTGTTGAGACTTTGGGATGTACTTCCGTCATTTGCTCCGATAAGGTATTAGTTATACTCGAAAACATAAGCTCAATGTATTCTTCAGACCGGAACCCTCACCACTAACCAAATGTCCGTCTCCAAGATGTTCATTGCTGCCAATGCTGCCAACGACAAGATCGATTTCCACGAGTTCACCATCTCTGGATCCACCTATGAACCATCCGGAAAGGTTTCGTACAATGGAAAAGAAGTGAGTATTGTAAACTAGTACGTGTTTACTTCTAGTGTTCTAGATCAACTGCTCCAGCGGAGAATTCGAGGCTCTCACTGAATTGGCTATTATTTGTTCTATGTGTAACGACTCTGCTGTTGACTACAACGATACCAAGAAGGTTTACGAGAAAGTCGGAGAAGCCACTGAGACCGCTTTGGTTATCCTTGCTGAGAAGATGAATGTTTTCAACACCCCCAAGAATGGACTTTCTCCCCGTGATTTGGGAAATGTCTGCAACCGTGTCATCCAACAGAAATGGAAGAAAGAGTTCACTCTCGAATTCTCTCGTGATCGTAAATCTATGTCTGCTTATTGTGTCCCAACTAGCGGAGGAAACGCTGCTAAGATGTTCGTCAAGGGAGCTCCAGAAGGAGTTTTGGGAAGATGCTCTCATGTTAGAGTTAACGGACAAAAGGCTAGTATATGCTAAACTGGGACTGTTTAACTTTTATTTTTCTTAGGTTCCACTCACTCAAGCTATGACCCAGAGAATTGTTGACCAATGTGTCCAATACGGAACTGGACGTGATACTCTTCGTTGTCTCGCTCTCGGAACCATCGATGCTCCAATGAGCCCATCCGACATGAACCTCGAGGAATCTGCACTCTTCGCCAAGTATGAGAAGGATATCACCTTCGTTGGTGTTGTTGGTATGCTTGATCCCCCACGTACTGAGGTATGTTCCACCTAATTGAACCAGTTTAATTGATTGTTGTAGGTTTTCGACTCCATCAAGGCTTGTAACCATGCCGGTATCAGAGTTATCATGATCACTGGTGACAACAAGAACACCGCTGAAGCTATCGGAAGACGTATCGGACTCTTCGGTGAGAACGAAGATATCACTGGAAAGTCTTACACTGGACGTGAATTCGACGATCTCCCAGCCGAACAACAATCTGATGCTTGCCGTCGTGCTAAGCTCTTCGCTCGTGTCGAACCTTCCCACAAATCTAAGATTGTCGATATCCTTCAAAGCCACGGAGAAGTAAGTATCAAACATTCTTACAATTTCAAATCAAATATTATAGATTACTGCTATGACTGGTGACGGAGTTAACGACGCCCCTGCTCTCAAGAAGGCCGAAATCGGTATTTCTATGGGTTCCGGAACTGCTGTAGCTAAATCTGCCTCTGAAATGGTCTTGGCTGATGATAACTTCACTTCCATTGTCGCCGCTGTTGAAGAAGGACGTGCCATCTACAATAACATGAAACAATTCATCCGTTACCTTATTTCCTCCAACGTCGGAGAAGTCGTCTCCATCTTCATGGTCGCTGCTCTTGGTATCCCAGAAGCCCTTATCCCAGTCCAACTTCTCTGGGTCAACTTGGTTACTGACGGTCTCCCAGCTACTGCTCTTGGATTCAACCCACCTGATCTTGATATCATGGACCGTGCTCCAAGATCTGCTCACGATGGACTTATCTCCAAATGGCTCTTCTTCCGTTATCTTGCTGTCGGAAGTATGATTTCTTATTTGAAAATCTTATTAAATTCTAATCTTTAGCATACGTCGGAGTTGCCACTGTTGGTGCTTCCATGTGGTGGTTCCTCCTTTACGAGGAAGGACCTCAAATCAGCTATTACCAACTCACTCACTGGATGCGTTGCGAGGTATGGTTTCTGTGGCAAACGATGTTTCATTTTTGCACTTCTAGATTGAGCCAGAGAACTTCGCTGACCTCGATTGCGCCGTATTCGAAGATAACCACCCTAACGCCATGGCTCTCTCTGTACTTGTAACAATCGAAATGCTCAATGCTATCAACTCGTAAGACGGAGCTTTTTTTGTTTTTTCGTAACACGGAAGTTTAGTTTGTCTGAGAATCAATCTCTCTTCGTCATGCCACCATGGAAGAACATCTGGTTGTTGGCTGCTATCACTCTTTCGATGTCTCTTCACTTCGTTATTCTTTATGTTGACATTTTGGCCACCATCTTCCAGGTTATTTTTGTTATTGTCTTCCATCTTAACGAAGTATTCTACAGATCACTCCTCTTGGATGGGCTGAATGGGCTGCCGTCTTGAAGATCTCTTTACCTGTATTACTTCTTGATGAAGTTCTCAAGTTTATCGCCCGTAACTACATCGATGGTAAGCCTGAAACACCAGGGGCTAAAGTTAAAGCCATTCTTTCCCTTGTGTTCTGGGGAGGAATCTGGTTTGCTTACTTCGGATGGATGCTTGGACCTTATGCTGCTTCTATCGAAAGAGCTCTTAAGGGACCAGTTTCACTCGAAGAGACCTATAAGCATTCCGAGTTATAATCGTGTGATTTATTAACCTTTCTGATGTGTCTAATACGGTTTTCTGGTATGAGTAACAGATACGCAATGATTTCTATTGTCTGTTATAAGCCTCTCCCTGTGTTTTGCTCACACAAACAGTTGCACGTCAAGTTTCTACCACGCTTTCCTTTCTACGCTACTTTCAACGTTTCCAGCGTATGGGTGTGTGCAAAGTATATTTATTTGTCTTATGGATCATAATATTTCCAAATCCTCTTGATGACTGTTCCCTGTTTCTATTTTGAAATCATGTCCTTCTTCTTAGGATTCATTTGTTACTACTAGTCGCTCTCCCTGTCTGGGTAGCGTACTACTCTTGTCAGAATTGCCAAACCAGTCGTGCGGTTGTTTCAATCTAAATTATTCATGTCTGTCCTAATATACCTTTTTTATACCTATGTATTTAACAATCAATCTATCATAACTAGATTGGAGTGGTTTGTTAAGATCAAACTTAATTTTTTTTATCAGATTCAGTATTTTTCTTTCCCTTTTGTTAATGTTTCGTCGGATAATATGTCATGAGTCCATAAGGTATTGTCCAAATAAATACGATAATATGATTGATTTAACATTACAAATGAAGTAGGCTTCTATCCTTCAATACTTAATATGTTTGTTACCTCGTGTGTTCCTCTCCGCATGTCTTAACCGATGTAACATCGACATCTTACTCTACGGAAGTAACTCAATTCAACACGAGATAGACACATCTCATGCATTCTAAGTCGTTAACACTTGATAAAGTGTGTTAAGAGTAAGTACTTCGAAGGAGGGAGATTCGTACAGTTTGGTTGCATTCCATTTTAACCTCAAACCTTCCTGATAACACAGGGTGTCTCGTTCGTTATTAACAAAAGTTGACGTTTACACAAAAATGGCTGTACATGTACGCAATTCTATGTATTATCTTGTAATTTCGTAGTTCTAAAATCTTTTTTTTCAGTCGAACCAACTTCCGACTCCAAAAAGAAGAGAGATTAAGTTCTCCATCATCAAAGAGTTTCAACAATTTCTTTCACCTCAGAACAAGTATTACCAAATTTGTTATATTTCACAAATAATAGCATAGGTTACTCGGATGAAGTTCTGTAATCCGTAGTGTTTTGTTTATTTTTTACTTTGTCAAGTGCTTTATATCATATAGTTCGGTGATGATTTTGGCCTTAACCCGGGCCATTTTTTCGCTCGCTCTTGACCTTGCGTGATTGTTTCAGACGAACAACATTTTTGCTATTTTCTTACGATTTCTTTGCTAGTTTAACGGTTAGCATCTGCTCAATTTTATAGAAATCCAGTTCATAATGCTGGAGATTAAGTAGTAACCTAGAACCGTAGAGTTTGCAGGTCGCGCATAACCCTTTCCATTTGGTATCTTCATTGACATTAATTTGGATAGAATTATGTAAATTTTTCTCATAAATTTAAATTGTCTCCTTTAAAAGAATAAAGATATAAAAACTGTATTTTCTTTTACAATTGATTTCTTGTTTTAACAAAGGACTTATTGATTGAAACTATGGTGCCAACTAAGGATGATGAGTTGTCATTTCACTACTTCGAGTATGGGATCATGTTCTTCTTTCTTCCCTCTCTCTCTTATATTTGCGATTTGTATTTGATCAATTTGATTAATACGTAAGCTTCTGCCACGTTTTGTATAGCCTTTCTAATCCATGGGATTTAACTGTTGAAGCGTTGATTTGTCGCCATCATCCTTCATGTCCGTGTTTCATACATTTCATTTCGTTGTTTCAGACTTTGCATATAGTATGGGCCTAGCCCGTCTTCTAGTCCCTAGGAGGAAAGAGAACGCATTTAATGCTCTACTATTAATTTTTTGTTGTTTCCTTATTTATTATTATTATTATGTTGTTGCTCCGCGACATATAGCAGGTTTGATTCATTTGCCAAGCAACGACTCATCATCTGTTTCATATATGTAGAGAGAGAAGCTGAAGAATTACTTGAAGATCCATATAAGCATGGTAGTTTACGTAGAGGAATTCGTTATGACAGACCTAATCTTGCGAAAGCTCCTAACGGACCTGGCGAGAAAGGAGCTGCTGTTACTCTTACTGGAGTTGAAAAAGAATTGGGACAAAAAGATATGAAGACGTGGTTTATGAATGTGCGAGCGAGGTAAATCCAACAGCTTTTTCAGTTAGTGAGGAGCATTTGTTTCTTTTTGTGTTCCTTTACGTAACAGACTTTTGTTACACAGCTCATCAATCCTCATGAGAGCTTTCTGTTCTTTTTTCACAGCTCTTGTTTGAAAGATATCGAAAATTTACGAACTTATCCTCTGTGGTTCACAAACTTTTGACCAACATCTCTTCCTTTTCGTTCAGCGACAAGATATCTTTGGATCGAACGATACCTGATGCACGTAGGGATGAATGTAAAGCAATTGATTACGATCTCAAAAACTTGCCAAAGGTTCATTTATCGAGGGATACCTAATATACCAATCCTTATTTAATATCAGGCTTCTGTTGTTATAATTTTCACTGATGAAGCATGGTCGCCTCTGTTGAGAACAGTTCATTCCGTTGTGAATCGAAGTCCTCCGGAGATTCTCGAAGAAGTAATTCTTCTCGATGACAACAGTCAAAGGGGTTTGAATTGATGCTTGTAAAGGTCTGAAAAAAAACTTCCTTTACAGAAGAGCTGAAAGGACAGCTAGATGATTATATCAGAATTTTCGATGGAATAGTGCGTATTGTGCGTAAGAACGTTCGTCATGGTCTCATAAGGTAAGTGTTATTCATGTCTTTGATGACTAGGTCCTCATTTCAAGAGCAAAACTGGCTGGGGCTCGTGAGGCTGTTGGAGATGTTGTGATTTTCCTCGATTCACATTGTGAGGCAAATACAGGATGGTATGCTTCTTCCAAAGCTTGTTTTACTTTTATTTTTGCTAAAGGTTAGAGCCGTTGGTCCAAAGAATCCATGACAACCCGAAGGCAATAGTATGTCCTGTCATTGACCATATAAATGCTGAAAACATGGCTTATCAAGGAGATAAATACGCAACATCTGTTGGAGGTTTGTCAACTCGAAGTCTCATTCAACGAGATTCTGTCCTGCTCAGGGTTTTCTTGGGCTTTGCATTTCACATGGGAACCCTTGCCTCAATCTGAGATCGAGAGAAGAAAATCCACAACTGAGTATATAAGGTTCATACGAATTCGTTATGTGTGTTCCATCCCACAAACCTTCAGATCCCCAACTATGGCCGGAGGGTTACTAGCTGCTGATCGTAAGTACTTCTTCGAAGTTGGTGGTTACGACGAGGAAATGGATATCTGGGGGGGAGAGAACCTAGAAATATCCTTTAGGGTATGGCTCTTTCCAGTGATGTTCTTGAAAGCGGATTGTTACAGGTGTGGATGTGTGGAGGTTCGATAGAATTCATACCATGCTCACATGTAGGACACATATTCCGAGCAGGCCATCCTTACAACATGACAGGTTGGAATTGTGTTTTTCGCTTTTCATAAGATGATTTAGGACGTGGTGGAAACAAAGATGTCCACGGCACGAATTCAAAACGATTGGCAGAGGTTTGGATGGATAACTACAAAAGGCTCTATTATTTGCACAGACCAGATCTGATTGTTAGTTGAAAAAGCTGTAATCGAGTTATCGCATGCGTGTTTCCAGGATAAAGACGTTGGACCATTGAATGATCGTATCGAACTCAGGGACCGTTTGGGATGTAAATCTTTCAAATGGTATTTGGATAACATCATTCCTGGAAAGTTTATTATGGATGAAGATGTTCAAGCCTACGGAACTGTGAGTTCTTACTTCCTTGTCGAGTATTTCATGTGCTTGTTGTAGCTGCATACTTTTGTTGGAGGCTACCGTATGTGTAGTGACACTCTGCAAAGAAACGAAAAAAGTAACTTCTATCTGGGTGTTTTCCCTTGTCAAGGCAAAGGAAGCTCTCCTCAGGTGAGCTACCCATCTTCTTATCTCATAAAAATATGTTTTTAGATAATGTCGTTAGCAAGAACTGGTGAACTTCGCAGAGAGACAGTTTGTGCTACGGCTAGTGATGTAAATACACTTCGAACTCGTGGAAAAATTTTAATGACAAAATGCCACGAAAACGTGGACAAATGGACATTTGAGGTATTGGGTAACAACTGTATCAGCTCATGATCAAGCTGTTTCAGTATTCCATGATCAAACACGTAAAAACGGGTTTGTGCATCTCCACCAGAGATTTGAAAGCTGGAGATGACATATTTCTTGCAACATGTGATAGTGGCGATCAACACCAATTCTGGAGATTCACAAGTCCCAAATGAGGGATCGCCATACAAAATGCTCGTTAAAGTCAAAGTTATTGTAACCTGGGTCAACTTATTCCTTTTACTAATCTTCTTATGCTTGTATCAAATACGGTTGATCAATGGTTTTTGTTATTTTCCCTGTTTCTTTCGTAGTCATAGTCAGTTAGCTTTACTTTCTCCTATACATGTGATTTACAACGAAGCTCCTGTGATAGATATATATATTCTAATAATTAAATTCTATTTATTTCTTCTTTACCATTCTCTCAATACCATCGTTCTCACGATGTCATACTGTGCGTTCTGCTCTCAGCTTATTTGAATCTTCTTCGTTTTTAGAATGAGCGACGGTGAAACTCAGATTATCTCTTTGGCCCCAGGACCAACTCCAGGTGTATCATATCCATTCGCTGTTGTCTACTGCGGAGGTTTGTCTCTTCTCCAGTTCCATCACATTCCTCTTCTCTTACAGAATGCTCGATGCCATTGGAGTACTGTGAATTCAGTGGAATAACTGAGAAATGCCGTAAATGGGCTGAAAACAATGCTCCTGAAGTATTGGGAGCTCTGACCATCGAAGATGATGGTCAAGATGAGAAGAGTAAACATCAGAAGAGAGGAGGCAAAGGAGTCAAGGTGAGTACAATTTGTAATTGTTCTTTTGTTATGCCTTCTCCCCATTTAGCCAGTGAAAGAGAAGAAGGTTGCGTCTGGAAAAATTACTCTCCAAAGAGAACCCCGTGGAAAGAAGAGTGTGACCGTCATTAGAGGATTAGCACTGAATGGTTTGAACTCAGTACATGGTGGTCGAACTAAAAGTGTTCTTAAGACATTGATTTGAAAGTTGCTGCCAAATTCTTCGCTCAAAAGTTTGCCTGTGGAAGTTCTGTAACTGGAGCAGACGAGATTGTCATTCAGGGAGACGTGAAAGACGATCTCTTCGATTTGATCACCGCAAAATGGCCCCAGGTAACGGATTTCCATTGGACCGTATTAATATTCTTTTGTTTTTTAGGTTTCCGATGACTTGATCGAGGACTTGGGAGATAAGAAACGTTAAACCCGGTTGTGAATCTAACTTCTATCTACTTGCTCTGGCACTTACTTCCTTCAATACTTTTTCTTTGTTTTTGAATTAAACTATTTGTGGGAACTCTGTTCTACTATGATTATCTGACGATTTGACGTTTTCTATCTTATGCCATGCCATGCCCGTTTGCTTAACTTCCGATTTACTTTCAGATCAGCTATGGGCCGAATCCATTTCAATCAAAGGCAGAAAACTCGAATCAGGAACTTGATTTTTGCTGTTGTTGGTGGATTCCTCTTCATCACTTGGAATAGGGAAGGAGCCAAGAATTATGCTTTGATACAAGACACATCTGACCCCGGCTTCCATCAGGTTTTATCCTTGTCCTTGAGGGTTTTCACGATAGGTTTGAGATTCCCAACTATGACAAGCCGAGAGAAGGTCCGGGTGAGGAAGGATTGCCTGTTGAATTGAATGCTGAAGAGCAAGCTATTGCTGATGAGCAAATAAAAAAAGTATTTATGAATGTGATAGCCAGGTAAGGAACAGCTTACCGACAGGATTGAAGATGTATTTGAAGTGATAAGATATCCTTGGATCGGAGCATTCCGGACTCACGATCAAAGGAGTGCCGTGCCCTGAACTATGACCATATTTATCGCAACCCTCCTACTCTTTCCGTTGTAATCATTTTCACCAATGAGTTTTTCTCTTGTATGATCGAGAAGTTTACACAACCTCATCCGTTATCAATTCAGCCGTTCTGAGAACAGTTCATTCCGTTGTTAATCGGACTCCCAAAAGTTGGTTGAAGGAAATTGTGCTTGTTGATGATGTGAGCGAAAGAGGTTATCAGAGTTTTTCAGTTCTTCCAATGCCAAAACTTCAGAAGAACTTAAGCAACCTCTCGAAGAGCATATCAAACGGTTTGGCTCATTAGTTCGTCTTTATCGTTCTACTGAGAGACTTGGATTGATCAGGTGAGTTAATCAACGTCTTCGAGAGAATGGATGGGTGTCTTACAGAGCCAAAGTTTTTGGAGCCAAGCAAACTTCAGGAGAGATTCTAGTTTTTCTAGATGCTCACTGTGAAGCTAATGCAGGATGGTCTGCTCTTTATTTGAGCTTCATTATCCAACTTCTGGTTTTCCAGGGCAGAGCCAATTGTCAGCAGAATACGCGAAGATAGGAAAGCTGTTGTTTGTCCTGTGATCGACTCTATCTCTGATACGAATATGGCTTACCTTGGAGGTTCTCATGGTGGAGTGGGAACATTCTGGTGGTCCCTTCATTACAGTATGGGCCCCATGCCTAAAAAAGAGATTGCTCGCAGGAAAAACCCTGAAACTGATTATATCCGGTATGCTGGTACAAATGGATAGAAGCAACATCGAAGCTTACAGTTCGCCAACCATGGCTGGCGGTCTATTCGCAGCTGACCGAGACTACTTCTTCGAAGTTGGAGCTTATGACGAAGAAATGGATATTTGGGGAGGAGAAAACTTGGAGATTTCCTTCAGAGTAATTCACCTAATCATAACCTCGTTGAAAACTAGCACACTAGGTCTGGATGTGCGGAGGATCCATCGAAATACTTCCATGCTCTCATGTTGGACACATTTATAGATCAGGACACCCGTATGATATGACAGGTTCGATGAGTTGATTGAAATCTCATCTGTATGTATAACTCAGGGAGAAATGGAAATAAGGATGTTCACGGTATGAATTCAAAAAGATTAGCTGAGGTTTGGATGGATGACTACAAGAGATTCTACTACATGCAAAGAATGGGATTGAAGGTTCTTATTATCAACTCTGCTGATGTACAAAGTTCGCATAGGACATGGATGCTGGAGACTTAACCTCTAGGAAAGAACTTCGGGAGAAACTCAAGTGTCAATCTTTCAAATGGTTTTTGGATAACATTATACCAGAGAAGTTCATTCTTGATGAGAATGTCCACGCTTTCGGGCTTGTGAGAGGAGAGCATAACTTGTGTTTGGATACCTTACAACGATTGGAAAACAAGGTATGGCCTTGCTGGTTCATACGTTCTACCTCCAAATTTAGGGAATTGTTAACTTAGGTATCTACAACTGCCAAGAAGCTGGAAGCTCTTCAGAGGTTTCAAACATCTTAGGATTTGTTCTTTCATTCCTTCCATTCTAGTTCTTCTCAGTGTCTCGCCAGAAAGAGTTTCGAAGAGAAGCTACTTGTGTTGATGTAGGAGATTCTGTTTCGACTGGCAAATTCGCTGTGCTATTGCGAGATTGTGACGAGAACAATTTAATTCCTTTCGAGCATCCACAGGTTTCTATTAGTGCAGAGATTCGAAAACGTTTCTATTTCTAGGGTGGTGGCTTCTTACGTCACGTTCAAAGAGATCTATGTATAGACATGGAAGGAATAGAAGCTACTGGGGATGTGTACTTCACACATTGTAATTCCAGTAAGCCTAGTCAACATTGGAAGATCGGCCACTATTATGATCTCACGGCCTAGTTTCTAAAAAAGCTATTTGGGGTCTGGCATTAATTGTTAATATTATATAATAATCGGGTATTTCAAATGGGTTAATGGAACATAATAATTTCTGAAAATCAGTCATATCAGTTACGTTTAGGATGACTATTCCAATAAACATTTTTTCTTTCAATCAAATTATGTGTGATAGATTTACAGTAAATCACATGACATAAGCAAGCCTAGTAGGGAAATCTCTAGTTGAAGTTGAACGGATACTTGATGTATGGTTGTAAAGCACAGAGAGTGAGAGTACAGAACGGGTACGACGAGCTGAAGCTTACCGTATCACACCAAACTACGATCATTGCTGATCCGATTGCTATTTTCATTCTTCTATCATCTGTTCATAGTTTCCGGTTGTGCTTTTACGAACCCTTTTCATGCTCTCTTCTATTCGATCGAGTTATCGGTTGTGCTTGTGCCATAGATCAGTGTCTGTAGGAACTATAGTTCACGTTCGATTGGAAACATTTGAAGAAGTTGGTTCGCCAAAGTTTTGTTTTGGAATGATTTTACCACCTGAGATGTGACATTTTTCAACAAACAATTGATGGGAAGCGATAAAGAATGAATTCGTAGCAGGAAGATTCAATAGTTCGACTGATTGTTCACGTATAGTAAGTTATTCAATGGTGATATGAGACAATAATGACGCAATGAACTCTGAACCCAGAACTGAAATTAATCAAAACAAACGATTGCTGTGGAGCCCCGTACCGTCACAGCTTTTATGTCCATAGAACGTTGACGCGTTTGGCGTTCTCGCCTCTGCCTAGGTGTTAACTCTGTGGGAGAAGAGTTGTATTGAAGGGAGTGTTAAAATAAGATGGCATTATTTTCTTTTTTTTTCTCACAAATACAGAAGTGTCACCGGTTTTCTTTTGTAATCAGAAATAGGCGAAAGAGGTCGATGGTGCTGTTCATAATCTTGATGGATCGTTAGGTTGCAGCCGTTTTAAAGTAAGGTGAGTGTAGTTGAATGTTAGTCCTGCGAATACTTAAACATTACGGTTTTCTTAAATTTCTTTTATCTGTGTTTTTGGCAATTGCTATCTTTTCTCTTGCCCTGTTCTTCCTAGATCATCGTCTTTTCGCATCATGTCTCAGCTGGGCATCTCACCATCGTTTTCTCTAGTCTTCTGCTATCGTTGGCCTTGAGAGACGTTCGGCAGCGTAACAAATCTGTGTAGAGTCTGTAAATAGTACTGATTTACAGGAGATCATGTAATTCTAGAAACTATAGATGATTTTGGGGGCGGAGGGCTGTAAGAAGTGGCTGGCGGAGCCTGGCACCGGCCGTCGAGAAAAAGTCCTGTCTACACCTAGAAAGGATTGCCAGAGGAGCAGTTGTGGGAGAAGACCGAAGACAGTCCTCTCGCACATCCATATTAAGCCTGGGAAGAGTTCGCTCTGCATTTCCTGATTTGATTGCTTCTCCTGTCATCCTTTCGTCTCCTATCTTTTTTTATTGTAAATCGCCGTGTTAAACCATGAAGAAATCTGGGACTCGCGCAGAATTGGGAGAACGTATTCGCACCATATTGGACTGTCCTCAGCAGGTTTGTTTTCTTTTCTTAATCATATTCATATACTCACTCTTTTTAGTTTAACCGAATGCATCCTTACGAGGGTAGGCAAAGAAAATTAAGTGGCGGGTCCACATGCTCATCAGACTACTCTCAGTTAAGTCCAGATTCAGTTAGGTGAGCATTTAATCTTTAGCTCTGTTGTACTCATTTCATTGTTTCAGTTCAAGCGCTGTTGCTTTCTCACCGTTTGTTTCACATCCGGCCATTCGCTCATCGCGCGATCTGCTGGTGTTCGAGAAACTCCGTCATGTCGTTCCACAGCTCTCTTCGGAAGAGAATCCTCTGCAGGTTGGTTGATTTGAAATTGTTATGAAATATGTAGTTGGGTCGAGGTAGAAGTTCACATTCCCAATCATTGCATTCTCGTACGTTTGTAAGTGGAGGTAAAGAATGATCTTCCTGTAGATGGCACAGGCTGACACTGCCTCGGCAAGAAGTAACCTGTAGGAACAGGTTCTCATCTGGTCAGTAAATGCGACAACTGACTCGTCTTCTCAAACAAATTCTATTCAAAAAGAGAACAATTTAATGAGGAAAATTAATGGTTATGATGTTTGCATACAACATATTTGGTTTTTGCAGGCGTTAGTGGACATCGTGACACAGGCCATGGATTTGGATAGTCCGTCTCCCACAATTAGTCCCAAACATTCGTCTGCATCTTTGAACAGTTTTTATGAGGTATTGCAGTTTTCGCACTAAGCCTTTCATACTTTTTCTCTCTTGCAGCCTTTTCCGGTTCCTGAAGATTTACAGAATGTCGATGTGACGGCTTTTAAGCATCTCATATACTCTCAACCAATACTCTTTGATTCTCGTCTCTTTATGTGACATGTTCTTCACAATGAAGACAAACTATACCAATTGATCTCATAAGTTAGCAATTTCTCCTCTACTTCGCTCATTTCCTATATCGTTTTTACCTCAGCCATACACTTTACACGATACGAAAATAAATATTTATTTGGTCGTCTCTTGAATGCATCTTGGATTATACTATTTCGTTCCGATTCAGAACGATTATCTTCTGAAGACTTGTATGTGTGTATGTGTATGTGTGTGTACATTGAAACGGAAATTAATCATGATGAACACAATTTTTTCTGAAGACAAGCGAAGGTTTAATTTATTAGGTTGTAACACTTCGTTCATTCAATGTTCGCAAAAGGCAACTGAGATGCGTGTGTGTGCAATGAAGAACTGATGATTGTCATCGATCTGTTCCTTTCGTTGGAAATCATTTTGCTATCTTTGCACTCAGCTGAGTGTTCGCTAAACTATGGTCAGCTATGTTTTTTGTTCTGAGCAAAAGCGATCTGTTCACCTCTTGTTCAATCTCAACTGAGCCTCTCTATCTCAGTTCGTGACGAAACCTGGCAGCTTCGGGTAGTTTCTGCAATCAGATTCTGCGATTGCTTTCAATCAGCAGTGTAAATGGGAAAACAATTTTTTTTCAATATAATGAGAAACACTGATAATCCCATACTACAATGAACATGATTGTACAACTCGATTTCCCAAGCTATTCAAGAGACTATGGTACAAACATCTCGTTAGAGTCTTGATTACAAACTACAATTGCAAACCTTCTTCTCAGTTGTACTTTTCAAAATTTCGTGATATGACCACAGTTCTGTTAAGGATGAATGCTCCGCTTGGCTTGGAGATTCAGAGGGGAAGAATCAGGTTGCATGTATAAGTGTTGCGATATCAAATAATTATTTTGAAAGATCGCTACTCGAAGAAAAAGAGTCTATTCATACTGAACAGTGTTCGTTTTCATTTTTGAGAAGTTGTGGAGAAGAAGTCGAGAAGAGAATTTCTCATTCCGTTCAGCTGATCTTTAACCTGAAAATACGTTGGGTATTCTATTTTAACATAAGGAACAGACATCTCTATTGAAAAAGAGATAAACCATGGTGTTCGTACAGAAGTGAACTAGTCCTAGGAATGATACTACTGCTTGTGTGGTGTTGTTCAGTTCACTTAACAATGAAAACCATATCCAAGTCATAGTGGACACAAAAAACATCAAAGCACATTGTAAGCCCAATCTGTATGACATTTCAACTGAGCTTTGTGATGGTCAAAACCTCTTACCGTATCTCTTTCTTCATATTTGAGCTACGAGTACTACTTCGCACTTTGAACACGTGGCATAGGAGCTGAAACGAGGAGATTGAGCTGAGATGAGTTATTGGACATACTATTGTGTATGCTATTACGCAAACAGTTGTGAACGATCCGTTCATATAATTGTATACATACAGTCGTGAATAATTTGTTAAATTTTTTTGTTCAAACGAGTAGCTGAACATGGCTGGATAGTATTTGACTCTTTGAGATCGAATGGATGATTATTGGCTGAACATTATCGAAGTTACCGACAACAAGATATGATTGACTGCATTAGTAAAGTTGCAACGAAAGACTTAATCGTCAGGAACATGAGACCAAAGCAGATGAAACGATGTGTGAACGTGAAGATATGAGGAAACACGACGGCAAACAATCTGAGAAGATGAAGTTTACAAATCAACACAATAAATGAATAACCTATGCAAGGCTAGAAGTATTTGAGCAGAGAGACCTGTATACCATAACAACATGCCAAAAAATGAGGCAGTTGCCTCACTCACTAACCATTCCTTCAATATTCAAAAGATTACGGCTATGTTAAGGAATGAGTTTCAAACTCCAAAGTATATGCTGGGCTCCACGAACAAGGCATGAACGAATGTTGCGGCAGTATCAGAGAGTACGTTATAGCCAATGATGATATAGATAGAATTCTCTTTTGTAGTGATTAGTTTACCTCGTATAAGGCACCAAAAACATAAAATGTTGAGAAGTAACAAGATCCATGATGTTACAGTCAAAACCATAGGGAAAACCACCTCATACATATAAGCCGCCATCTGACTTTGACGCTACTTCATCCACCTCGTATTTCTATGGATTTGGCGTGGGAAAATGATAGAATAACAATCTATATCTCAGAGATATATTTTCCAACAGTACGTGTGAGTTTCAGACGAAATATATGAAGCTGTGTTGACGGATGGAACAATCGTTCAACCGTTTTGTATGAGACCTCCATCATAATCAAATGCTATAAAAGCATTTGTACCGGATATAATTTACATTCCAGCTATCATATATGGGTTTTTACCATATCATATGCGACATTTTCGGATATCAGATATTCATTCCTCATCTTCAGGTTCCTCGCAACATTATACGGTCACTGAGCCTACATCCATAGCATACAGCCTAGCAGGGGACTTCTGGGTATCGAATGTACCTAGCCTCCTGCTGCACAATCGTACTTGCAGCTACAAACTTCTTATTCACTGAACGAATTCAAATTCAATTCTTCCGACCTATCTTTAACTTCTCAACTTAATCTTTCTACTTGAAGTATTCATTCTCTACTCTCCTCTACTTCCAATTATTGCAATCGAAGGTCTATCAACCCCAGCTGAAAGGTGGGCGCCAGTGAGACTGAAGCATCAAGAATTTCGACATATATGAAAAGAATAAGAGTGAGAGAAGAAAACCGAGAAATTGAAAACCAAATGAATTAAATATTCAGAAAGCATATCTCTCGTTCTCTACATTCACGTCTCTTACAATCCACCTTCTCGTATCGAGCTTCACCTGTTTCTCGAGAACAAGTCTGACAACATAAATCATAACGATGAACTTATCTCTCACTTATCCTCTACTGTTCTTTGATACATCAAAGTGAAATGACATGAACTATGAGATGAAGTTTTAAAAAAAGAAAAGTAGTGGACTATGAAAATCTGACTCACAACTCCTCTGGAAGTTCCTTCTCATCGTTCAGGAACTCTTTGTTTTCGAATCAAATTGTTTTCTTAGACATGGGAAACTCTTATCAAAGGTCTTCTTCACTTTCGAAATACTTCTAACTCACACTCCACATTTCGTTGAGCAAATTACCAAAAAACACACGTCAGAGTAATCACAAGTCAGTACATAGGAAGGATAAGGATGTGTGAGTGTGTACACTTTTCAGAAAATCAAAATCGGATCAATAACCCATCTTATGGGAAAACAAATGAGGATTGGTTTGTTTGGGTTATGGTACCTAGACCGTACTTCGTACTCTGAGCAATCATCACGTACAAATACAACATAACAACAAACTCTAAAAGAAATTTCATCAAGATATTTCGAAACAGATGACAGTCAGGAATTTCATAAGTTTTCGAAGTTTATGAGCTGATTAATAAAAACAAGGAAGGAAAAGTGATTTCTTCACGTATTACGCAGCGCACTGTTGATACACGGAGTTTTATTTCTCATGCCACACGGATGTTGGCGATTGTTCATGCATTTTCATTCTTCACATATTAAGCAAGTTGGTGGTCGTTCACGTAGTTTCATTCTTCACAACCTCGAGCAGCTTGGTGGTCGTTCACGTAGTTTCATTCTTCACAACCCCGAGCAGCTTGGTGGTCATTCACGTAGTTTCATTCTTCATAACCCAAGCAGCTTGGCGATCGTTCACGCAGATTCATTCTTCATGCATCACGCAGCGTGTTGGTTGTTTATGCAACTCAGCGAGCGCTCAAATAGTTTTGTTCCTCGCAGCGTGTACTACGAGATGGTTGTTCACGCACTCTGCGTTTCCACGCAAATGAAGGCTATTTAGAAGTCTTGGATAGGAGCTGTTGAAGAAAAACATGAGAAGTTCGGTGCTTGTTCCCTTTTCTTGAGAGGAAAGTGTTTCTCATTGTTGATGAAGTCAGATCGTGTGAATGAAGTTCAATTGAATAAAGTTTTTGGGTAAGAACTCTGAAACCATCTGCTTTTGAGATAGATGAGTATATATATGGAATAGAATATGAACTAATTGAACAAATGTGTTCCACAGTCGTAACATGCACTCCCCGTTCAGAATAAACTGCAGCAAGCTATAAGGACTAGCTGAGTGGGTTGCATAAAGTACGATCGTAAAAACAAATTCTCATAAAAGAAAGAATGTTATTAAGAATATTTATTCTACAATATTTGTCAAACAAATAAGCTTTTTTAAAATATTATACACGAAACAGCAATTGCTAAATGAATTTAGGGAGAAAGCAGTCTTGTAGACCAGGGGGGATACTCCCGTAAATCCATTGATCACAGAGTTTTAGTGCAATAGAGTTTGAAAGCTGGTGCATTCTGTGTTGAAATGACAGAATTAAACTCATGCCTACTAGTCTCCAATATATATTTAGTAAAATAATGCTAAAATAGTAGGAGAATAGCTGGCAGAGCTGCTGACTTCCCTACTACAGAAGACACAGGATGAGAGCCAAGGTTTAGACGACCAAAATGGGAGAGAGAGGCCAGACAGGAACACAAATACATGCAAATGAGGTAAGGTTATTTACAACTGAAACTTCGTTTTAAACAAAACAAACTGGAACACAAAAGATCTGGCTGAAGAGTTTCTGGCAAGTGAAAAAGTTCTTCTATCATTGTTATAGTCTCGAAGACACAAATAAAGAGAGAGGGAGAGAGAGAGAGAGTGGGAGAGAGAAAGAGAGACAAAAAGAGATAGAGAGAGAGAGAATAAGCAGCAAAATGTCATTTTGTACAAGGACTAGCTGGGAAATGAACAGGATAAGATTTCGAATCGATTGTTGGCTCAGAAAGGGTACGTGATCAAATTTAATGTGCAGAAGAAGAGCAACACAAATACAAAAAAATCATCGGAACCGTAAGCTCTGTATTTGAGGATGGATAGGGCAGGATGGGAGTAAGACGTGGATATAGGATGTGCTGTTCTTAAAGAAGCAGGTTCATTAAAGAAACCCCCAAAAAATGCTAAATACTCTAGATAAATCCTCTCACGTAAATATATAAAATATATATATATTAATCTGTTAATAGAATCTGAATTTCAAGACTTTCAAAGGAGGTGCTACATGAGGAAGTAAAAGAAACAAAACCCCTTGGGGGAAACTATGACTCAATTTCAGATCCAACAGGAATATTGCCATGCAAACGTTAAACATTATTATTAGGTGACGTTAGACAGAGTCTAAAGTCTCCATTGCTTCTGTTCCTTCTTCCACAGTCTCCCATGAGCCCATGCTGAAACAAGTTCCAGTTATTCGCGCATCACAACTATTTCTTACTTTTTCTCTATATTCGATAATACCATACGAGCCAACTTTCGTGTGTTGTCACCGGTTCTTTGATCTTTCACGAGATCCGTCAATAGTGGTAACCCTCCTTCATTTGTCACATACGAACAATATCTAAAAAAGGAAAAATAGTTCCTCAAAATAATATTCGCGTACTTTGGCCCATCAGTTGTTGTCAGGTTAGCTAAAGCCCAAACAGCCCAATGTTGACTGGCGTAAGCGTCCCATAGAGGTAACAATCTCAAGATTGGTCGGAATGAGCGATAGTTGATAAACCGTCTTGTATCCAATTTCCATCTTGTTGTAGCCTTCAAACGAAACTCATATTTAAATGGAATTCCAAACTCTCTCTTGCCTTCACTATACTTGCCATAACTTCGCAGCGTTTGTGACTCAATGGCTCCCAAGCGTCTTGTCCATCACTGACCATGTGTGCCAGAACTCCAGCGCTGTTGTAGCTGATTTCCAGAGACTCATCCGCCAAATCCAACAAAGCTCTAGAATATGGCATCATTAGTTTGTTTGGAAAAACAGATAAAACATACACAAAAATCCGAACATAATCGTCTTTCATCAGTTGACTTCTAAATTCATTAACTTCCGCGATATTTCCAATAAGCCCCATCATATTGCGAACTAATTCCCGCTCTGATCGGAAAGCATCAAAACACTTTTGAAACAACACCAATCCTTCTGATTTCAAGAATCGTTCACAATTCACAGGTGTTTCATCTGGAACATATGTACTTTAGGAAAAAAGTATGATGGTAGGAATCACCTGTAATATTCCAAAGGAAACTCCAACCAACTTCCATCACATCGTCGCAAGTGTTTGCTCCGAGTTTCCTCCTGATCTGTTCCAAAATCATCTAGAAGGACATAGTTTAAAACCAAATCAAAACCACCGCTGGTCTACCTCGATAGCTCCGAGACTTCCTACTTGCACTTTCTGATCTCCTTCCACGTGACAAGCCATAGAGTTCAGCAGAAACACAACTATTCTTTGAGTTAGATTATCCGCATTGTGATGTTGTAAGACGGTTACTAACAGAACAGCCAATCGACTAGAAGAACACAAAGATTACAAAAAAAACATTTGAACTCAAAGTACCTGTAGTCAAACAAAATTTCCTGAGGGATTTCAAACTGGCAGAGAGACAAACAACAGTTGCGAACCATCACTTGTTCTTCCATGTGAGTTTCCATTCCTATATGTCACGAGTTGTGTAAGAGAGTGCATTGAGATGTCTTACCGCTTAATAGAGCGCTAACCACTTGCTTTTTGGTTTCTCTGTTCATTGTAACCTTACGAATAATATAAAACAAACTAGCAGATCCGGCTATCTGAAGAGTACTATCTTCCAAGTGTCGTTGCATAGCACTGAGTACAAGATGTAAAGCTTCAGTGTGGCGGCACTGAAAAAAGGTGAAAATCCTCAAAACTACTTGACACTATAAGTCCTACCGGTGGGATGTTGTTGCCAAAACGATAAAGTTGATAACTCTCATTTAACACAGATTGAAGTAGGCCAGCTCTATCTTGATAAATACGAAGAGCACAGAGAACTTGGTTCTCATTGGCATCACCCGAAATTTCAAGGGCAGGAATCTCAGCAAAATGACTAGCTGATTCACAATTAAAAAGCCCCAGGAACTTGAGAGGTTTCTTTAAAAATCTCAAGCCAGCAATATCAGAACGAATGCACTCCTCACTGGAACGACAAAGGAATGATAAGAAAAATTGATGTAAGGGTATATTTACTTTTCATCAGTAGAAATCCAATCGTTGACACTAGCAGGAGAGGCTAAGTTGGTGGAAGAGATGTCTAACTTTTCCAAATAAGGCAAATTGCAGACGAGACTATGAAGTGTAGTTGCAGGTTTAGGATACATACCCGTATCTCTGCTTGATTGTGAAATATCAAGATATCTGAAATATAGTAAGCTGGTGATGAGGTTTGATGATAACTATGTAATCACCGTAATTCCTTCAATTGATTAATACTTGTCATCGCTTGATATAAATCGGGCACGTCATACAGAATTAAAGTGGTTAAATTTAAAGAATGTAAACAACGCAAATTTTCAACCTGAAGAGCTTGTGTGTTACCGAATGTCATTGACTCTTCTAACTTACCCTGGTCCAATAGGATAAATCAAGAATTTGTAAATCTTTTAATGGCTCCAATACCCTGGTCAACAGATCATTCACCGAATTTTCTTCTTCTTCGGGGAATCTTTTTAACTTAAACGGAAAAACAGAATTAGAATGGATGAGATGAACGAAAACATACTCTGGGTAAATTCAGAATGGCGACATTTGGACAACGTGAAGTAAATACGGCAGGCTCTCTTTCTTCTTCCTCTTCAGCCGATAATGCTGTTGCTGCTGTCCAGCTCATACTTTCGTGTTCATCCACAGCTACGATTGGAGCAAAGCTGGAGCAAAAAAGGGATTACAATAGCAATAAGCAGAATCAAACCTGTTATCATAACTAGATTGATTAGGTTGCTGAGCAATTCCTAATGTTCCTCTGGTTTCTCTCATTTGATCTAATCGACCACTTCCGCCCTGGTTCAGCAGATCTTCTTCTCCCAAAACAGGAATGTTCCTTGTGTCCATACTGGCAACACCGTTTTTCCTATAATAGAAACAATGTGTGAACGAGAGATGAGCTGTTTTTTGCACCTTCGCGGTATTGATCGACTAAGCAGTTCCATAGAAGTCATCTTCAATGATTTCAAACCCGGAAACACAGCGTCATCTTTATCAAGAATTGTGTTGACATAGTCAGATATCCCCTTAAGAAGTGAGACAATCAGAGATGGCAATCACATGAGCAAGTACAAACCTTAACTCCGCTGATATCCAACTTTCTAATTCTCTTTTGCTGTGCTATAAGGATGGCAGCTAATGTTTGATCGTCAATAGAAACACCGGATAAATCGAGATAATCTAAGGGGAACCGGGACGAATCACACCATAGACGGATGGGATTCGATACATCTGATTTCTAAAGCAAGAAATGTAATTTTAAAAAGGTCAGAAACAAGCGGAACCTCTTTCTGCCATCTAATGCGATATTGATCTAGAAGAGCATGGCTTGCACCCACTGGTAGATGGTTTCCTAGGTTATCGTCAAACTGAAACAAGTTCATTGTGTTGTTGTTGACTGGAACACATTTTTTTCTAACTCACTAGTTTTTCTCTTTCTTTTGCAACTGCATGTGCTGCCAAGTTTAGGAGGGATGGTGCGTGCAATGGTACGTCGGGCCCCGACGTCATCAGTGGCTGAAAAAAAACAGAATTGAATAGAAAATAAAAGAAGGAAAAGGAAGGCGAGGAGGAAAGAGAATCATGGCAAAACTGTATTTTGACGACTTGTAAGCAATTTCGGTGAATTAGGAGGAGGCGAGGGAGTTGGAAACGCTCATTCTAGATGAATTGACTGACACAAAATAGGAACGAACTAGTTAATCGAAGAAAGGATAGGCTTCAGTTGTAGCTATGGATGATTCTTCTTCATAAATGACAAAAGCCCAAATATGGAATGAGGCTCATTCGTATGGAAGAGGTTGAATGGTCAAAGAAAAGAAGAAAAGAGGACGTAAAGACGGACATAAAGATAGAGAGAAAAAGAGAAAGAGAGAGGTAGAGAGCGAGATAGAGGGAGATGGAAAGTGTTCAAAGTAGGAAAAGGAGAGAAATTATAAAAATCAATAAAAGAATTACATATGAATCATCGTGTAAAAGATTATTTCAATGAGTAGAAATGGCTTTATTGAACCAGTTGAAAGTATTTGAAATATAAAAAAGATAAAAGTCGAAGCAACTGTGATTTCTGACCCAAAAATTAGGAACACGAGGGCCATATGGCTTGATGATCACGCGCTCTAGCTCGAGGAGTAGAAACAAAGAGTTGGCTGTGTGAGTGTGTGTATGTGTGTGTGTATGTGTGCTGACAGCAAAGTTCGTAGGTGAGCGTGTGTTTTGGAATGAAAGCACATGTTCATAAAAGGAAAAACGGCCATAATTTGTCTTCAAATCTTCATTCAAAATTGAAAGAGAAAAAGCGGGGGGAAAACATTGCATTCTCTATGCTTGGCAACAGCAAAACGGGGATAGAAGGATAGAGAGAGAGAGAGGGAGAGACGGAGGAAGAGAGGGAAAGAGGAAGAAACGTTTTCCTAAACTGCAAGCACAGTAAATTACGAAAGAAAGTAAATGATACGCAATTATGAAAAGGCGATAAATCGGCCGTTTTTGGAAGAATTTGAACGACTTCCATTATCAAATGAAACAAATGACCTGAGGTGTACTTTGGAAAATTAAGAAAATGGACAGAAGAAAGATTGAAATTGACTGAAAGTTCACCCACTTCATAAGTTCGTTGTGTAAAATGTGTTAAAGCCCAGACTTAGAAAAAGCAAAACAAAGTACAGAAGAGAAGAGAGCCAAAGCAGCATAATGTGAGAGAAGGAGAGAAAGGATGAGAAATAGAAAATTATAAAAATGAGAAAAAAAAAGGAAAAAGAGAATAGGAAGGAAAGTTGTGGTGGGGATGAAGGAGATGAAGAATCAAATGGAGGAGTGGTAGATGGGAAGGAAAGGAGGAGGAATGGAGCCAGGATTGAGGATCAACACTGAATGAATTGCGAATGGATAAAGCTTTCCGTCCCAAGAGTCACAGAATGAAATAAAAAATGAAGAATAAACGAGCTGTTTTGTGGAAGTGTTAGTGTGTGAAAAAAAAGCGAAAAACGATTTCAAAGTTGAAAAGCAGCAAAAATCAATCTGTTCGACCTCCCTCAGTCACTCACTCACAGCGATGAAGTTGATCACATGATAAAACAGTGCGTATAACCAATGAAAACACACCGAAATGTGTATAAAAGTGGATGAAATCAATTGAAATCAGACACAAACCGTTGTCAAAGACGAAATGAAAGTTTAGGGGCCGGCAGGGCCGAGAAAGTAAAAAAAAAAAAGAAAAAGGAAAAAAAAGTTTTCATTGGCTGTACGAGAAGCAGGAAATAGTCAGCTAATATGTGGCCGAAGAGAAGACGCTCCGATAAATCAATATGCATATGTCTCGAGATTGGATACGACGTCCGTCGTCGTCCATCGTTCAACGACAACGACGACGCAACACACCGAAATGGGATTTGAACAGAACCAAAAGGATGATGGTATTATTCAAACCGGCTTCTTCCATAAACACAAAAATTGGTGGGGGTGCTGATGATGATGATGATGATGGGGAGAGGGGGGGAGGCTATTGGGCAAGCAAGAAAAAAGGAGATTTGTGTACGGTGCGCACTCTATGAATGCAAAAGGATAGAATGGAGAAGGCGAATGCAAATTAGAAGAAGTATGTGAAAAGGATGAAAGTTTAATAAGATTAAAAATAAAGTGAGAGCAGACTATGAAAACATTACAACTTGTAGGAAAAAAACAAGTTGACGTTAAAGTTTGAAGCTATATGGAAAGAAAGAAGGATGGAAGGATGGATGGATGGATAGATGAATGGTTAGAAAATGGAGGGGAGAATGGTTGTGGGGAGAGTTGGAGAGAGAGAAAGAGAGAGAGTGGATGAACGATTGATTGTTCTTAAATAGAACATGTTGAAAATCAATTCATTCTATGATATTATTCGTCTATAACTATCCGAAATATGTTATCGTCCGAACTATGACGAAGAATGATTGTGGTGGTGGCGAAGGGAGAGGGTAAAGAAAGAAAAAACTGAAAAAAAAACAAAAACAAGAAGAATTTCAATAAAAATCTATGGAGATATATTGTGAGAAGGCAAGGATTACATGTGTGTGTGTATGTGTGTGTGCTTCTTCTCATCTCAAATGACATTTGACATACAACAACCAAATAAAGGCGAAGGACGAAAGTTGAAAGCAAAAGGAAAAAAAGAAAAAAAGGAGATTAGGTAACTACAATTTGCAACAGAAAAAGCCAAAGCAGAAGGAGAGAGAGAGAGAGGGCAGTAGTAGGGTAGAGAGGGAGAGAGGGAGAGAGAGAGAGAGTGAGCAAAAGCCTAACGAAGCCAAAGTCACATGAAGATGGAGAAAACAAAGAAAAACAATCGGTTATAATCTGAAGAAGATGATTGAATTTAGCTTTGATTATTACGCTGCAAGAGGTGTCCATTGAGAAGTTTAAACATTGATTTTCGTCTACAAAGCTTGGCCCATTTGAATGGACGAGAGAAAAGAAAATAGATTGTCTAACAGTAGAAGAAGTATATAGAAGAAGAAGACGACGAATAGAATAAGAAGAACAAGACGAAGAAGAAGATTCTAAAGCTTTCCATCGCTATACATCATGAATTGAAGAAAAAAAAGTTTTTGTGTTAACTCATCATTCGCAAGGCTCTTTAATTATTTTTATAAATGAATGGGAGTGCGATGATGGATAGGGGGCCAACTACTACACAACGACTACTCCTACTACTCGCTTCTACCTCATTAATGAATTTGCGAACAAAATACAGAATTATATATATAAATATATATATATATATATAAAAAGAAAAAAAGAAAACGAAATAATTCTCCAGTGTTCATGGTTTCGCCTGCCGGGGCCAATCGATTAGAGAAAAAGAGAGGAGTGTAGACACGACAATTCATGTGCTGCAGCGGACGAGAGAAACAGATCGTCAGGGGTAGCATTTCTCTCTCTCTCTCTCTCTCTCTCTCTCTCTCTCTCTCCCTCTCTGTTACGTTCGCCCATTTTCCTCTTTCTCTTTGGCTGTTTTCTCTTTCAATACTTATTTTTGTTTCTTTCTTTTTTTGAGATTACACAAGCCTGTACTCTTGCACATATTTTAATTTATAAAAATTAAAAGATCGAAGCGTCAGGAGATGGAGTAAAGCAAATCTGCTGATGGTAAACATCAACACAAATTTCCTAATTTATCGTCACGAGACATCTGATGATAAAGGAATGAAGACAGGAGTGTCAAAAACTTTGAAATAACTTGTTTTCTCGCACTCCTCCCTACTCATTATGGACTCATAAGCGCAATAAGCTAATCGATAATTGATAGAAAGTTCAAAACGAAATGAAGAGGAGAGAAGATGAAGCGCAAAAAAAAAGACGCAACGAGCAATAACTTACTTCTTCATCGTTCATGCTGTTGTCTGTTGACACTTCCGGACGATCTTAAGCGGACTTCTAACGGCCGTCAATGGATGAAAGCCTGAAACACAAAATATAGTAATGTAAACATGAGCAGCCCGAAATATTGAACAGAAAGTTGAGAAAAATAAGTTTTTCTCTCGATCATTCATTCATTCGGCTTTTGTGAACTAGTTGAAAGAGCTGGTAAACCGTTCTCGGCGAATCGTTGCCAACGAAGAGCAAAGGGGGTGAGAAGAACATGAGAAGAACGCTGAGGGAGAAAAGAAAACGGGGCAAAGGAAAAGACGAAGAAATGGTGTGGGAAATTACAAAAACAAGGATTTAGAGCAAATGGAGCAGACGAGTCTAATGGAGAACAACCGCTTCGGGATATTTGTGGAATAAGAATGAAAACAATAAACACGCGGAGGCTGGTTGAAGCGTCTGATGAGCTGGGAGAGACTGGAGGAGTATGGAAAAGCCTCGTCTTTCTCGTCCTCCTATCATAAGGTGAATAGAGCAAAACACTTATGTAATCAGCTGATTAATTGGTATAGTTGTCAAACGACCGACAGTTTTTTCCCCCCTTCTTTTTTAGAGAAAAAGCAGCTTAGCAAACGAATTCAATTGGTCAAATAACAGAAGCTGCTGCTGCTATGCTAGATGAGGTTGGTTGAGGAAAATAAGGCGCGAGAGACGTCTATTGTCTTCTCAAGATTTTAATTGTAAATCTGACAAACAAGATGCCTTTTTTACAATATCGTCCTGGAAAAGTACATAAAATCTTGATCATTCAGATGATTTTTCTAACAAATAACAACAGCAGGATGTGCAAAAACAACTGATAGTGTAATCGCCACATTTAGCCGTCCGACCGCAAATAACCTGATTTTCGAAGACAATTGAAATAGAAATCATATATATGTATGTATGATAGGTTACATTGACTCATTGCTATCATAGATAGATAGACATAGAGTGAGAGAGAGAAGAAGAGTGAACACAAAATGGATTTTCGTAGAAAAAATGCTTTATTACATACATTGGAGAAAGGAAAAGTGGGTTTGAGGGGCAAGAAACTGTTTATCAGACTGCATTGTAGGAGATTGTCATTGAACCCAAAAACGCCTAATTGTCTTTCTTTGACAAATCTTTGTGTGCTCCTTGGGGCTCCACAAATTGTAGATAAACATTCACTAAAACTAGGAAAGAACAAAGAATTATGGGACCAATGATAGCACCCTGAAATTGAATAATACACACTTTCAAGGTTTCTGCTTTGATAAGATTTACCTGCAACCCAAGCCAATAGATGCCACCAATGATTGCGAGACCGGTAACATATGGATGTGAGGACCTGAAATGGAATATGCTTTACTTCCTTATTTTGCTCAAATATCGATACTTCATTTCTCTATAGAAAGTGGCATCAGCAAACATCAAAGGGGCGAATGACATGAGCCCGAAAACTAGAGCTGCTGCTGATTCACCTCGAACCTAAAGAACTTTGGTAAACACAATACATGAGAAACCTACAAGCCAGAGTTCGAAAATTCCAAAAACGGAAACAAAATATGGAGCCATTATGGGGATGGCAGCGAAGACAGCAGCCATCACTGCAAGTATACCGTCAACAAGCGATGAGAATTTCGAGAACTTACTTGAGGGAATGAAGACGATGTTAAGATCGAAGAGACTATGTACGAAGAAGGTATAGAATCCATAGAAAACTGCCATTTTCGATGAGAGAACGAATACTCCACTGTAAAAACATTGAAACCCATATAACTGCATCGGAACTTACAAAATAGCTTGTTCCACAGCTGATGTCACATCATATCCCGAATTTGTAGTTGGTGCTGCTGATGTTACTCTAGAAGCCCATTCCAACGGTAACCACCGTTCATTAGAAGCTGAGAGGAGATAATACACCATCGTGAGGAAAACGATCTGAAGATCCATGTAGGTAGAAGAGATTGAGAGATTCACTGACCACTTCTATTAAGAAGTTGATAATTTCCATTCCAAAACTCAGAATTACGCCAGCGAAAGCCGCCAAAACGGAAGAAAGGAAAGTGAGATTGGACAGGATGACATCCCATAATGACTTGGCTACCTGAAAGATTCAGGTAACTTTCTCGTAAGCTACACTAAATTTACTCCTATTAGCGTATCCAAATTTTCTTTGATGATTGCTGTCAACTCTTCTTTCAAAGCTTGCAAGTCAGTTACTCCTTTCAACTGAGTAAACCAGTCTGCTTTCGCTACGGCCGTAGTATCTGGCGAAGTATTATCTCGTTCTTCCCACATTCTATATAGATTGTCCACAATCTATAAACAATAAAATGCTCTGTTGATTCAATGTAAAAAAAACCTGTTGAACTTGAGCTTCTAAAACGTTAGCTCTTTCAGGATCCTTCGCATCCGCGAGGGATCTAACTTGAGATCCTAACCAGGCTCTACCTTGTTGATACGCTTGTTCAACATAGTTATCTATGTCAATGTTATGATCTTCCAATTTATCTTCGGTGAAATTCATAGCAGCTGCCAACCAATCAGGACGAGAGGAAAGAACATTAGTTGTCAATCTAACTAGATGAACCTTAATGACTACTACATCAATCTAATGCTTGAGCTGTAAATACTTACGGTTTCCCCATGTAATTGGAATCCCACGAAGAACAAAGCAAACATCGCAGAGAGAGCCAAAAGCATCATCACAACAACAGAAGACAACACATCCATAGCATCGTGCAAAGTGGTAATCAAAATCTTATCCGATGTGAATACAACCTGAAACGTATTATCTTGTTTTCGGGACCATCATCTACAGAACTCACGGTTACAAATTGACGAAGTGGTCCAGCCACTGTGATATTCACAATTTTCATGACATAAGGAGATATCCTTTGCCATAGAGATTCTATGCAGCTTTGAGCAGAAGAAATGATACCTAGTGAGAAAGCTGAAACGGAAAGATTGAGAAATTGGAACTGATTCAAATCTACCCACCAAACTTTTTGATGGCAGCAAAAGCAAATGGGATGAAAAGTAATAGCAAGGCATAGTCATGACGAACAACCCATAGAAGGGCGCATAAACCAACTATCGCTCGAATAAGGTAGTCTCCAGAAAGAGCACTATCTAAGCTTTCGCTAACTGAATAGAACTGTTTAGACTCTTTTCATTTGTTCTTGTCAACCTGAGCAGTTTACTGCTGCGGGCTCCGCGATGGATCTATCCTGCGAATCATCATCCGCGTATATTGGCTTATGCTCAATATTAGAATTATCTTCATCATCGGTTGAGTTAGACTCGTTTTCATGTTTTCGCACAGATATTTCTTCCCCACTATCATCACTTCTCACAATACCAGCAGATATCAATGCTAGTATGAGTCCGGAGGCTCCAAAGACTGCAGCTCTGAAAGGCCCGAAGAACATGGCGAGTTGGGAAAGTAAATAAACCCTGAAAATCACATGACGGAATGTATATTCGGATTGAGGCTTACCATATCGGTAGAGAGAGGGTTCTGGCTAATTTTTTATTAATATGTGTATCTTGCAGATAAATCCATGCGGCATAAATACCGAAGTAGAGAACAAGAATAGGGAACACCTGAATGTAGCTTGATCATTGAAATGTTTTTTTCTTCTTACCCAGTTCCTCGTAAAGATAAGAACTACTGAATCAACAAACTCATAAAGACGTCCCAACCAACTAATGATTTGCATGAAAGTTCTTTCATAACTTAATACTTTGAGGAGCAAATAAGAAGCTCCGATAGCAAGACCATGATGACTGTAAAAAAATATTTTGATGAGTTGGATGTCTTGTGACGCCACACCTAACAATCACATTAAAAATAGTTTCAGAAATATTGTTGAATATGTTGAACGGGAGACGAATAACTCCGATTATGAGAGATGTATCGGTGTCTTGTAAATGACACAACCATCCTGGAAATCATGGTTCATTCACGCATATCTTGCTTTCTTCACCTTTGATAACATCCGTAACTTTCTTTTTGAAAGGAAAAAGTACAGTGCCTACTAGAACAGCCCACATCATGGGGGACAAAAACATATAAAGCATGTTATACATGGCAACTAATCCGCATAAGCTCAATCCCATCTAAACGTTGCCGTTAACTGTTATAACATGTTGTATATCATTACCAAGAAGATGAAAAGTGTATTGTAGAAGGCTATTCGTATAGCTGAGCTGTGATCATCACATCCAACAATCTTGCTCATGATTCCTCCACTATCCACAGCTTCCAGCATGATTCTGGAATGAGCATAAAGAATTAATTAAAACAAGAAAAGTTGGATTGAATGAGCACAACACGAACACGACCGCATCGCATTAAAGGTTTGTAATAAATAAACATCACGTAAACATATGCCCCGGAACTTCCTTCCAAAATTCAAATTTAGTTTTCATTTGAAACATTTGTTTTCTCATTCTCAATTTTATTGTCAAAATAGCGTTACTTAATGTCTCCAAGAAATCGATGGAAATACACACTGCGGCAGACCCGTTGTCTCTCCCGACTTTCCTGTTTGCCAAAATATTTTTCGCCACGAATTTTTGAAAAAGCATGGGCATGCGTCATATTTTAAAAAAAAATTGAAAGTTCAAGAATGAAAATTTATTTTGCGAGCCATATCGATTCGTAAAAACGTGTATTGATAATAGAAACTGCCTGTCCATGCCGTTTGCTTGCTTCATTTCAATCTACCGGCCGACCCTCAAACAGTTCCGAGAAAGTTGAACGAAGTGGTGAATGGTTCTCTCCGTCTTTTCCTGCCACAAACACATGACCATCCCAGTTAACGCGAACTTTAGGACTGAATACTCGTTTTTAAAAGTGTGAAGAAGACACTATAACCTGGAAGGTATATCCTTGATGATTGGTCTTTCCAACAAATGTATATTACGAACAGCTGCTTCACGAGCCTCGCTCGCTTCAATCAGAGTTAACCCGTGAGTTGAAGTTAGACAAACGCAAAGGACTAAAAAGAAAACTCCTCGGGACATGATGCTAGCGATTGATTAGACGGAAAACAGACGAAGTAGAACCTGTTTGAAGCAATCGGCCAAGCAGCCTTACAGCCTCACAACTTGACTTCCCCCCTTTATTGTATGGATCTAGGATTTCAACTTGGTAACAACAGGCAGAACAGTTTATTGTGCTGTTGATTTAATAACACGCGAGATAGACGGATAGAGAAGAGGAGGAGAGAGATACGCTGAGGAATAGTATAATAATATTTAAATAACAATAACGAGAGTAGACATTAAAACTGTCTAGATTGGTAACGTTCCACATCAAAGTAAGATGTTACTACGGTTCTATTAGCGAACTTTCTACCAGTAAGAGCCGCTTGGGCTTTCTGGCAGTCAGACTTCGAAGCGAACTCCACGAAAACCTACAAAGACACTCTGTAAGACGAGATCTACGCAATACTAACAAACCTTTCCGATTCCAGCTACTTCAATACCTTGGAATGGTCTGGGAATTTCAAGAGATTTAACAATACCGTACTTAGAGCACTCTTCACGGATATCTTCCATGATGTCTACAATTCAACAATTACAAATAGAAACGTCGACTCTACAAACCATCATATTCATCGTCCTCCTTCAATTCTTCTTCAGAAACCATGTTCATCAGACACAACACTTCAGTTGGATTACCGGCACCTTGTGATAGATCAATTCCTGAAATCCGGCAAATAAATCTGGATTTAGTAAATATTAACTGACCAGCAATACTGGAAGCTGCATGAGGCATTCCAGCTCCTCGTTGGTTTGCACAAGCTAGCTGAACAATAAGTTGCTTGTCACCAAGCTGCATGTCATTCAAACCAGCAATAGCCTATGAAAAGACAGTAAAAGGGATTTTCAAAATTAGAACTTACTTGATCTGTCAAAGTAGGATCGAGATACTCAGCAAAGGCATATCCTTTAGATTGCCCAGAGCTGTCTGTGACCAAGTTGAAAGCTTTCAATTGACCGAAAGAGCACAAAAGTTCTTTAACCTATAGGAGAACAACGAAATACTAATGAATTTTAAGCTATCGCGTACCTGATCTTCGTTAAGATAAGTGGGAAGACCTCCAATGAAGATCTTATTTGGAGAATCGACGACAATATTAGAAACTACAGAAAACAAAACTAATCAAATAATGAATTGAAATCAAACCTGGCATTCTAGCTACCATATCGTAATTAGTACTCATAGGTTGATAATCACGAGGACGTCTAATCTTAAGTTGTTGCCCCATGAAGTTGATTCCTGAAATTTACTTTTCAAAGATGCAATCCAATCAGGAACTAACCGTCAAAAGCCATTCCAGCAGTAGTTTCATCAATTGAACGGAATTCAATAAAAGCGAAATTTTTGTCTAAATTAATTTGACATGCCAATACTGGATTTCCTGGAGCTTGAGCCAGTCCACACAAATGCATCTGAGATAAGAAGATGAATTCAGATAAATGGAATGAGATCTTACTTGTTGATTGAAAAAGTCTAACATGGCTTCTTCATTACATCCGAATGGAATATTACCGACATATAAACGACGTGACTGACATGTAACTGAAGGACCAACAACGGGTACAGCTGCTTGAACATTTCCTCTAGGTATAGAGCCGGCAGCTGAAAATCATCGTAGAAAATATTAGTCAACACATTATTACCTTGCATGGCTTTATACTCTTTGGGAGTAATGTTCTCAAACCCAACTGGGGGAACATCCCAGAATTTATACTTCTTTTTAGGCTTTTCCTCTTCTCTTCGCCTATCACGATCACCACGATCACCACGATCACCGCGGTCACGATCACGATCACGATCACCACCTCGATCTCTACGTTCCCGACTAATAAAAATGAAATAAAAAAATGAAAAAGGTAATTGAACTAACGATCTGCTGCGTTTACGTTCTCGGCTCTTGCTTCTGGACTTGCCTCGACTACGGCTTCGCTTACGTCGTCTTCTTTCTTCACGATCTCTGTCTCTTTCACGATCCCTGTCTCTATCGCGATCTCTGTCTCTTTCTCTATCACGATCTTTTTCCTCCTTAACAGACTTTTCCTCCTCTTTAACACCCATTAAATCGAGCATCTACAAAACAATATTGAAACAGAGAAACAATACTAATTTAAACCTTTTGGTCTTGAACCTGGTCTCCACCTGACTTCCGGGATAGCTCCATATAAGCTTTGGCTACACTATCCATAGTTTTATCATCATCTTGGACGACAGCTCCACCGTCCACATCCATCTTAAAAGATGTTACTATCCAAACAAGCGAATAAATTTGAAAAAGATATGCATGACCGATAGACGGCAACAGAATGAAAACGAAATTATTTGAAAATCTATGGTACAAACGGGACAATAAGGCAAAAAGCATGAAAACATGTAGTAAGTGAAAATAAAAGTATTTACAACTAAAAACTTTCTAACCGGGAAAGGAGTATATATATTATGCATAATATGCATATTTATATAAATAGAATCTGTTCTTCGTATATACATTGGCCTCTAGCAACCGCAAAATCCTGAGTCTGCGTTCTGTGTCTGCGTTAATCGGAACGACGGTCTTTCGTTATCCCACAAACCGGGTGTTTGAATTACCTTCAGATAAATAGTTAGTTATACAACAATCAACATCATTTACCTTTTCTATCAATTCTTCGAAAGCACATTGCACTCCCTCATTAGTTTTGGCACTGGCTTCAACGAAAAGGGTTCTATGTCTGCGCGCGAATTTAATTCCTTCCTCTCTTGAGACTTCACGATTGGGCTTAACATGACATGACATGAGGAGCATCAAGTTTTACAAGCTTACCATATCAATTTTGTTAGCGACAACCATTTTAACAGCTTCTCCTTTCGTGGAATATGTGTCAACTTCAGTCATCCAATGATCTAATCTTTCGAATGATGATCGGTTGGTGACATCAAAAACTAGGAAACGGCAAACATGAGAAAAACAAAAAACTTTGAAAGCAAAAACTAACCACAAATAACTCCTTGAGCTCCTCTGTAATAACTGGGAGTGAGCGTTCTGAATCTCTCTTGCCCAGCGGTGTCCCATATAGCTAATTTAACTCGGTTACCATCGATATTCATGGAGGTTACACGGAAATCAACACCTAGCACACAAAACAATTTAAATGAACTCAAATCTATAGAATACCGATAGTAGCAGATTGCTCAGGATCGAAAGAATGATCAACAAATCGTAACATCAAACTAATAATAGTAAAAAAATTATAATCAAAGAATATTTGAAAAAACAACCTTGACTTGCCAACGCCACTTTCTCCGATAATTAAGATTTTCAGAGTCGTCAATACTGGATTATCTCCTTCTTTTTCGGTAAGAAAAGACATTTCTGAATTCAGTTAAGTATAATGCATGAAATTAAAAATATAAAATTACTTTTTATTAAGTTAAAAAGATGCTTAAGTCATATGCCCACAACGTCATTCGAAAAATTTTCAATTACCGTAAACTGGCGCGTGCCAGGACCATTAATGCAGAGAGAAGCGCGAAAATATATTTGAGAGACTTGCCTTGTTCAGCGTATTAACTATAACTGTCTTAGTTAGCTATCAAGCCAAAAATGGATCAAATTTCTTTTAATAATTCGCGAAATGACAGAACACTATACGAAGATCTAGCTTTTTTTGAAAAGTACAAGCAGAAAGTTGAGGTAATGTCAAATGCTTAAGTAGCCTGAGAGTGAGATGTCTTTTCAGAAGATCACGCCTAGCAACGATGAATTGGAGAGAACGTTGGATCAAATTGAAAGTCATAATCGAGATTTGTAGGAAATACGTAATTAAGAGTTCTTACATTTAGCTTTGTAGGGTTGCGAGCATGAGTAACATAGAAGAGCTCTTCAAAGTATTCGTCAATAGCATAAAAGGTGAGACTCATTCAACTAACTTCAGATGATAGTATCCGATTGTAGGTCCTAAAGATCGCAAGCTAGCACATTTGAAAGAACTGAATGAAAAAGATCAGAAGTTGAAGAATGGTTGGTGTGTTCAACTTACTTCTCAATAGTCAGTGAATTTTCAGAAATTATCGAAGCTCAAGCAAACCTCATCGAAAAGCGGTCTGAGAATGAAGAACTAAAGATTGATCAAGAACATATTGAAAATTTAAAAGCTACGATAACTTGTAATCTTCAGATGGAAAAAGAAACCCTGGAAACTCTGGCAGAAGGTGAACGACTACGGTAGTGCATATTCAATCTAAGAATTTTTCAGGCAACTACTTCATGGAGCGATACTGAATATTCGGTATCAGCCACTTGTATAGAAACACTCACTTTAATTTGTATATAATACTTGTCCAAATAAATCTGTACTCCCGCTTTTTCGTGTCCACTGCCTTTTTGCAATTCGATGACTAACAGCCACATTCCTCAGATCCCACAGACTTCATACATTTTCACAGTACGCAAAGAGAAATGTTCTTAACTAACGTAATATCCCATTATCCATCCCTACACGTACGTCTGCACAGTTTTATCAGAAAATCCCCTTTCCCCAAATCTTATGTGCGGAACCTAATATTTCAAAGCTTTCTGATACTCCATTCAAGTTTTCAATTTTTTATTGTTAGTATATGTACAGTAAAAAAATAAATATATCCACATGCTGCATAGTACATCCCACAAGTCGTTATTGGGCAGATATTTCTGATTTAAATCCAGTATGATTACACTGTAACTCATATTCTCATAAGCCTGTTTCATCTGAATACTCACAGCATTTCCGAACCCTCCCGTACGGTATGCAGATCGCGCAGCAGACTCGGACTCAGCCTCCGAAGACCCCTTACATTCAGACTGCCTCCTAGAATCAGATTCGGAAACCCTCCTGAACTCAGCCCACTCCGACGGTCTTCTAGACTCAAACCCATCTCCATTCGATACAACATTCTAAAACGTCGACAATCATATTCCAATTAATTTCTAAATCAACTACATCCTGCGAAAGTGAAGACCCTCTTCCACTACTGACGTTATCAGTAACATTTCCTTTACTATAGATCTAAACACAAATATTCAAAATTTATTAACAAAAATTTTTTTTCAGTTTTTCTTTTTGTTTATTATTGTTCGAATCATTCTGAGACAAAAACATGAGTCTCTATGAAGAAGGAAATACCTGATCTGTAGATTCATAACTGAAGTGGTTGACAGTCTGGTTAAATCCACCCACAGAAGAGCATCTACTCGATGTATTAGTCTGTAAATGGTTGAGCATGTTGTAAAAACTTTTCAGTAACCAACCTTCTCTACATCAGCAGGAGACGCTCTTCCCGTATTTTCGTTGGCGAGAACACAGCTGCGATCACCTAAGCAACTAAATTTGTGGAGGATTTCTATGAACTAGCATACGGAGGATGCTTTCCAGGGTGAGTCCAATACTATCAAGCAGATCACCACATCGAGAGTCCAAGGTTGTGAATATGTTGACATCAGATTCTATGAACAAGAGAAAGACGTTACTTCAACAGTTGAATTATACCTTCCGTGAAGAGCGAGCGGTCAATCTTGCGGAATACATCAGTCAGATTCTGATCAGTGTTACTTTTGGTGAGATCTGAGCAAATAATATGTTTGAAGTTATTGAATACCAAGAATACCAGATCTCAAAGCTGTTATGAAGTTAGTAGCGTTTTCCTCGGAAACGCCCAAACTTGAAACGGATTTGTACAAATTACATTCGCTTGAGGTTGTAATACAATAAGCCAGAGCGATTACTAGAGCTCCATTCTTATAGTTATTTTTCTGAAAAGAAAGAAGTACTTGTTAAGTGCTGGAAAATTCTTTCGCACTTTAGCAATAGCATACAACTTATACAGAATACCCCTCGTGGCAGCTACACGGTGTTCATTGTTCCCCTGCTGATACATCTCCGAATCCAACCAGAACTTCAAGAAAGTAGCAAGCAACCCTGAAGAACACGAAGTCTGAGAAAACGTTTACGAAAAGTTGGAATACCATTAGGGGAAGGTGGAATTTGTTTCAAGAGTTTGGATTGGACAAATGATTGTGCATGATTTACCAATTCTGACACACTGGCAACGAACTCCATTGTTTTCTGAGTATATTCGATTGTGAGAGAGTAGCATATGAGGTGAAACCTTGAAATAGATTTTCTCCAGTCCATAGAACATATCGCCCAGAATATGCATCGAGACCGTGCCGAAAAAGTCATTCAAAATTTCTTTACACTGATCATACTCTCCTAGGCAGAGACAATTGATCAGAATTTCTTGCAAGGCAGTAGATATATCCATGCGAGCAGACTAAATACGACTTCTAAACTCCAGAAGTAAAACATCCACTCACAACTATCTCTTCCATATCCACTAGGTTCTTCTCTTGATGCGAGAAAGTGCACTTCAGAATTCGGTAGGACAAAACCTAAAAGAGAGTTGGGACGAATTTGCTTAATGTTAAGAAACTAACGGAGCCAATCGCACTCAACAGCCGAATGTTCATCATCTGCTTATCAGCTTGATTAATATCACATAAGAGCCTAAAAATGAAGTCAAAGAACATGGAAACAGAAGAACGAGTAACTGAAGCGCAGATAAACGATTACACAACGATGGTAAGACCAGCGGGGTGAACATGTCACGGAATTTCAATGAGGTAGTTAGCCTGCAGAGAACGAACGCATCCCTAAAGTAGACGTTTTCTAAAGAGATCTAGAGACTTGATGACAAACCAGCAATATCCTTGTTTCCATAGTTCGGTAACTCCATACTGTTTTCCCATAATAGAGATGAGCATGTCAGCAATACACGTTGTGAGACTAACTGCTTCCCTCAAGTTATTTGGTGCATTTTTCTTGAGGAATGAGAAGTTGGATAAGGCTTTGTAGTACTGAACCTGTTCTCCACAGATTTCAGCTGAAAAGAAAAAATGTTGATATCACAAAAGAGAAGAGGATTACGGATAGCCTTATTTTGATTCAAAACATTGATTACATCGATGTCCAACTTGTGAGCCTCCACAAATTCAAGAGCTTTGTTTTCCTGGAAGCAAATGTTGAACTCTTGGACAACCAACTACTAACTCTTCCGAGAATCAGGGCCAAATCCACATAGCGGATGACAGTTTCATTATCAAGAGACTGGGGTTTATTGAAATCCACTTAATAGATCGTATATGAAAAAAACGATGTGACAGTAAACTAACAGATTTCGTCTAACATGGCTGGAGTTAGTTTCTCATTAGGCTTAGAGTGAAACAGATAGTTGAACAGAGGATCCACACTACCAATATTCTCTGATAAAGTTGTGAAGGTGTCAGTGTATTCAACACCAATCTGTAAGGAACCATCTGATACATACTTATTCCCTCACTACCTCCTTCTCTGTTTTGACAGCATAGTTGTTGAAAACGGATTTCAGCTGCTGATTAATACCAGCTAAACTTTTACCGAAAAAATAAACTTTTTCTTCGGCAATTTTAATGCTTTTTCTATCTGTCCAGGACATTATCAAAACTTGCTGTTGTTAACTTCTGCAACTAACAAGTTAAAGACTTCCTGACAAAAGCAAGGAGAACACAAATCGAGAAAAACAATCATCACGACCCAACCCAATTCGATGACCCGAACAAAGTACACAAATAGTACATAGCATGCAGTAAACCCCTTAAACTGACCACCCGTATCATAAAACAGCTGAAAAACCAGATAAATCTACATTCACACATCATACAAGCACCCTACGCCTATTCTGTCATATGAACTGTCTCGTCAACAACAGTCGACGTGCGTTGAAAAATTATGCCGCAAACGCGGTAAAACTTGATTTTGAATTTTTGCGCAAAATATTTGCGTATACGTAAACAATTAACGTACTCCGTAACTTTTGCTTGATACCACTCGTCATTTATGTCGTTGTAAAAAATATATTCAACTCGTGATCTTCAGGGAAACCAAATGTTATGAGCAGTCTGTCGCAAAAGGACTTGCAGCAAATGCCAGTTACTGAGCATGAATGTATAAAAAAGATTGTACACTTGGGTAATCTTATAAAGGAGACAGCAGAGCATGAACAACAAAAGAGGCGAAGTTTCAGAGATGAGGGAGTAGCTGTGCTACAAACTTTCATAAAGTTGAGATATGATTATCTGCTTCGATTGGAAGTTGCCGACGCAACCTTCTCAGTCCATAAATACAAAAATGATAGTGAATTCTTAGAGAAAGTGATGATCTCCTTTCATGATATACATCCCTTGAAGCCTGGTTTGATATTTCCTCCATAAGCCTTAGAGTATTCTCAATAGATTTTGTGAAATGGTGCATGTCAAAGATGTTGGGAGCACAACTCGGTCGAGTCGTGAATGAACGTGCTGGTAATTTGGTTCAAGCTAGCATCCTCCAGTTATCAAAGCTTCTATGCGATGAAGATCATAGAACATTAGTCATAGATCTGATAGAGCAGCTTCATGGTATGTCTGTCTTTCCCACAATATTCCACTGAAAACTCTTAGGTGTGTTAAAAGGATCAGACCGTATAAGCTTCTTGCCACACGTCGATAGTGAGCACGAATTCTATCTAAATGTTCCAATATCTCCTCTTAATGGAAGCGATGTGACTGTTTTTAAATCCATACTGTAAATCTTGGCTTCTGTTCACTTCTGATTTTCAAGCTTACAGATATCTTTTTATTCATGGTTCCTTCAACTTTGAGATTCTATCAGCATATCATCTACTCAAGTTCTGGCTAGTCCTGCTTAAGATCTATAACATTCAAAACATCGAACTGAGGACGGTATGTGCATCGAAACTCTCCCAACATATTCATTCTGTTCAGCTTTGCGTTCTTATTTTTCAAAAGCTGGTAGGTGCCGATCTAGGGAATTGGGTAATCTGCAGAATTCTCATGGACAAACTTCTCCAGGTAACAATTTCCTTTCTCACTTGTTTAATATGAATTATTGAAGGTTGAGAAGAACATCTCTGAAAATCTCTCAACTTATTCCACAAGCTTACAAGAAGCCCATCATTCCTTCTTCTTGGTTAGTTACTCTGAAACTGACTAATTTGAGATGATCTTACAGGTTTTTGCAGACAAATTGAAGAAATTCGAAGACGCTAACCTCTTGAAGAACATTGACATTGAATCTTTGATATTGTGGGGGAAAACGAGCGTAGAACTCTCAAACTGTTATCCTAGTCCTCGTAGGTTGCGTGAGAAGGATCAGTGTTTCATACAGTAGTTAAGCTCCGAGAATCACAAAGCTGGCAGTAGTTTTCTGTCATATTTTGAGTAAGCTGAACAATAAGGAAATTTGTAGAAACGAAAATTTCAAGGAAATGATCCGAGATATACAGGTTTGTTTCTGTTCATCTAGCTCAGACACTTCAAACGCCTTTTTAGAAATTGATATCGACCATATTAAGCTTCGATGACAGCCAAGTTATGATCGATCATTTAGTACCTTACATGACTTTGCTCTTGAGAGTTGACAGTCTCACGGAAACGAAGTATACCCTACAGACCTAGGGCCTTCAGCCTTTCTCTTGCAGATTGTATAGCAACTGGATATGCGGCATAACCATGAAGAAGACATCAACGTTAACAAGAGAGGAGAAGCCAGTAGAATCCATCCTGATCCGAAGAGTGGTTATGGCATCTTTGAGTCGTTGTCGTACTCCTCTCGCTACAGAAATCCTACCGAAGATCTTACCGGATCAGAATTCTCTTGTTCAGGTTTTTCTAAATTTCTCTCCAATGATCATATCATATATTGCCAGATGTTAGACAGAGCTTGTGACAATGGCTCTTCAGACATAGTTCGTTCTCTACTAGAGATGATTGGTGATGTAATCACTGAAAATGTGTTTCCTCCAGCATTAACTGTAGCATTCCTCTCAGTCCCATGGCTTACAGTATGTCTAGTCGCTGTAGTGATGTTACCAGCATATTTCAGGATCCAGAGCTTGTTCTTGCTTCCAAACGTCATTTCTTATCCATTAACCTATTAAAAGACTTTGTAAGAACTGCTAAGAAGGGACAGCAAATACTAAGTTAGTCGCTTTTGCTGTTCTTGCATTATATTTTCCAATCAGCTGACCAAATCCGAGAATGCTCATTGCGTCCGCTCGCTCACATCAAGGGGTTTTCCGAATGGAGACGAATCATATTCTTGTCTGCCTTGCAGAGCAAAAAACGTAATCTAGTCTTGGTTTGTTTCCTATATCTTCATTTACTCACACCAGTTTACAGATGGCACTGTCCAACATTGCTACGTTCATTGCTGTGTCAGAATCGTCTTCCTTCAATATTCTTGTATCAGCCACTCTAGATCTATTCTTTTCTCCAAACACCTCTGTGGAGCTATCAAGAATCCTATCAGCCTTATCCGCTTGTGTTTGCGCTTCTCATCCAGCAGCCACTGTTCCTTTCAATTCCATTGATTGCAAGCATTGTCTATCACTTCGATTAGGGAAGGGAGATGGGTTTCAATGGGACAGCAAAAACGCCCTGAAGCTTCCAGAAAGGCTTCTCCTATTCTTGGAAAACATTCTGAAATTCAAAAATATTTCCACATATGATAGACATACTCGTTTAGGTAATGCAGATTAGTTCAGACTCATTTTTGCGTTTTCTTTCCAGAGGCTGCCATTCTGTTATCCTGTTGTATGTGTCACAGTGCTGGGATAGAGTTCTTCCCAATGAATGTTTTGGAAAACAGTTTGAACCTGATGGCAGAAGTCGATGAAGAAATACAAATGGAATACTAGTAAGAACATAGTCCGCCTGATTTCGCATACTGTACTTTCAGCTTTCCTCTAAAACTTATCATTTCTTCGAAAGTATCAGAATCTTTACTAGGCAGTGTCAGATCGCATATCCTCGCTTATGAAAAAATCGAAGAGGAAGAGCAAACTTTACTTGTTGCCAATCATATGTGCCATTTCCTGGTTATCTGCGCAAAGTGGGAGACCGAATATTTCTATATTTCAAGATTCTATGTTTAGAGAAGCATATCATCAGGACATCCGTTCGCTAGCTTTCCAGCATCATTTCAGTATGGTGTTACAATTTGGAACTAGGGTACCTCTTGAAAGTATTTTCTTTCTACTTAATTTTATCTCCAGGAGCTCTTTGCTTCAATGCGAGTTCTCATTCGAGATTTGGCATCAGCCAGCAAGATTGATTCAGTTCAGTTATTTGAACGCAAAGTTCAGGTGGGATTAAGTTTTCTTTCACTCAACCATCAACCTTAGGTTTTGAGCGAAGAAATTTCAAACGATCTGGTGTCATCTGTCCAGAGAGTTCAATTAGAAGGAGCTGTGGATTTGAAACAATCAGCCATAGCTGTGATAGACGATGTGCTTGTCACGGCTCAAAAAATATTTGCATTTGAGAGCATAGAATTGTAGGCCATTGAAATATACTTTCTCTAGCTTTTATATTCAGATTAATAGCTTCGTGTGGCAAGTTTCTGATTCCAGCTTTTTTTCTGGTAGATGAACCGCTCCAGAATGTATCGCGCGTTATACTTGACAGGATACGACATCACATTCACGTTACGGAAGCTGAGCTAGGAACAGAGGTCTGTTGTTCTAAGAGTTCAATTTTTCATCTGATCGTTAAGTTTTTCCCTTCTTTGTTATCTTTCCGGCTGTTGAAAAAAATCGACGATGATAACAGGTCTCTCCTGTTCGTTCGTCATTACTGTGGAATCGAAACTGTAGGTTCAAGTCACCTCAAGGAGCCAAACGTTTCTCTTCAGAGCATGCTAGTTAATCAAAGACGATACTTCTGCAACTTGTTTTTGATTCATATGTTGTCGGTCGATCAAGAAAAATGTCTCGAACTCATTTTCGATATAAATATGGATATAGTACCGGCACCTTTGAACCTAACCAAAGTCATAAGTGTCAAGTAACTGAGTCTTACTTCTATCGGAGTAACATAACATTTCAGTTGCGAATATCTAGGATTGCTTCTTCATTTCCGTAGAACACTTTTCGATGATGTTTTCTATGAGCTTCGTCATATTCTGCTTGCCAGCTTCGCAGCTTTCATCAGATTATTAGAGAGCAGCTTCATTTCACAGATTGTAAACAAACTCATGGTTGTTCTCCGTGCTGCTACTACAGTAGGGGAAGGATCTATACCATCTTGGATTGCTTTTGTGCAACGTCTGGAAACTAGGTATAATTTTCATGTCAGCTCTTATAAATGTGATATAATAGAGAGTTGGAATCTCTCTTGCCTCAGATACTCATAGCTATCCAACCACTTATGCGATATGAAGCAGCGAACGATCTTCTGGAGCTGATTTTTGAGCAAAAAGGGCCTTTGGAAGTTGATCAATGGTACGTTAATATTGAATAGCCTTTCTCAACAATGTCTTAGTGAGAATTTCAAAAGAACTGCCTTGGTTCTCATTAATCGTGACAGTGCTGGATCTTCTATAGTTGAAAAGTATTTGAGACGAGTATCCGTTACTGACGCTCGAGATCGTGTTGTTAAAGGTTTTTTTCTTTTTCTGTCTGCTTTCTGCTTATGCATTGCTTCGATCAGGATGTGTTAGAATGCTTATTGATGAGTGCGAAACTGTTGGAAAAGTAGTTCTGGAGAAGCTGATAACTACTTTGGATGGAACTTCATTGGATGATGTCCTAGCCGCCGAATTGGTAAGCTGAAACATCCAGTTCGTTGATTGCTTTTTTTCAGGTACCAGCCTTGTTCCACTGTCTACGTAGGTGCAGTGAAGCCAATGTTCGACTACTGGCTGCTAGGTGTCTTGGACGAATAGGAGCAGTAGATCCTGGTCGTCTTGGGCTATCACTAACGAATCGTCGGTTAACTAGTGATGCCTTAGTCTTCGCAGGTGACAAAGATGTAATTGAATTCTTAGTTTCTCCGTTCTACTTTATCTGTTGCAGTTCAGTGCTGACTTGATTGAACGGTGTTGGAGAGTTTACTCAACTGTCAATAATGCTTTCATGATCGATCAGATAGAGTATTCGATTCAAGAGCTGTTGGCTAAGCTTGTGGGGCAAGGAGATGAAGAAGGAATTATGAATAAGTACGACAAAAGCTGTGTAGCTTCTACATTGTCAAGTTCACAGGTTGCATCCAGATTGCCGTAGAGATATTGAGCCCTTGCGTCATACACATTTGAATCCAACTCGTGAAACGAAGCTTTTGGAGGAACTGTAAGTTTCTTTACTTCTTCCATGTACTGGTTTCCTTAAGACCTATTGTTGATAATGTTACCGGGTTCGACGAATGGTTACAACAATGTTATTTGCTGGGTGCAGCTCATGTAAGTACTCAACCAATTCCAGTAACTCATTCGTTTTTTTGAGGTTCGTGGTTCTCCTATGAGAGAAGTTTTTCGAGCGTTGAAATGGATAGTCAACACTAAAACAACCATCTTCACTAAGCATATTTTATGTCAGCTGATCATTCGTCTCTTAGTCGAGAATCCTGTGGATAACATTATTGACAACGTTAGTGGCATTCATTCCGATTCTGAATACTCAAACTTTTACAGTATTCTATGGAGATGGAAAAGGTGCTGCAAACCTTGATGACGGACACGGCTCCAAGCTGGATAAGAATGGCTGCTCATGTCGTTTTCTCCATTCTAGATGTTGTTGAAAGATATATTATTCTGAAAATCAATGGATCTAGAAGAACAGTGCACAGGGTTTGTTTGAGCTTGACAGTGCTGATAACAACTGTGTTGTAGGAAGTTGAGCGGGCTAGAGCGTTCGTAAACAGAATCGTACAAGTTACAATGCCGGATGGATCCTTATTAGTCGTAGCTGCGGCTGAGAGATGTCAGTGTCTATTCAGAGCTCTTAGATGGTATGACAGAAGATTCACTTTGCGCTTCATAATATTCCTAAAGGTGTGAGCAGTACGGAATTGGAAAAGACGATAATGGCGGTGACATATTTTGTCGAAATAATTTTTACACTATGGAAGTTTGTTGAACCTTACTGCTACCTTTCTAAGCTTTGAAATCTCTGTTCAGCGTTTATACTCGAAACTTCAAAATGTGGATGGTGTTCTGGGAGCTTTTGAATGTCTTGCAAACCGTGTTGATCCTAGTGCAGACGAACGAATTCTAGCATTGGAAGCAAATGGAGATTACAGCGAAGCCTTTTCGCTTTATGAAAGCACAGCTGAAAATCAGAAGGTTCCGAAGATGATGAGAAGACCAGACATTGTTATATTCCAGATGAAATTGATAAGATGTCTACTACGTTTGAAGCAACCTAGTTTAGCGTTAGACGCGGCTACTTCGATTTGTTCCACAAATGATCTGGACGAAGCTACAAGAGCACAGCTTGAGGCTTGTCAAATGGAGGCTACCTGGCATTTAAGAGATTGGGAGAGATTAGAAAAAATGATTGACGTAAGCTCAGTCATTCAATTTCTGTATATCTTAGAAACTTTTCAGAAGAGTGCCAATATTCTTTCGCTTCCAGAAGTTTCATGGGGGGCTACTTGCGCATCTATCATGTGCAGTGTTAAGAAGCGTCAACCAGCTGTTATTTCTGCAAGATTGGAATCTGCTAGAGAGCGCCTAGTTGAAAATTTAACTGCTATGACTATCGAACACGCAGATGCCTACGCTCAAGCTTACAAATATGTAGTTCAGTAGGAGTTAAGACACCTAATTAATTCTATATCCGATGGCCTAGGCTTCACATTCTCGAAGAAGTGGACGATGCTACAACAACCTTGAAGCTATTGTCGAGCCAAGAGAGAGAGGATGTTTCATTGCAAACTATAATCTCGAAGTGGAAGGTTGAATAGAAATGTAATTATATATTAATGAAAAAACGATTTTAGTCACGTTCCGAATCCACCATGCAATGCACTTCTACATTGGAGCCAATTCTACAAGTTCGACGGGAAATCCTCGAATCTAGCAGAGGTGAGGAGTACAAAAAGGAAGTAGCTCAACTTCTGATTGAAGTAAGTTCTCGCGTATAGAATAGAGAAGAATGTATCAATTCAGAGCTCGCGCTTGGCTAGACAAGCCGGTCATTTGCAGATAGCATGGACTCACTTGGTCGAAGCTAAGAAACTGAATGTTAGTTATAAAGATGTGGGGATGGAAGAGGCTAGATTTGAATTCCAAAAGGTATCTCATATGAGGGAAGAAGACACTAATTTCATTAATAGGGGAATCAACAGCAAGCTATTGGATTGCTGTCGAAGCTACTGAAGGGTAAATTTGAGAACATGAACAAACTGTTCGGAGTTTTCGTGAACGAAATCGTTAGTGGAGTACCTGTTACTAACCATGCTATCCTTCAACGTAGAAGAGAAGAACGAGCAGCGTTTGCTGAGGTTTTGAGAGCTAGCCGATTCATGAATATTGTTTCTTGTTAGGTTCAACTGCTTCGAGCTGAGTATATAATGAAAGCTGGTGCTATGGGCGCTAGCGATTTATATAAAACATACAACGCTCTAAGAAGCTTAGATGTTCCATCAGAAGACCTTTTCTATCGTGTAGCCGTTTTCATGGACGGTATGTTTGGAACCAATGGAAAAGGAAAAACCGACTTGATGATCTTACTACTTGATACCTACTGCTCAACTCTCAAGTATGGAAAGAGTCATTTATTCCATGCTTTACCGCGGATGCTCACACTTTGGCTGGATATGACAGAGAAAAAGGTTTCATTACACCTTTTACGTTTGACACAGTCTTTCAGAACGAATCAATGCGAGCTAGAAGTGCTAACAACTTGAACAATCCAGATATGGAAGCCAGTGATCGATGCGATATCGACAGAGTGAGTGATTTCTAACAGACTCGCAGAACGGTTGTTTCCAGATGAACACTTTCATCATCGATGCATTCCGTCAACTATCATCCTCAGATTTTTATACAGCTTTCCCTCAACTCGTTTCACGTATAGTTCATCCGGTAGAATGCGTTTTCAACACTTTGAAGATCATTTTGTCCGAACTAATTTGCAAATACCCTCATCAGTGTCTCTGGCAATCAATCGCTGTATACCGCACAGGAGCTTGGAGCAAAAACATAAGACAACAAAGGTAACAAGTCATGTTTGCCATCCAACTGAAAAAAATTCAGATGTACTGAAGTCTACAATGTTGCTAGGAACAAGAGTAAAAGGAATAAATCTGGTAGAAGCGAAATGGAAGACTTGATCGATCAGTATGACTATATATCAGCACTCTTGATTAAGTATGTTAAATCGCTCATTTTCATTTCTATTCGGTCTTCAGATTTGCCGATGACAAATGCCAGCCAGGAACGTATGTGGACATGTCAACTAGATTCGCAGCTCTATATAATTTCTTCAAACTAGGAAAATTAGATTGTTCTTATTTAAGTAGGTTATGAATCTGGATTCTTTCATTCTTCGAACACTGTTCAGTGGGAGCAAAAGAGCGCAGGGTAGAAGGAATCCGCAAAGTAACGCCTTCGATTATGATACCTTTGACGGAAATGCTACAACATGCTGTAACTCCAGAAAGGGACTTGAAGGTTCGCAGTCATTTGCGGGGATTACAACTTTAGGTGTTTTAGATTTGCTATATGTCCCAAATGGTCATGTTACCCGACTCGCTGAACGAGGATGATACTAGTGTTCCTGAACTACTTGTTCATTCTTTGGATCAAGAATACATAGTATGTGAGAGGCTTGATATATTTTCTAGAAAATTTCACAGGTACTCAAATCTATGCAACGTCCGAAGAAGCTGACTCTGCGAGCCGCTGATGGTAGAACTTTGCCTCTTATGTGCAAGCCGGGCGATGAACTTCGTAAAGATGCTAGATTTATGGATGTCAGTAGGGTGAATATTTTTGTATTTTTTTCAATTGTGAATGAACAATTCGACAGATGATGAATTCACTTATGAAGCAGAATGCTGATGCTCGTAGAAGGCAACTAATGGTCCGAACCTTCAGTGTCATTCCGTTACAGGTGGAAAGTTTCCAAGAGTTGTTCATGTATCAGATTATAGTCAGGAGGTGGAATATTGGAATGGATCAACAACCTCATGCCATACAGGGCGATTCTCCAGCCCTTGTTTGAAGAGAAAAGTGGAGAATCTATCAATGAGGCCTCATGGTTTGTCCAGTTTTGAAATCCAACAATCCAACAACTATGTAGGTTCAAAAACTGGGATGCTCATGCGCAAGAGGAAGACAGGATAAGAGTAATGAGGACGTTCTTCTATAAGCATTATCCATTGGTCATGGCAGATTGGTTTAGGTATCCATTTGCAGTGGTCAACAGTCTGTATAAAACGGTTTAGGAGACAGTTTGCTGATCCAGCTTCATGGCATGCCGCTAGGACTAGTTATGCCAGCTCTTCAGCTGTCATGTCAATGATCGGGTTTATACTTGGACTTGGTAGCTATTTCAGAAAAAATCATAGAAACGCAGAGTTTCAGGTGACCGACACGGAGAGAACGTGCTCATGGATGTTCTGGAAGGATGTGTTGTTCATGTGGACTTCAACTTGATTTTCAATAAGGGCGAACAATTGCCTGTGAAAGAGGTATGCAATGGTTGTAACAAAAACCGAATCGACTTGTGTTCAGTGTGTTCCTTTCCGTCTTACCCGTAATATGGTCAATGGACTCGGTCCAACAGGTGTAGAGGGAGTTTTCCGGAAAGCCTGCGAAGTAACTCTGAAAGTATTGCGTGAGAACAAGGAGACTCTATTGAGTGTCATTCAAACATTCGTACATGATCCGTTAGTCGAATGGATAACAACAGAAGCGCGTACACAACAAAACAGGGTTAGTACATTCAGATATGTGTTCGCAAGGCAATCGTTCATTCCAGAGAGGAAATGTGAGAGAGCAGCAGCAACCACCAAAAGCGATTTTGCAAGCTCAGGGAGCAGTATCGTTAATCGAAAAGCGCTTGGGAGGTCATATAGTAACACCAGAAGTAAGATAACAGTAGCAAGCTTTGATCAAAAGTTATTCAGCTCTATAAACTTCATTATAATTGTGCGCCGATGAGCTTGGAAGGACAAGTGGACAAGTTAATATCTCTAGCTTCTGATGAAAGCTTGTTGGCACAGATGTATATTGGATGGGCGCCATTCATGTAAAAAAGAAAAAGAAATGCACATAGTCTAATAGATCTCTAACGATTCGATTCGAAAATTCCAGATTCGTATGTTAATAATAATAATAAAAATTGTTTATCATGAATTGTATAGACAAATTAAAAGATAAAAATAAGTTGTGAGTGTTAATTCAAGCGTTTTCATTCATGGATGAAGGGCAGTTGCGATGACGATAAGTGCCATTTATAATGGCCAACTGGAAGAACAGAAAAAAGAATGAGCATGGCAAGAACGAGTGATTTTAACCTGGATTAATTGCTTCTTCTTGTACTCATCATGTATAGGTGTGAGAAGCGTCTTCACAAAGTTTGTTGCCATCTTGAGCTTGTTTTCACATCTAGGAAAGGTCAGTCAACGATATAAGTAACTTCTATTCAGACGTCATCATATTTGAATCTCTGGCAGTTATGAGTACATGCAGTGGCTCATGTAGATGTTTCCAACTTTCGAAACTTTTCAACTGTTTTTCTCTGCGAGGATCCTATACGGAAAATGAGATCCACAATGTGAGAGGAATGGGCCCACCTTAACACTCCCTTCGCCTCTTATGCGGATAGAACAATTTGTTTCTGCTTCAAGTTGTTTAATGCTTATTCCACAAGGCCCTATAAGTCGACCAATCAAATTGCAGTTACTATTTCTGAAAGAAATTTTTGAGCACAATAGAATGGATACAATCTGACTCTGGGGTTTTCGGAATGTAAATCTTTTCTTTCATTTCATACTGATCACCCCCTTCAGCAGTTTGCACAACAGCAGAATTCTATAACTCGGAAACATGGAGTAGATACATCTATAAAGACATCTCAACTCACAACTAGCTGAGGCAATCTGCCAGCCTCTTGGCGAATTAACGAGTTCGGTAAGATTTGAAGACTGTTGGAAGGATTGTTGCAATAGAACATAGACCAGACACGTTCAATTTCATTAATTAAGAGCTTCTGAAAAGAAAATCTCTCAAGAAGAATTTTTTGGAAAAATTCACATTGAGGTGAGTAAAATGATGTTCACGTTCAGCAAGTTGTTGGAGATTGTGCAAATCGAGCATCAATTCATTCATATATCTACAAAGGTAGATAGTTCAGAGAAAATTATCTTACGAAAAGGTTTTACTTATGATAATCGACTTCGGATTCTAAAGCGCCGTCTTCACCTCCGTACATGACCGACCGTTGACTTTATAACTACACGTAAAAATAAACGACGTTTCACGCAATTTCATTTTCAATCACAATAGCGGTCGTTCTATCGCCTATCATGATTCGTCTCAATTTCCAATTTTGTTATCGTTTCCAAGTGTTTATTTTGCTTTTGTGTTTCGTATTCCCGAAACATCTTCTCTAGTTCATATCCTGACTGAATATATATGAGTTTTCGTATTATAACAACTATACAATATACAATTTATTGAACAACAGTTAGTAAATGCATTGTGTAAGTTCTATCATGAAACTCAGTCCTTCAATACAGGACGAGCTGCCCCAATCGCAAAATATGACCCAGTGCGAATTCCTTATACAATGTGTTGATTTGGCGTATTAAGCTTCTTTCACATGAATATTGCAAAGTTCTAATCATGATTTCGTGCAGATATGCCGGAGAAACCTACGGAAACCCCAAACCCTGAAGCACCGTTCGCTTACGCTTCTCAAGATGGTTTGAGCCCAGCTCTCTTGGGATCTGTTGGGGTCTTGCTTTTAGCGTAAGTTAACCCTTTGAGATATGCCTTTATGTAGTAATTTATAGTGTTCTGTTCATAATATATCGTCTGTTGAAACTACAATGGGATGAACAAGCTGCTAAGAGGCGAACAGCCGCAATTATTGCGGCCACAGAAGGCGAAGACAGGCCTCGAAGAGAAGCTGAAAGTATGTTCAGCTTATTCTTTGCAATTGCTACCATTGTGCTTTGAAGTGGCTGGGGGTAGAAGACGTGGAGGTCCACGAAGAAGAGTCAACCATGAAGAAGACTTCTTTGATCAGCTCATAGCCGAACAACAGGGAGGTGATGACGATGAAGACGATGATGAAGGTATGAGCAATTTAAGTCACATATCTTAGCATTTCTTCCTCAGATTTCGACTATCGTGTATCCGAAACAGGAGAGAAGATTGGTAAGCGTAAGGCTATGAAGCTGCAGGCTAAAGCGGAGAAGAAAGCTCACCGAGAGCAGGTATCCTTTCTTTAAGCTACAACAATATTTCCTTTTGTTTATAGGAGCTCAGAGATCGAGAAGAACAGAAGATACGAGATGCCGAAAAAGAAAAACGAAGAGAAGATGAAAGAGAAAAAGAGCGTTTAGAAGAAGAAGCAGAAGAGGAGAGAAAGCGGAAAGAGAAGGAAGAGAAAGAGAAGAGAGAACACGAAGAATACTTAGCAGTAAGTTTCTATGGCCATTTCCTTTTGTCATATGATAACTCTAGATGAAAGCATCGTTCGCAGTTGAAGAGGAAGGCTTTGATATAATGGAAGGTGAAGAAGCCGAAAACTTGTTGAAGGAGTTTGTTGATTACGTAAAGAAAAGCAAAGTTGTTAACATGGATGAGCTCGCAGCTCATTTCGATTTGAAATCTGACCAAGCCGTTAACAGGCTCCAATTCTTTTTGGAAAACGGACAGTTACAAGTAATTCGAATTTGAAAAGATTTTCTTATTCAAGCTTGCAGGGTGTTGTCGACGACAGAGGAAAGTTCATTTACATAACTAATGAGGAGCTAGATGCCGGTAAGAGTAATTGAATGAGGAAACCTGATCTCTTATTCCGTTTCAGTGGCAAAGTTCATAAATCAACGAGGTAGATTTTCAATACACGAACTAGCAGAGTATAGCAACAAGTTAGTCAACTTGGAAGGAGAGGAGGATTAAAACTGTATAAACACAACTATTTAATTATTTAAAAACTTTTGCACTATTTAATTGTACCTGATAAACAAATAATTGAATTATTATACATAATTACTATCATGTTGCTGGCTCTACCAGCTAGTGATATTACCCGGGTATAAAGTGTTGCTTATTACAGTGTTAATATGTCGAGAGTTACTTAGTCACCATTTCGTGGGCCACCACGCTGCTTGCCCCAGTCTCTGTTAATTCTTCTTCTTGTATTAAACGCTGGCAAAATCCTGGACCGTATCTCGCTTCTAGCAGTATCCTTTGTATATTAAACTTCATCAACGCTTTCTGAAAAATGCTGATGTTCAACAAATCAATCTTCAGGACATACCATGTCGTCGTCATATCGAGCGAGACTCGAACTTATAAGCTGTTGGAATGCTAAATCTGCATCATATTGACTCTGCTGAAGATACCCTGGGTGGGAAGTAGGAGATGATGACAAGCCGGACTAAATACAGACTAATATTGTATCGTGCACTCTGGTACATACTTCATTCATTGGGTGTTGCATCAGATGAGAAGAAATAACTCTTTGAGACAAATTCTGATGCCTATTACTTACAACCTGAATGAAGTACGTTCTCCCGTTCTGATTCGAAAACAAACCTGGTGTCCACTTATCATCATTGAAGCCAAAGGAGATTCGCTGAGTAAAGGTGAATCGGAATCTAAAAAGTAAAAGAGTAAAACGACCTTTACACTTTGAACAAACCATCCTGATCAATCACAACAGTACGTTCTTGGATACCGTCATCAATTATCACTTCTTCTCCCATCTAAACAAAATTATCTCATTGTGTTCTATGAACGACTGTGTTACTTGTGACTGAGATCCTTGGCCTCTGGAAAGTAACATGCGCTTCCTGGGTAAACCTTGCATGCTGTAGAAATTACTAATTGAAACTCGTAAAAAAAAGAAACTTGCCTTGTGATTTCCGGCTTCCATTCATTGAGTTTGTCATTATCAGTGGCACTGACTAATCGGTACATCTTCTGCGTACCATTGTAGTAATGCGGGTTTGGATCAAGAACCATTGACAAGCTACTCTCTAGAAATAAGACATGAACAATCAATAAACCAAACAGTTCTCATACCTTTCTTCAAATTAGGAGAATCGTTCACATCACCAGGACTACCTCGCTCGAAGCTTGAAGGACCCGACTGGATCTACAAGTGTTATGTTAACAGCAAAAAGTTTATAACTCACAATATGTACGCGTGAAGTAGTTCTGCTATTCGATTGTACAGAGCTGGGCGTTTGTATTTGAAGAACACCTCCACCTCCATTGCCTGACCTTGTAGCAGGTAAAACTGTTACACGACTAGAAGAGATTCTATAATAGCACCTAGTGCGCTTGTATAAAAAATTGATTACCCGCTGGGCATATCATTTCCTGAATTTACCACTCTGAAAGCTTGGCCCCCAGATCCACTTGGATTCCTTACAAGATAATATCCAGATGCTGAGAAGTTAAAATGAAACTTGGATTGAACTAATTCATCATACTTGATCCGCTAGTCGTTCTGATAGCTTCTACAGAGCCGCCTTGGTTAGATAAACGATTACTCGAGGGAGTGGACTGAGACTGGTATCTAAATGCCAAAATGTCGTAATAAAAAATCAATCTTAAACTTACCCGCTAATCATTACATCATGCCCTAAACCGTGAGGTTCGTAAAAATCTCGGGGCTGAGCTTGAGTGGTAGGAGGAGCTACAAAAAATGAGAGTAACTAATAAAAAGATGAATGATAATTTACAATGACTAGAAATGAAAGGAACAAGCCATCGCATCGCATCGAACACTGGATCATTATCATGTCGATCCTGAAAATGGCAGAGTTATAGGAAGTTCAAACTACAAAGTATAATACGTCGTTAAGTAAGCTACTGTTTTTTCTCAACTTTCGAACAAATTTGTCTCGTAAACGTTTCCAAACAAGCTGAAGCCCTTGAATGTCGTCTGAAAAAAAAACAACTCTTGTACTGAACAGTTTTCTCTCCAACCTGTCCATCTAATATCTTTAGCTATCTTTTTCCAAATCTCACTACGGAATTCAGCGCTTTGGTGTTTACTACCATGATATTCATCATCGGGATTGTATAAACAAGGATTTCTGTGAACACTATCTATCAGCTGAAGATGGAAAGCCTGAAAAATGAGATGTTGTTAGGACTTAACATGATTGTAGCCTACTTCATCTGTAATAGTGGAACTTCTTTCCCGTCTTGTAGTATCATCATCCGCTAACTCTTCGAGAGGCGAATCAATTGAGTTCAGCGTATCCGTAGCTAAATAACATCCCCTATTTAATACGTCTTAAAAAAAATATTTTTGTTTTCGCTATTCTATGATGCACACCTAATATCATCGGGTCGCAACGTAGCATTTCATCAAGTGGACACCTTTATTAATGAATGCAATCAAAGTTTACTTGTTTTTTTAAATCCACTAGAAAAAAACAATAAACCATATTACCATAGCAGATTACTCATGTTTGTATCTCATTCATATCAAAACATAAATCAATATTTTTCTAGATCAAGTCACACAATCACGTTCTATAATACACTCACTATGCGATGTTTTGTAGTTGTGAGTAATTTTAGAGTTTATATTTCTCACGTTCTCGATAAACGAAGAGTATTAACGACTATCTTCTACACAATGCCTACCCCACCACCCGTTTTAATGTTATATGCATCTCTCTGCAGAGTGACACTATCCTCACACTACTCTTCTACCGCTGGTTTTCAGACATCAAGGGTCATCGATTGATCAATGACCTACCACACCTCATTTCACTACACTAGCTTTATATTGTGGAAATATAACTATTCGAATTCGAAGAAAACATTAGAAATATCCCGAATTCATGTTTAACTTCAGAGGCTTATTGATATCAATTCCCCAACCAAAAATATAAAAAGTGTATGTGAAAGGAAAATGTGTTTCCTCAACTTCACGTATACACAGTCATCATGAATAAAATCGAAATAGAAATGTTGAATTCTCAACGTTGTTAATTCTTCTATTTATTCAATGCGTAAGCGTAAGAAAATCGGTGAAGCGAACCAGTTTGCCTATTTCTTACGCACACTATTTGGTTATTTAGGAAGTGAGAGCTATTGAAGAAATCTATGTATGCGCGCGCGCAGTTTGAAGCTTAGATCATAAACAAAGTTAAAACTACAAAAACTAAATGTTACCTTCTAACTTGGGCATTGCTTTCAGTTCAGTTAGCTGGTATTCTGGGCCGTCTTCAGCTGAGGCATTCGCACGAGTTACTTTTATGGAACTGTTGTACGTTGACTGTCGGGTACGTTCTCGGACACTATCTCGTACATCCATCTACTGAAAAAAGCTGAATTACTGGGGAAGGGTCAGCAAGGGAGTATAGTTTGCTATGCTGATTAATGTAATACCGTGCGTGCATATCCTAAGTGCGAACCATGACATTTGAGGAGTTGAGCAAGATGCTGGCGCTTAGAGATCATCAGAAACCTGGATCAGGCTTCTGCGACCGAAGTTTCAACTTGCGCTTTCATTGCCAACCGTATTCAAAAACTGAATATTCGCGCTGTTTAGGATATGTACGCATCGCACGCCGCCTCGCGGACACACGCGGTCCGGTACGACCGCGACGCACGTATTCAGAAGGTGCGCACGCCGCACGCAGCGCTCCGCAATCCGCGCCGCTGAAGTTGACGGAAAAGACGCGAGCTGTCAATAATACCGTAGTCTAATCGCGTCGGGACCAATTGCACATAGTCTTTCAACGATATTTACTTATGTTGTTTTGATTACATAACTATATAAACAAGATCTGTTCTACGAGAACAGCAAAATAGATAAGAAATAACAATTTATTAATATTTTCATAAAATTTTTAAAAATAAATCTGTATGTAAAAAAAAATTGAAAGCACCGGCATAAACACAAGATTTGCATATTGTACCAAACAAGCTAGTTGAAATAGAATGAGCTCCATAAGATTTGAAGAGAGATGATGAACATTAAATTGAACTAGCATAGAAGGTCACATAGACTAGATTTTGTAACTGAGGGAAATCGACAAAAGTTGAGCAATAGAAGTGAGATTGTGATATCTGAAACAGTCTTCAATTTCTTCTTCTTCTTGGTTCTATTGTGTATGACAAGTCCATGAGACGTTTTTGGTTATCAATCACTCGGAAATTCCGAAGTAAATTCTGAGTTTCGAAAACTTTCTTCATCTCGTAGCATTGTGCTGAAGAGAAACGTTAATAGGTTGATATCTCTCAAGTATATAGTTTACCTGAGAATCGTATCTTACATTGTCGGAAACTTCTCAAAGTGTTGGCAATCATATGCTGTAAAAGAAAATGGTTGACTTGATTGCTATGTGACTTCAAATACCATCTTTTCAAAGTTAACCAAACCATTGTAATAAGTTTTGTTTCCTTCGTGAATGAAGGTCAGATCTTTCAAAAGAAGAGGAACGAAAGGAATATACGGAGGAGCCATCTGCAATTACAACTTAGCCAGATAATAGGAAACTCATGTTACTTTAGCAATCAAAGCTCTATAGGGACGATGATTTCTAGATGGATCTAAAAGTGACTCAAATTCTGCGAATTGACGTCTCATCTTCATCGGCAATCTCTGAAAACACTATGTTTATGACGGGATTCATACGCAACGGATATCAGGACTAAATGCAAAAACATTAGCAGCGAGTGGTTTCGATCCACCGACCTCTGGGTTATGGGCCCAGCACGCTTCCACTGCGCCACGCTGCTGCTGACATATGTAGCCAGCATTTCCCCCATACGCATGGACATTTTCAAGCATATTTTCTTACCTGCCATGTTTGTCCCAAACGGCTAACTGATATATTACTCAATCCCAAAGTAATTGCAAAGAAGGATAGAAGGTCCCCATTCTCTTTCGCACTGTAATTTCTCAGTAGAAGAGGTAGAAGATGGGCGAAAACATACTACATCGCTATTTTGATGAATTTTCTCAGGATATTCACACGTTTAGATGCTACTGCTAGTAAGACTTCAGTTGTTGCCCAGTATTGAACTTCGTTGAAGCGCCTCATCATCAGGTCCAAATTAGACGGAACCCTACCAGGAAATTGCTCCCGCCCGATCACCTAAGTCAGATGTTTGGTATGGTTGGTGGAGAAAAACAAACTTGGTTTATAAGCTCAATGTCATCACAAGCATAGAAAAGCTGTGAGTGGAATATAAACAACTGCTGAGCTAATTCAGAACTTCCAACATACTCCAAGACGGAAGAGTGTATTGACTCCATTGGTCCGTTTTGGTCCGACTGGGCATTCTAAAGCAAATACGACATGAAAACCATCCCTTGACCACAAACCAAAGAAGGAATTTCATCTTTATAAGCAATGTATAGCTTGCCGTTGAGGGACAACATTGTTGGAATCGATATGTCTTCAGATGAATAAACGACTTTCTCTGAAAAATGATTTCATTGACGAAAGAAATCCTTCATTACCTCCCCCGCTCCTGACTTCCACCAAACACAATGGTTCGCTACTATGGTTGTATCTCACGCGAGTTCTCGCTAGCTCACAAATATCTTTTGCAGTTTTATCCATCCGAATGTTTAAAACAATCGAAGTGGTATCAGCAAGATGAATTATTTGGTTGCCTGCAGGTTTGTTCATATGTGATGAATGAGAGAGTAAACCCACAGGTATCAATGGGAAGCACTGGCTGTGGGGCTGGTGCAGATGCTGCTAGAACGCCACATTCAAGTACAATAGCTGGATGACGAGCCAAACTTCTGAAATCGGAAGAAAACTTGTTCCAGACGATGTTTTTGGTATGAACCTCATAGCTTCTTCTCTGAAGTCTTGCAAAGATGTCATGCGATTGAGCAACGGCTGCATACGAGGAATTCTCTTACTGTCATCCAAGACGTAACAATATAATTCCTGAGTATATCAAGTATCCCCATATTTGAGAAGGAATTATTAACCTCTATGAACGAATTAGCAGCTGGGTGGAGAAAAAATTGGAAACCAAGGGTGTTAACCCATAAATGGACGAAGATGACAACACGTCTTTTAGAATTCATACTGAACTCCATGTCCGTTTCGTAGTCGATTGCCAACGAGACGCACGCAGGAGATCGTAGATGATCCGTATGATACTGAAAACACAAACTCAGAAGTTGACTGAGATTTCTTCTTACATCTGCCTTTCTTCTGTAATAGTCACGCAGGTAGTTGCATAACACATTTGTTGGCATATAAATGATATGTGTTAATATGAAGTCTTCTAAGAACACGTCCATCTCTCCCTGAGACGAGAAATTTTTTTTTCCGATTTCCATTTCTCAAAATACCTCATCTGTTTGAGCGTCAACTCTTGTCTCCAAAACATATTCAATCATTTTCTCCGGTAATCCAGCCATGACAGAATAACTAAAAGTGGCGGTACACAACTGCTTAGGCTATACTACTACCTGCATTGTCCTTTTCCACTCAATCCAGGAACTCCATCATCTACAGCAGCTCCTCGGGGCCAACTGATTTTTTCCAACACCAACACATCTTGGCCATGTTCTTTTAAACGGACCGTGTTAGCCTCCACATCTCGGATGATTCTGAATGAGCATTTGTATGATGTGAAAAACCTCTGAGGCTTACCTGTTGAAGTCATATTTGTTAACAACTAAAAAATGAGAGTCATCTTCACGAAGAGCTACAGTTGCTGCTCTAGGAGCATCATTGACCAGAGCTAACTTGCCGAAGTCGTCACCTTCTTGCAATGTACAGACAACACCCTAGTAAACAGCTGACATTACAAATTATCCGGAAGAGAACATGGATACCTTCCCGTTGATGAGAACATCAACACTGCCTTTTAAGATGATATACCATAGCTTACCGGGATCGCCTTGATGGAACAACACTGTGCCTATATAAGACTATGAGAAGGTAAGAGTATCAAGGGCTTACCAGCATGTGTATGATGTTCAAAGCCAACTACAGAAGCTAGCTCGCGCTTGACCATAGTGCTCAGATGGGAGAGAGCCTTAACATGAAGTAATTCCTCATAGACGAGTTCTAACTCTTCTGGCGTTCTTTCATACGGCCTAAATGAATGAAGCAATCAGTTAGTGCAATACGAAAAGACTCTAACATTTTCTTGAGAATCATACGAAAAAGAGCATCTGGTCCGACAGTTGACAGAAAAAACAAAGAATTGAAAATGTCTTCTCTGGAGAGGACTTCTTCTTGCATTGTGTCTGGATTGATGCCTGAAGGTAGAGGTAGTGTGGCACATGTGTCGAAAAACAAATCTTACGAATACGATCTTCATTTATCCATCGATACAACAAGTGTTTGTCAGCAAACTGTTGCTCATTGGATACTGAAAATTGGGAATAAACAATGAAACCATAACATAAACTCTTTCCATCTCTTTAACTAAACAAACAACTTCAAAGTATAATTAAACTCTCCCACTCTCTCTTTGGCTTCCGAAACAAAAACTTCAAATGTATATGCGAGTGTGAATTCATGTGACAGTCAAATATGAATATACTGATGTCAGTTTCCATAAAAATGATATAAATCGAGAGAAAACCAATTGCAACTTTCGAAAATGCGTCCTGTCGTCGCCAATTTAAACAAACTCACCGTGACATATAATATTGTGCTCTAATAACGTTTGCCATATTCCAGTTACCTGAAAACAAAACTCTGTTTTCATCATTGTAGTCATTTGTGAAAGGAATCAAAGAGTTTCGGAATGTTCTCAATAGAAATGAGAATATTCTTGTGACGAATGCATGGCCAGGCCATACGGTCGCTCTGAACTCAAAAGTCACTCGCGTAGCTAGTAGTTCGCTCACTCAGAAAAACAGGAAAACCTACACACACACACACACAACCTCGACAGGGCTGTTAATCAACACAGACTTTTATTTTTTTTTGTATGTAATTATTCATTCGAAAGCTACTATACACAAAATAAATTATACTGGTAAAAGATGGCGTTCAACACCTAATTAGGGATAATCTAACCTGAAAACGACTTAAGGCTGGTGAATGACCACCCATTGAGATACTGAGTTCTAACAGCCAATCAACCATCTCCGATCCTATCATACAATTTGAAAAAGACTATAATGAAAAAGCTCTTTGTGCAAAACATGAAATAATATTACAGCATTGTGCAAAATGCGTTCCCTAATCATATATGGAGCTTGGGTTGTCATGACGTGCTTGAGTATGGAACCGGCTTCCATTAACCTGGCTTCGAACGACTGAAAGAAAGCATCTCTAATGAAACTCTCGGAAATTGTTGTTACAATTGAATTGAATTCGATAATGTTGGTCTGCTCGAAGTTTGGTAAGTCATTCTTCATGTTGCTCATATCGTAGGCATCTAAACAATAACGTGAAATAGAATATATATATATGACGAACCTTGGTGCTCATGCCTCTGCTGGTGGAATTCATAACCATTTGGCAGAGACAACTTGTGTTCTTCTCTCCTTGATGCATAGCCATTACTCATATTGCTTTGAGAATGATGAGTATCAAATTCAGCTGCGAGAAGATTAGGTGATCGGGCTGAAACGCACAAGTTATACAAACATAAACATAAACAGCCCTTTGTGAAATTTTTTTTTTGAAAAAGCAATTATATTATCTGACAACACGCACAGCTTCAGCAAACACACGGAATCACAAATGATGATCATGTGAGATATATTGAAACCATGAACTGAGCAGACAATACAACACAGTTTCGAATCAACTTCTGGATAATAAGCTGGTGACGAGAGAAAGTAAAAAAGAAAAAGGAAAGGAGGGTAGAAGGAATGAGCCACACACTATGTATTCATGGTTATATCATCAGACAAGAAATAAAAGATATAACAACGAGAAAAACAGACAAATATGTACAACTACAATTTAGCATTGGGAGGTGGTGAAAGCAGAAAGCTGAATGATAATGAGAAGAAACCATTGTCTTACCGTGTTCCTCAGCAATAGCATCCTGCATCACAACGAGGAATGACTGAAGATGATCTGCGTGTTTCTGAAAACAAGCATAGAGGAATAGAAAAGAAAAATCTTTTCTCTCTCTCTCTCTTAAAACGTTGGAATGCAAAATAAGGTTGTTAAAAGAAATTAAAAAGGATAGAGGAAAAATGAAAAATATAGGAATGCAACCGTTCTATGAGTTTACGGGGCTCAAAATTCTTGGAGATTGTAAACAAAATGAATAAACATGTAAATTTGAAATAAAGCTAATTTGCATAAATAGAACGAAAACTAAAAAAACTACTATTAGTTATTCAAAAACCTCAAGAAAAAAAAGGTATAAATGTAACATTTCATCTCTCATAATGTTTGGATTCAGAAAGCCAACTCACATTATACACGCTGAGAAAATGGTTTTGGGAAATTTTAATAAATTCCGCCGGTTTTGTTACAACAGCAGAGCAACAATGTCGTACAACATCAAGCTCTCCAAAGAGGCAGCCCGACGATAAAGTTCGCAAATGAATAGCCTGAAGGAGAAATAACACAATATGAATGGTGAAATGAATCATGAATATAATTCTTTTAGGACCATTTTATAATCATATGATAACTCATTTATGGGAAAAACATGCGAAACGAACCTTATTATTACTACTGGGAAGACACAATTGAACCTGTCCTGCTAATAGAAGATACCAATACTGCGTATAATCTCCCTGATTGAACACTTAAAGTAATCTGTCAGTACATACATACATGGAAATTGTATGAAGACGACCAAAATTAGTTCTTTACGGCACCCATAAAGAAGCTTTTAGTACATCATTCACTTTCAAATGATTCAAACGAAGTTTAGAGAGGAATAATATAACTCACAAACTACGCCAGCCGATACTTTATCGGGCTGAGCTTCTGAATGACGAATCAAAGCTAAGAGTAGAGCATCTGAAATTCCACGGAGTTGGCCAAGACGTCGTGCTCTCGATGCTATGGCCTCCATACCGCGAATTTGACGCTGAGGAGTGCCTGAAAAGATATCACATGAATGATTCAACTGGAAATCAGCCTCGAAAATTGAAATATGCTCTCTACTAAACTATTGATTAGTTTTCTTCCCATTTAGATGTGTGGACAAAAAAGAATATGAAACTATGTCTGAAGACTGACTTGTGCAGAAACAACATACAAAGCATCTCAGGAGGAACGGTGACCTCTACACTGCCAATGCAGAAAGTCGAAAGAATTTCGAATCGGAGTGATTATAGACTAGGCATCGATTCGGCAGTGCTGACAGGATGTATACTTCTACTAAACACATTCATACAACACTGCCAAACAAGGCTAGCCTGTAAATTGAAGATGACAGGATTGGCATATGCATAACTAATATGAAGATGCAAGTATATTATATGGAATATGTAGGCATCATTCATTTTTTGTATTAGCTTATATTGTTTTCATAGCCTTGCCAAGCTCTATTGACGTGATGGAATTAGACAGGATGGATGAGAGCGAAAGACGAATCTTCCAGAATACAGATAACGGTGCATTCGGTGTATTCCCAACGATTCGAATAATGTCGGCCATCAAATGTTGAAGATTATCATAAATCGTTCAGATTTTTGATAATGTAACAAACAGAGAATGTTAGTGGATGACGGCCAAATGAAGTGTTGGTTGCTAATGGAAACGAGGCGTTGGGAAAATGGCTAAGCTCAAAACTGATCATAGATAAAGACGGCTTTTAGATAGAAGAGAAAAAAAGGAGGAAAGAGCACGCTAGACGCGAGAATGGAAGACAGAAACGAATTTTGCTCTGTATTATCAGATCAGAGAACAAACTCGGTTCTGGTTTAGAAATGCTGTTAACTAATATAACACGATAAACTATGATTTGCAAATGTCATTTTTGCACATAATAACAAGCAGCAAGAAAGAATGAGAGAAAGAAGATAATGAAAGACCTATTAAGAAACTTATATGGGAGAAGGAAGTTGGAGTGTCAAGGCTCTAAGAAAGAATTTATAACCTCCCGAACCGATCAAGTTGTAGTGCGGTTATCTGAGTAATGAAAAACGAACATTTAACGTAAAATTATTTTAGAACAAGAGATAGGGCAAGTTGGTAATGGAAAGCTTGAAAGAGTTGCGATAGTAAGGCGAAGTGAAAGAAGAGAAGAATTCCCAAATAAGATTGAATACCTTCTCTTTCTTGAAGAAAGAATAGAAACTCAGATGAATGACCAATGATTCGATGAAAACTCTCATATCGTGAAAAAGGAATTTTTTGCGAAATAAAATTTAATATTTTCCGCTCTCTCCTGCAAACGCCACATAAAGGGCTTATAGGATAAGATCAAGAAAAGCTATAACGGATGTGCCAAGTGTCTAACGAGTGCCTGTGAACATCGAAATAACTCTGCGGATGTTAAGAAAAAACATTTTGAGCACAGAACCCTCAATCAAAAAGCATAAAAGAGTTAAGATCCTAATCATATTTGACTCTGGAGAGAGAGAGGAGATGCTTCTGTCTAAATTAATACAGCATCAACACACACACATATAGCCAGCACATGACTAATGGATGCTTTCAGTTTTAGCTCAGTCTTTATGGTGTGCTTTCTAATATATACAAAAAAAAGGAAAAAGAGGAAGGGATTAGTAGAGATGATCAGGAAAGCTCTCAGAAACTATCTTCACGTCGCCAAACCATCTACTCAGACTGAAGCAAAAGGACAACTAGACTTGCTTTTCATCAGCCTCAGATAAATATAAATTGGAACGTAATGAAGCGGAAAAATAAGAGAAGACAGAAGAAGAATTTTCAATGGAAATGCTCTTTGGCAAAACTCATTTCAATAATAAATACTCCAAAGCTAATCGCAACTAACCTCGCATCGGATTCCATGCGTCGTGTTGCACGTCGAGCTCACCGTGCTCAAATCGTCGAGACAATCTATAAAAACACACTCAAAAAGATTATACCGAAACGAGGAAGGAAAAAGGATTAAGCCAAATTGAGTCACATAGTATGGAAAGTAGTTCATAAGTTGAGGAATTAAAGAGAAACGTTGCCAAGAGCTGGGAAACTTGCATGAACGCAATTCACATGTGCAGGCCGAAAGAAAAAATAATAAATTGAACGCGTTTGCGAGTCAATTTCAATTTTAGGAAAGCCATCCTCCTTCACATTTTCATTTCTTGCTAGTTCAGTAGCCAATTCTCCTCCCGGCGGACACTGGTAATCGAGAGTTAGCCCAGTTTTTAGACTAGAAGCAAGTAGCGTCGAAATGAATCCCATGGGTTCGCTTCAGACGTAACATGAAGTATAGGATGCCCAAAGAGTAAGTGATGATCGCAATAATAAAGCAATCGAAATGTATTATCTGGCATTCTAATGAGAACACTTTCCCACATGAACTAATACCACAAGGAGGAGTCTGCAATTCAGACGTCTGGGGGGATTTCAATGTACCTAAGTTTGTAATGCAAGAAACAATGAATAAGCGGAGTATAAAAGGAAATTCAGATTTAGAGCGGAATGAATAAGAAATGAAAAGCAAAGAGGAAGCATCTCTGAGCATCAAAAAGCTGAATTATGCAAGCTGTCGAAATTTGAGATCTCTTGCATCTTCGTCTCTGGCAGCGGGTCAGTTTTTCATCCAAAAGTAATCCGCGCATGAGAGAGAAGGAAAATATTGCGAGTAATTAATCAGCCTCATAAAAGCAACTACAAAAAAGGGTAAAGCTCAGAGCAAACTGAAGATGACCACCATTGAGTATAAAAGTAGCAGAGAAGGCTGCAATTTGAAAAACTAATACACGAATTGTTCAATTCATCACTCAGCTTCTCTTTACATAAATGCTTCTTCGGTTTAGTATCCTCTGCTCTACATTTCTATATCAAGCAGAGCTCTAAAGGCGACACTTCCGGTGATTTGTCGTATTCAGACTTCTGTTTCTATATTAGTACTAAGAATAAAGATTAAATAAGAAAATAAAAAGTAATAGTTGCGAGATTGCTGGGAATGCAAATGAAATTAAGAAAACTCATGCGCAAACAACAAAGAGCGACGGAATGGGAAAGACAAAACGATAAACCGAAGTTTGGAAATCCTAAAAGGAATTAGGGAGAGGTGACCGTATACAGCCGCTCCTCACGAAAGCTGAAATTCAAATGAAGTTTTGAATACTTCAAGCGCTAATTGAATTAGGGACAAATTAGCGATAGAGCAGACATTAGGAAATGCAAATCGACATAATGTAAAAAAACGAAGCAATCGCTCATAAGAAAGTTCCAGGAAAAATTCATGAGCTCACGTCGGCTTCTCTCATATGTATATATTGCTTTTCTTTCCTTCTGCCAATAAAGCAGACAAACAGAATCGAGAGATTGAATATGGAAAAAGAGAAGACAAAGGAAAATAAAATATAAGAAAAAGACGCAGTAAAGAGAGAATGAAATAAGTATTGGTGAGAACATATGGAATTGAAGAAGCCTCCGTTATGTCAGGATTAGAAGTGCCTTAATGGTTTCCAAGTGGCCAATCTAGCGATCATGCACATATCAAACGATAGAGGTTTCAGTTCAGATCGGAGAGTCAAAAATGACGAAGTCAATACACATAGGAAACTGTTGCGCTTGCAAGAGAAATGAAGAAAACAGCAATTTTATTTTTCAATTCAATCTGATTATAAAAGGATATGTCGGAATCTGACCAGTAGGGCCAATGAAAAAAGGACGTAAGCCAAGAAAAAACGGAAAAGGAAAAGAAGCAAATAAGTGTGCAGAATCAATAGGACGACGAGCATCCATACACTCGCTCACAGAACCAAACAACCAGGGCGGCCCCATCTCTCCCTTTTCTCCGACGTCCAGCACATTCATGCACACCCATTGTAGCACTTCGAGCATGCTGTCTTCTTCCTGTTCTCCTTCTTCTTCTTATGTTCCTCTCACCTTAAACACTGAAGAATGCTCTCTTACTCATTGACTTCTAATTGGAAATACATTTTTGAATTATAAAACTCAAGCTAACAACCAGCACTTCAAAAGTACTAGTTGAAGCAGCTCTGAGACAATTAGCAAAAACGGAAAAGCACTTCACAGCCTGCCATATATAAGGCATTTTCGATTTCAGTCCAGTACATGACTCTAAGGAATAAATGGCAGTTAGACAAGATGGTGACTGAAAGTACGTAATACAAAGCAACTTGGACACTAATAACTGCCGATTGCTTTGCCTTTTCCGCACTTCTGGCAATTTAAGCACATTTGAAATCAATAAAGCTTTACCGAAGATTCATATGGTTTGAAATATAATATACAAAGATGGATAATACATTAGTAATGACAAAGATGATAAAGCACCGGGAAATCTATACAAAATGCACAATTCAACGATTAAGATTAGGAGGACCGTCGTCTGATCATAATTCACTTAAATAAAGACCCGCTCACTACAATTGCACCTTATTAAATTTAGACTGACTATATACAAAGCTCAATATCCTGGATTAAATTATTACAAGAAAACAAAAAACAAAAGATCATCACCATTAATACTCGTTATGCATGACTTTAAAAACTTTAAAAGCGAAAAAGTGAATGAAAGTAAGGCGAACATACATCAACATATCGTACAGAAATCTAATTACTATCTAATGCTAACGCATGTAATTACCATAGTTATTGTTGTAACCTTGCTGCTGTTGCTGCTGCTGCTGCTGCTGCTGGACATTTCCCATGTGCATTTGTTGTTGTTGATATGAGCCAGATGATTGCGACCCATGATTCATGGGATGTCGCATGCTAAGCTGGTGCTGCTGTGTCTGGAAATTTTTCTTGATTACGGCAAAGCTATCAATTCTTTTTTCTGCGCGTATGCTACAAATACGCAAAACGAAAAGCTTTTTTGAAATTGAGATTTAGATGCTGAATGCGAGCTTTCAATGCGCGAGGATGAGAAAACGCTCTCATTTTAGTTGCATGCGTGAGATCACTCGGTTGTACTTTGATTAATCTCTCTCCCATAGAGAGAGACTAGACACTTCATTTATCTTTTCACATACCTCAATCATTTGATTGTTATGTCGCATCATATTCCCTTGGTCCATACGCATGTGTTGTTGTTGCTGCGTTTGAGGTATAGAATTAATCCTGGACGGGATCTGCTGTTGTTGAGCTTGATGCCTCATTTGAGCACGATGATGCTGTTGCTGTTGTTGTTGCTGCTGCTGCTGCTGTAGGCCAGCTTGATTGGGATGATGCATTTGGTGCTGTTGCTGCACCGTAGATTTATGCTGCATCGAGTTCTGACGATGCATGGGCACCTGATGTTGCAATTGGTGCTGAGATGTCATAGCTTGCTGCACCTGCATGGATTGCTGAATTTGATTCTGCTGGATTTGCATGGACTGTTGCGTCTGCAAAGGTTGCTGCACTTGCATAGGCTGCTGAGCCTGCATGGGTTGCTGTACCTGCATCGACTGCTGAGTCTGCATAGGTTGCTGTACCTGCATAGACTGTTGAGAATGCATGTTTTGCTGCAAGCCCTGTTGACTTTGAATGGCCTGCTGGTTTGGTAATTGACTATGACGAGACATCTGATTTACGTGCTGCATATGACCTTGGTTGTGCATTTGGTTTTGATGCGACATTTGGCTTTGCTGCATAGAAGCTTGCATGTTCATCTGGGAGGTCGGCATCTGAGTTTGATGACTCATCTGATTGGACGATGTCATCTGCGATCCCTGATGAGACATTTCGTTCGATTGCATGACATTCTGATGAGGTATTTGATTCTGACTTGACATAGTGTTCTGACTGACCATGTTGTGACTAGGAATATTGATACGGCTCGAATGGCTCATCGAATTTTGATGTTGGATCGGATTAGTTTGGTTTATGAGGCTTTGAGAATTCATTTGATGAACCGGAGACGGAATTGGATTCTGTTGTTGATGAAGAGACCGTTGATCATCCTGGCATCTGATATCACTAGAGAACTGAGAAACAGACGTCTGAAAATAATTGAACTCAGTAAGATTTAATTAGAGGGATCAACCTTAGACAACTGTCGGTTGCCATGTTGATGTGGTTGCTGCTGTTGTTGCTGCTGCTGGGAATACATGGCGTTATGATTGGTGTTAAAAGACTGGTTTTGATTTTGATGAGATGAATGTGAGTTTTGAGATTGTGATGTTAGATGCGGCTGAGGAGAGTTGTTCATTTGCAAAACAGAGAACGAAGCATTCGAACTCTCCTTCTGCGTGTAATTAGCGTGGATGTTTGATAATGATGTCTGTACAGGGGATTGGCCTTGTTGTTGACTTAAATTGGAAACTCAAAAATATACGAGTATAAAAGCGTTACTTGTAAGGTTGTGATGGTTGTTGTATTCTCCCCGGGATGGTACCAGTTGGACTCCGAGGAACACTACCGGGTCCCATAGGCGAATTGCTCACAGGCATCTGATAGGGACTGTGATGAGTAGGAGTTGTGGGTTTACTCTGAAAAAAAACAAATTTAGGTTTGTCGTTGATGTATTTCATGGTTTACCGGAAAGGCAAAATTATTATTATTAGAAGAATAACTTGGACTTTGAGGAACTGAAGAGACACGAGGACTTTGATGAGGCTTGGCAAACACAGGTGATGGTGAAGCAAATGGAGAATCGCTCATACAATTCAAATTAACACCTTAACAATGAAGCTTCAACAGTTACGAGAACATCTTTCCTTACCACTGGCAGAGCTTGAGTTCGAGCTATGAGCATTGTAAGTTATTTCTGACTTGATGACAGGCTTAATGTCGAGCAAATCTTTAAAACAATTAATCAGTGAGGTAGAACATATTTCGTTACCGTCACAGTTGAGTAAGTCATCTGGGACTCCGCTCACACCAGGTTTCTCGTCCATCCCAAAGTTTAAGGAATGCGTTTGAGCTTGGGCTTGAGCCTGAGCCTGAGCACGCGCTTGAGCCAAGGCTCGAGCTTGAGCAGCCTCAGCATCAGCTTGAGCCTGCGCTTGAGCCTGAGCACGCGCTTGAGCTAGAGCTCGAGCTTGAGCCGCCTCAGCATCAGCCTTGGCTTGAGCTTGAGCCTGAGCTTGAGCCTGAGCAGCACGAGCGGCAGTTGCTTGTTCTTTTTGCGAGCGCACTCGCTCTTCTTCAGCTTGACGTTCTTTCTGAAAGATTGAGACTATGATTATCACCAACCATGAACGAATGAGCAAGCTAAGAGGACAACACAAGAAATAAACAGAAAGAACAAGAGGAAGGACTTAGAAAAGCTGAGTAGTAGGGACATGCGAATGTGAATGCAAAGATTGTCTTATCAAAACCTCAATGACGGATTGCAAATCTTCAGGAATCTCTTCAACATCAGTAAAATCCATAGAAATCTCTTCTTGGAGCAAAGAAGCAGCCTTTTCCTCTTCCTGATAACAATTTTACAACAATTACATGCAATAAGAGTCAATGTTTTTGAAAAATTCAAGATCAGGCCAAACATTTGGTGAGAAAGATGAAAGACAAACCTCACGAATCTGTTCGAGCCTTATAGCTTCCTGTTTCCTCTTCCGCTCTTCTTCCTGAAAAAGTGGCCATACAAAAGCGGCAAAAAGAATGTCTTCCTCACTTCTTTCTTGGCTTTCTCTTCCGCCAACCGTTTTTTCTCTTCTTCCCGCTTTCTCTGCTCTTCTTCCTGCTTTCTCTTCAGCTCTTCTTCCTGGAAAGAAAGCGATTGTCTTCGGAAATAAAATGAGTTCAAACTTCTCTTCGTAGCTTTTCCTTGAGAGCCTGCTCTTCCTGAGCGCGTTTGCGATCTTCCTACAATGTGCTCAGTATAAGTGGTTCAAATACTATTTCCTCAACCTCAATTTTTCTCAACTTCTCTTCTTGCTTCTCCTTCTTGAGCCGTTCTCGCTCAGCCTGTTCAAGTTGCTTAGCTAGAATCTGAATAAAGAAGGCTGATGAGAAGACTTAAGAAGGGAGTTATACTTGTTTCTGTTTTAGTTCTAATTTCTCTTTCTTCTTCTTCTCTTTCTCTTCTATCGCTTTCAACTTCGCTTCATTGTTGGCAGCAGAAGCTGCCTGTTGATTAGCAGTCAACGACTGAATCGCATTCAATGTTGTGTTCGGAAACCCTGACGATTTAGCAGCATTTTGTAGAACTTTCTTAAAAGGGAGAGAAAAATAAGAAAAAAAAGGCAAATTTACATATAAGATTGCCGTGTTAGTCGGATCAAGTCCTTTCTTTAAATCCCAACCAGCCTCAGCTAACTGAAAGCTCACGAAACTTATGAAAGAATAGTTAAACTGTGATTTACTTTAGACAATGTTTCAGCATCAAGCTGTTTGTTTCCATCAGACACACTTAGATCAGAAGATGATGTACTTGGTTTAGAAGGTTTCTTATCTACAACCAGTGGAACCACAGGCGATTTGACTAAAAAGGTCAGAACTGATATGCGAATTACAACAGTTCACTTTACCGGAACTCGTGGCTTTCGAGGTAGACGGTGTCTTTGCCAAAGAGGTTCCTTGTTCCCCGAGGAACTGTAAAGAAATATTGATTTAACAGAATCAAAGCAATCACCAGCTAAAAAAATGAGAAAACCAAAAAAGGTTAAAAGAAATCTAAGCTACTGTGAGTATACAATAATTCATTTAAACTTTCTTCGACCCTGATTCAACGAGGGAAATAATTTTAACAAGGAAAGCTGAGAGAACCTACATGGAGATCAATTATAACGAGGCGAACACTCAATATACAACGTAATGATACAAAGATACTTTAAGATCAAACAGATACATACTACTTTCGAAATAAGATAGACCATTACCCAACTGAATTTTTAACTGTTAATACCTGTATGTCCTCATCATCTGCGTTAGTCTTCTTAGAAGATGTCAAATCAACTTTTCCACCTTTTTTCACGTTTTCTTCTTTTTCAGGTAAAAAGATTCTGCAATGTAAGGCGATGGTTGATTGCTGTCAAACACCAACTCACTTCGAGAGATCAATTTTTTCACTTTCAAGAACTGATATACAGGATGGTGCGACGCACATTAAGCATCGTTCGGGATTGCGACGAACATATTCAATACAAAGATTTCTGAAGTTAGACAAGCGAACAGTTTTCGATATAAAACACAAAATACATACCCTAGTGTAATACGTGAACTTATATGAGGCCAAATACTGGACTTAATAAATTGAAACAGAGTTTCGTACTGGGTTATTATATTAGGTGTAGTGGCAATTATATATTGGAATGATTTCTCTAGAGTTTTTTTCAAGTTCATACTTAAATAGAACAGATTGTAAGTGCGATTCGGAATTTCTGAACTTACTGTAAAACCTCCGTGAATAGAAAGACGAATTTGGGAGCTGCCCCTCCAGTGGTAGTAGCTCTTAACATACAATATGAATATTTGCAACTTGAACGAAGAACTTACTCTCTTTTCTTCCTCTCATGAATATCAACCGAATAACTCACTGAGTTATTGAGAGCTGAAATGAGAAGTTAGGGAATATTTCAAGTTTTTCAACCGAACCTGCAGTAAGGCTCTTCAGAGCTACTTGTAGTTCATTGATCAGAACTGTAGTTGATTCTTTAGGAGCAGGCTCATTGATTGCCGGTTGATTTTTCTGAACGATGCAATTTGATTGATTCGATACCCTTTTGACTACCTTTCTATTAATGATCTGCAACAACGAGACTTTGTTTTTGATACTATTATCTGCTTTAGGAGCAGGCACGGGAGGAGGGTTTAGTCTAGCTGCTGCTGCTGCTATTATAGCAGCCACCATAGCAGCTGAATTCTGTTCAACAGGTTTATTAGCAGCAGGAGTTGGCTTTGTCTACAAAATCAATAATGAACTATGATATGAATTAAACAACAACCTGAGATGTTGAACTAGTTGCGCTTGATGAGGCTGAAGCACCAGTCTCCCCCTTTTGGCGAGCAACTCTGCAAGCAATGTCCGAGATTGAACAACTGATAAACGACAACTCACATTTGATCGTAAACTTTCACGAAATCATCATAGCTTGATTTACCATTGCCTACTGTTGTTGAGAGTTTTTGAACATCGTCAGCATTTGTACCAAACTTCATTAGATTAGTCAACATACTTCTTCCGTTCTGGAATTATTAAAAGTTAAAAAGCATGGAGCATTTGAGAGTTACCAGTAATTGAGCAGGCGTCCAACCTAACTTGCTACTATCAGGTATTGCAGGAGTCTGAAAAAAACATAATCATCGGACAGTTGTAGAGTATCTCACCTTCTTAGGAACAGGAGCAGAGACAGTGTTAGGTGTAGGGGCAGTGGGTGTGCTCGTTCCAGGCAGCGACTCCTTCTTTTTCTCCGGAGCAACTTTCTCCTATAAAAAATTTCAAATCAGACAAATCAAGTTGATAAGCTTACATCTCGTCTTTTCTGCATCCTAGCAAGAAGAGTAGCTTTCTGAATTCCACAGCATTCAGCAACCGATGACATCACTCGGCTTTTCTCGTGTGATGACATACGATCAGCACAGCACTGTTCATCTATCCTACAAGGAAAAAAATAAAGATAAATTTAAATCATGGAAGAACTTACGAGATAACCATGTCAACATGACCATTATGCAAACGTTTCTTGGTCGCATGTGCTGAACCAATGGAAACTTGTCTTTTTAGTTCTCTGATTAATGAATCTAGTTTAGGTGTAAACGAAGGCAAGCTCTTTTTCTAAAGGAAACGAATCAAAAACATTCTTCTCGGAAACAACATACGGGAGAGCCATCTGATAAAGTTGGCGCAGATCTCGCTGGAGAACCAGGATCAGTAGGAACATCTATCTGCTTTGTAGGGGTAATAGGAGTCTGAATAACAAGCAGTCAGAATGATACAAAAATATTCCTACCGAAGCATTCTTGGACTCCTCTGATGTAGATTGTTTATGAGGAACGCCCAATGCAAAAGGTAAGCAAGCTCTGAAAATCATAATAATCACTACGACTGCATTAAGACTACATACCTCTTTGTATTGAGCATAAGAGGCATGTTCAATGAAGCTCGGTTCACCATTTTCTTTTTAATTTTGTTGACAGCACGTTGGTTCTCGCTCAGCCTGGAAGTTTGCATCGTGCGGAACTTCTGAAAAAAAGTTCTTGTTGCGTATTATCAAATTAAAGCTACTTTAGTTGGAGGAGCTCCTGTCATTCTGTTGGAAGGCTTAGCCTGAGCCAATTTCGCGGGGTCGGCCGGTTCAGAGGCCGAGACAACTTCGACATCGTTGCCTTCAAAATTCGCTGATTTAGCTTCGTTACCCTCTTCGATTGCTTCTTCCTCTTCTTCATCTCCACTCCAATCGACTAAGCGTTTCTAAAACACAAATTATAAAAAACCGAAAACAACATAATCGATTACCTGTCCCTTCTTAGTCTCAACAGGAGGATCATCTTCTGCCGTTGAGAGCTCCGAGAGGTCATCGAGATCATGATGGCTTTTAAATTCTAGTTTGCCCTTATTTACATAAAACCCGCCTTTGGCAGTATCCATAGTGGAAGGAATGAGTTCATCATACTACAAGAAAAAAAAATTGATAAGAAAATAACAAAATAAGCCGCACTGCTTCGGAATCATCGATAAACCCGTCATCAAGATCGTATCCAGCTCCCTTGTCAATGAAATCATCTTCAGTTCCTATCCTCACTTTTCTGCCTTTTTTAGTTTTTTTATTACCCTGAACATGTTGGTTAAACTGGAACCGTGGTCATTACGTACGTATTTGGCCTCCAATCGGCGTACTAATTCGAGAGCTTCTCTGTCATGGAAGCGAGTATCATCTCCACTGGATTCGTCTTCTTTCTAAAAGGAGAGATAAGATAGAGGTTAAGCAGAAGAACTGATCACCAATTGTGTTTTTCTAATTTCTTCATAATCGATTTCGGGATATTTCTTTTTTGTCGGTTTGAATAGAGAAACTTCAATTATAGAGAACTTGCTTTTAATATCTTTCTTTTTCCGAATCCCCCCTAGATCAAGGGCCATCAATTCTGGATATAAAGTAAAATTAACTTTTTCTAACTTTCTCACATAAGGTTTTCTAGCTTAATATGCAAAATAAAGAAAATAAAAAATAAAAATTCAAAGTCTATTTCCAGCCACAACCGGCAATGAAAGCGTTGACTGCGTATTCGACGCTACAACATTGATGTTGACGTCACAGTGGTCAGTTCAAGTTAGCTCCGCCTCTCAGGCAATCCAATTGATCGATAATCGAGCATAAAGAGAGGAAGACGCACATCGAAGGAGCAGAAAGTATAGAAAAGAAGAAATTAAACTTGAGGATGAAGCCAGAGATATTAGCTAAACACCAGGCAAACGATGAAGGTACGACGGCTTTCCAATACAACGCCGAGCTACAACATGGCCTGAGCATTGCTCATTTCCTCTTAATTTTTCTTTATTTTACTTTTCTTCATTAAACGTTTATGTTCTTGTTATCATTGCATTTGCGGAATGAATTTTAGGTAGAATGACTAAGCAAACAGGTGCAGAGGTTTGTGCAGAGGATGCCCGTTTGGAAGCTTTCCAAAAAGTGTCCAACTTGTTTGAAACACATTTGAATTGCGCCACACCTCAGAAGTCAGAAGACTTGTGGAAAGAGCATTTATTAATTAGAGAATGTCTCGATGAAGTTCAAAAGTTACAAGATACATTAGCTGATACTTCTTCTTTATTATTGGACAAGCGGTAGTTGTTCAATCGCTAACCATCTAACTGTGAATTGAAATGTTTCAGTTCCAAAAGTTCTTTGGAATATTTTAATAAATGGGCCAAACAGATTGGAATCCAATATGATGGCGTCGAAATCGCTCAATGGACACAGCGTGATTTCCAACTGAGAGCCAGAAAGTCTGTTTGACTATTTCAAACATCTGCAACAACCAAATACTATCCTTATAGGGAGATTAAAAAAGACGAACCTATTGTGGTTGTACCTCATCATGCCATGATTTCTTATGATTTGGTCAAGAAATCATCCATGCTCAAGTAGTTTTACCTTTCATTAGTCTGAGAGTCAACTCTTCTCATGTAGAAAAGCCGTAGAGCTCGATCCCATCTTGAAGTCCATGGATAATGTCGCTCTTGCGTTGTTCTTATCAGGTCATCGCTTGCGAAGTGATTCCAAATGGATTGCATACTTGGACATGTTACCCACCTCCTTCTCAACTCCCTTATATTATTCTGAAGAAGAACTACTTGTACATAACATATTCCTGTGTTCGCTTCTGAATTTCTCATTTCTAGGCACTAAAACCTTCCCCTGCTTTTGATGAAGCATTGACATTCTACCGCACCATTTCTCGTCAGTTCTGTTACTTCTTCTTGCAGTTCGGCAAGAACGATCTGTACAACTCTCTCAGAAAAGTAATATTACAATCAGTTTTCGAAACGGAAGATTCGGTTTTCTAGAGAAGACAATTCACTGATGCACCACCTCCATTCTACAACAGTCCGTTCACTGTTGAGAACTTCACTTTCGATTTGTATCGTTGGGCAGTTTGTATAATCTCTACAAGAGTCAATATGGTTCCGAGCCAAACTCGCAAGGATAAACAAGGAAATCCCGTATTTGTCAGTTTTTATATCAAATTCCCATAACTGGATAGTTCGTAGGTGCCCGTGCTGATACCTGTTCTCGACATGGCTAATCATGAATATGTTGAGGCAACTTCAGTCTCGTATGTGGCTGAAACCGAGTCCGGCGAGGTAATTGTAGCAGGTTTTCTAATTTCCTCCATCGGTTCAGATCTCTGCTTCTCGTGATTACAAAATTGGAGAAGTCATCACAATTGACTATGGGCGTCGAACAAATGCTGATCATTTGCTTTACAATGGATTTGTTCCAGCTGAAAATCCGAGCAATTCTTACAAATTGAAAATTGGTTTGTTGAAAGCGAGATTAGCTGAAAAACGAAATCCTATTGTAGCCTTACCCAGATCTGATCGTCTGTTCAGATCCAAAGCAAAGGTCTTGCTGGATATGGATTGTGTGCCCTGGTTAGGCTCTAATTTGTACATTTTTGACATCGTGCTCGATGAGATTCCTTTCGGATCTACTCTAGTCGACTTCATTCTCGTATTCCTTTCTGATGATCCTATGGTCCAAATCGAGCAGGATACCAAAAGCCACAAGAAAGTGGCCAGTTTCCTGAAGACGAGATTTGCTCTATTGGAGAGGTAAAAGCTTTTTATGGGAGTTTATTGATGAAATAATTCTTTGAAGAACATATGCCATGGCTAAAGAATTAAAATCTCCTAACAGTGCTGCTATCCTACGTTTGAAAGCAGCTGATCTTCAGATATTGGAGAAAGCAAGGTTAGTTCTAACCTTTAGAAATGTGGTATCCTAATTGAGTTGCAGAGAGTATTGCGAAGAATGGGAGAAGGTGCTTGCTGTTGAGGAGAAGAGTTCGTAAGTCTGCAGGAAAAAGAGATGTTTGTTATACTTTTTTTTTACTTTTCACTGTTATTTATTGTTTTAAAGTTTTAAAAAGCATAGTAGTCATGTAGCTTTATATGTTTCTGTTGTTCGTATTGTGAATATAAATTTGTATTTTATAGTAAATATTACTTTTGAACCCGTTATGAACAGAGAAAGAGATCGGAAAAGGAATTAAGCACCAAAAATGGTTAAAAGAAGTCCTCATGATTTCGTCATAATTGACTAAAACCAGCAGCTTCAGTTTGAGCAAAAACTTCTGAGGTAATCATGCAACGCTCTCCCTCATCCCATAATAATTGGGAGGAGGCCTTCGTTTGGAACTCCATGAGTTATTAGGCCACGGATAGGATTCTTCTCTCCAAGAACCTAATGAAGACAATTAACAAGCTTTTCGTTTGCTTAATTCTCACCACTACGAGCGACTACTCGAGCTAAGTTGTGATCTGATGATGAATCTACTAGAGCATGACGAGCAGCTCTAGTTCTAGATCTCCCATTGTTCGAACGCCAACTTCCTCCTGCTTGGCGATCTGCATGAACCTGAACGATAACATCGATCAAAAGTCATATTGCAAAGAACGAACAGTGATAACTGGCGTGGGAGAGATGAAGACGCTAATTTCGGAACCGCGATAGGAGATACTCGTGTGAGTATTCTCATCGTATGAGGGTGATGATTGTTCCGGCACATTTATTGTTGATTTCTGAGAGTACCTCGAGCCTTAACGAATGTCATTCAGTGAATTAACGATGTGAAAGTGTACCGATACTATTGCTGTCTATTCTCGGCTTGCTCAACCAAACCCATTCTTTGGTATCTTCATCCCGACCTTCGCCACTAGATGAAGACGATAACCGAGAAAGTAAAGGAGCAACTAACTTCTCATAGCTGAAAATAGAAAATTTAACAACTCTTTCAATATCTTTATCAAGGCACTTACCCTCTGAAATCCTTCGCCCTCTTACCAATATATCGAAGAGAGGCAATGAGGGCAATCACAAACACAACAATGATCAGGATAGTGTCCATCCTCCAAGGAGAAGTTTCAACTGGTGGCAAGCTTGGTGAAGTGCCTGTAATCCGGAAAATGTAAGATGAAATCCATAAAAAACGAACTGTTGAAAGCAGCTAGGACTCTAGCTACCGCTAATCTACTAGAATCCATATCATCGAAATGTACTTGAAGAGGAACAACAGTAGCTGCCAAAGGAGGTGCATCAGATTCAGAACAATGCGGAGGTGCTCGGAGCTCCAACTCTACCGAAGGATCTCGTAGGTCATCCAGAGCTGAATAATTACCATTCACGCGGATGATAGAAGAGAACTATTACCGATAAGATCCACAGCGCTCCCCGACTTGTGACTTAACCCCACAACTCGTTCATCCATTGACAGAGCTCGGAAGTTATAATCGGAAGTGATGACGTCGTCAAGTGGTTCCATAGTGTCATCAGAATAATGCAATTGATAGAAAAGAGAGCCATGCTATAAACAGCAAGTTTGGATAAATATAAAGTTTCATCGACAAACTTGGAAGCGATGAGTGAAGGCTGTTTCTAAATCTGTTTGAACATGATAGTTCTTCCGCTTTCCAGCCATTCGTTCGACGTTGATGTTCATCTCTACAATGGGTAAAGCTGACAGATGATCCAAGGAGACTTTCTCGTCGGTAACAATCAATGGGACTCCTCCATACTCAATTCCTTGTCGTTTCAAGACAACTCTCAAATTAGAAAACAATTAATTCTCGGAAGAGCTATTTTAAAACCTTGTTGAGCCTGGACCAGTCGCTTGAATTAAAATGCGACGATTGACATGTCTCACGGTGGCAATGGATCGGTCCAAGCTTTGAATGCTATAATTCCTTCAATGAGTTCTTCATCAAAATATAAGATGAACCTTTCAGCTGCTAAAGCTGTAACATCAAAAGAAATTTCCCTATTGCCACTTAAATACATTCTCTCGCCTGTTCTTTCATCTGTTACAACGAAAGAAGCGAGCACAATCAACTGAAAACAAAAGTAGACATTATAATTTCCCATCAGTCCGAATGAACCTCTGTCTGTTGATAACGACTAGTACAAGAAAACTGTTTGGCTGCTCTTCGACGTTGTTTTGCATTTTCCTTTAGCTCGCGTAATTTAGCCACAGGCCATGAATCTATCGCATTCAACGTGCTATCCCTCACCCACAACTGAATAAACATCATAGTTGAAAATCATACTTGCTAGCAAGTGAATACCACAATAGGCAGTCTCGGATACCAAACAGTGAATCCTATACTTGTTGTCCAACGATCGAAATGCACATGAACGCGAATGTGAGCTATTCCTCTCATCTCTGAGCCGTCAACATAAACCTGCAACAACTGTTTATACAAGAATCCCGAATAATCCACATACAGTTGTGCATGTAGGGCTTGTTTTCAAAACTTTGGATTCAGCAGAGATGCAATGAGATTGCGATGTTACATCTTTCACAGTCCCTCCCAGAGAAACAGTATACACCCTCATGCTTGTGGCTGATTGTCTGCCAGACAGAATCCCTGTATTGACTATATCCGTACTCTTAATTTGAAAACATTCTATGCAGGCAATAATAAAACGGCAATACTTTAGCGACTGGAACTAGAGCATAAACTGAGTCCGGGGTAACGCCAAACTTGGTAGCTACTCTTTCTACGATTGTTTTCTGCAAAGATTCGGAAATGTGTTACTCGAAAACAAAAAAAAAAGAAAGAAAAAAATACCTCTGTGGAGTTGTCTGACGAATTCTCAGTCGCATTATATGTGGCCATACGAATTTCCCAATGAAGAACTGCATCTGCACCATCTTCACCTCTTTCGAGCTTTTTGTTTTCCGTAACTGCTCCTTTCATTTTGATCAATAGAGAAAACAAATAACCATCCCATCTAAGGAAAGGAGAATTCATGGAAACATTAGCTTTCCTCACTTCGTAATGTTGGTGCGCGGGAGACAGATGATTGAAGTATAGACATCGGGTCGAGGAGCTGTAGAAGCTCTGATTGACCAAGTATCCCTCGACAATCCAGAAACTGAGATTAAATCAACTCTGGCATCCAGATATAACCTGAATTATGATGTGGTAAACGTGGACTATTAACACATCGTATATATTCATATTTGCACTCATTTTCAAATTTTCTAGGCGCGAGAACGGTTGATTATGAGAAGTTCTCCCAGCTTTCGACCAAAGCTCTCTTCTGTTTTTCTCAAAATTTAATAATTGTTTTCATTCACCTTATCTCCAATGACGTCAATACACTAGCTGATGAGTTGGTGAAAGATAGATGAACGAAAAAAGAATTGAGTGATCGAAGATTTAAAGTTATATTGGCTCTTGATAATAAGGAGAGATCGCTGTAAAATTGATGATAAGAAATGTTACGAGTCAAAGATCGCACGCTTCCTTGTTCTTGACTAGAGTGTGAGCTTGAGCATTTTCCACAAATGGAACGAGACTAATTGATTGCTGAGGACGGTCATAGAATGGTATATTGCATGTACTTGACACAGTATAAGACATTTGCAAAACCTGAAATCAGATGGTAAGACTTCATTTCAGTTGCGGGTGTACCTGGCGGGTGATATTAGAAGGGGAAGATAAGTTAGCTGAACCTCCTACTGAGCCAAACCAAGAATAAGGAATTTGAATACGTGATAAGCATTGCTGACGTCCTTCTTCGAACGGCGACAGCTGACATTGTGATGTAACTACAAGTATCGTATCTGAGTCTAAGAATAGAAAGAGAATCATACCGATCTCGCTTGCAGAATTTGTAATTTGAATGGCTACGCAAGCTGTTTGCTTGATAAAACTCAAAACAGACAGATCTGCTACTGCCAGTACATCTACATAAGGTCTGTCCTATAATGAGAAATGAGTTCATTGAGGTGACCTTCTTGAGGACTAACCAGCTTCACTATATCTTGCACCAACTTGACGCTTACAGCACAATGCAAGTTTTGAATAATAGCAGGAAACAAGTGAACGGATTCAGCTCGATTTCCACTCGAAACAACAAGTTGCTGATCAGTTGAGGAAGGACAGTCATTCTGAAAGAGAGATAACTAGTTAACTTCCTACAGCCGTTCCCTACTTGCAGATAAAGGAGACGATGAGAAAAATTTCCGCCGCCAGCTGTTTCCGAGTGCATAAAAAAGGCTGAAGAGCCAGGAGGATTTATAGAGAAATGTAATCCTGAAAACAAATTTGCAATCACTTTTGGCAGAATCATGACTGATTAGGATTTCAGAGGCTCTCTTCCAACACCCGCACACGTCAAAAACGAAATTTTCCCCCAATTAACTGTGACAATGTTTGATGAAGTTCTTTGTTTCCGTTTTTCTTCGTTTTGCTTTGTCGTTTCAAACCCTGGCTCCAAACTACGATGTCACATCAATTCTCAATTCGTGGATTGCGAAAGACAAATTTCCCTCCACTATAAGCCGTTAAAAGGAAGTAAATGGTTTTGCAGCTTATATAGCCACGTGAGTCACGTGGAATGTATATCATTTTACGAAAATCTTTCACACGGAACGGTTGTTCTTTTTTTAAACTTCCTCCCTCAAAACACCCTTCGCTATGTTTTTCGAGAAGCCGCCTTTTTGAATTCGCAAATACACATCCACAGCATCAGTTCGAAGGAAATGTACGCATTTAAAATTTTAACAGCATGTTTCATATGCAATTGAGCTTAAAGCCCTCGTGGAGCAAAGATCGATTAGAACTTCCACGAGGCGAGGGGAGGATCAGTTTTTATTTGATTTTACTCAAACCCTTCTAATGAAAAACCATATTGGGATTACGGAAATTGAAAATCTCAAATCATTGTCAAGATATTGACAAAGGGCAAATGAGAATGCTCCTTGTGTCAGAAGCTTCAATTACAAAATCCTAATTTTTGAGAAAAAAAAATAATAATGCTAAAGACGAAGATTGATGTCTTCTTTCATTCCACTTGAGCTGTTTAAGAGAAGTTTATTCCTTCTAAAATGAGTTAATCTTCTTTTTCTCCTCGAAAGAACAAGAGGTAAGAGTGTGGAAAAGCATCCAGGCGGGAAAATTAGGAAATCTCGAAGAGATGAGTACAAAGAAGCATAAGCTGATTGTCGTTATTGCCACACACAATTTTTGGTCGGACCCTTGATTGTTCCGGCTATTGGCACCCATCTAGCCGAAATGAAATGTCGTTTATGGAAAACATATTACTTTGTACTTTTCTCTAAATGTAATCGCAGACGTTTCGTGTGAATTGAGCTATTTTGCGGGAAAATGTAAATAACTCGAAGACGCTCAGCAATTACGAAGCCGTATGCGTTTTGCTACTTGTAGAACAATGGAGTTCAGTTCTGACACCAACTAGAATACGTTAAAGTTTGAATTATGAGATGAAGAGCGTATTTACTCGTTCTCGCCGTATTTCCTGCCTGTTTCACTCTAGGGAATTTGGTTTTCAGGCCAGCAAGCCCATGAAGCATGCCATTTATTCAAAAGTCGTCGGCTTCTTTAGGCTACCACAACGGACAACAAGCTGTTGCTTTTTGTGCTAAAGATGGAGTGCTAGTCCGAAACAGGCCGAAACAGCTTAGCAGAGGGCTGACCATTCGGACGACTTGTCAATCTTTCGAAAAAGACGGCCAATAATCTATGGTTGAACGATTAGTCAAATTTCTGACAAAGATAGAGAATTGAATGGTTTCAACAAATGAAATTCTACTTTTCTTCACAAATTCAAACGGAATCCAAGCGCTCAACAATAATTCTGCAAGCAATAGAATTACAGCCGAAAAAAATTGAACTGAATAAGTAATCATCATTGTGAACCGTTTTCATTCAACAATTTTGAGGACAAACTCTCATATATAGATGATTCGCAACTATATGGAGCCCAACTGGAATTTGAAACCTCTGTTTGACAAGTTTGTCTCTCATTTTTGCGGAATCCGCAAGAGGCTGTACTTTTCGTTTAAACAATTGACTTAATTACCACATAAGAAATTAAGTTAAGCATGAAGAAGTACAAGTGTGTGTGTGTGTGTGTGTGTGTGTTTGAGTAAATATGAACACAAGGAATAACTATCTACCTTGAAGCATTGAAATACTTCTTCCTCTCACATACACACACAGCAAAACACTCAAAACGAATATTATCATAGAATTCAGAGGCAAAATAACCGAGAGCACAGCCGTATGGCAACCAAAACATATTCAAAATGATTTCAGTATGGCGCGCTTTCAGTATATGCTAATGAAGCTGTGTCATGGAAAATATTACAAGAAAAACGTCGTGTGCATATTATACGAAAAAAAATGTGAGAAAGACTAACCATTAGATGTGATGAGGAGCTGTAAAAATACTAAAAAATGGAAAGGTAGATGTGCAAAGGATCCACATGAGAGTGGAGAGTGGTATAACCGCTTATACATCAAGCTCGCCACATGAGTAGAACGAAAAACTGCCGTATGATACGGATTGTCTGAAAAAAGAAGGATACTTTTAGTATACATAAATGAGTTTCACAGAATCTGGAGAAAAAGTAACTGCAGAGCATAGAAATTGGAACAAAAGGTTACGAAGGAGAGAATATGGAAAGATACTAGTTGTTTACAACCTTGTTTACAATAGAAAATGGAATATATCACGAAAGCTAGAAATTACGAATCAGAAAAGTAATTAAAAGAATTCTCCGAGTTCAGCTAAAGGACTACAAGAAGCTTTGAATGGAACAGCAGCTGGCTGTTGATAGAAACTTTCCAACAACTAGTTTTATGAACTTGCAAACCTTCTATGGAATTATCTGCGAGATAAGGGCACATTCTTATGAAATTTGCCTGCTGTAGGACGAGGGAGAGGGCTTGAAGACTGGAAAGAAAAAAAAAGCTTGAAACGACAAGCTCATATTAGGATCATACAAGATCAACTAAAGATGGCGACCAGGCGTCAGAAAATATGGTCCCGACGGGAATATCGTTGCCGAAAAAGGAGTAAAAGACTGACAAAATTGTTTAAAAGCCTCTCGAGGTTGTGATCATGACATGAATGCGAAATGCGAAAAAAAAATCTGTAGACACGAGAAGCCTGAGATGAGCGGATATACGTTTTATTCTTTTGAAAGGAAAAATAAATTGACATAACCATGAAGCAATCGAATTAAGATATGCATTATGAGCTCCGAAAGATCAGGGAGGGCATAATTTTGCTCATTAGTGCTTAAGTAAGAACAAATTGGAAACAAAAAGCATATGCATGGGAAGCTCTTGGGTGATATGTATACTTAGAATCATATATGCATGCTACTCAAACCTTGCTTCTAATACAGTTGAGCATTTGGGCGAATTGAGACGGATTAATTGCCCTACTCTTGAAGCCGGAGTTTCAAGCAACTCTTGAAAGTTACAAAAAGAACACTGGAATACAAGTAGAGAAGATGATGTCAACGCTATAGAAGTCTAAGGATGTGTAGCATGAGCTATGAGAGGACCTAGTTTATGGACAAATGGGAGACTAGATCAAGAAAAGACTGAAGATGACTAAGAGAAAACGCGTGCTCAGAGTAGAAGCTTGGCAGACGAATGAAAAGAGAGCGAGCAATAGAGAGGGTGTGAGGAGCAAGAGGACGGACGGACGAATCGAGAAAGCAGAAATGAGGGCTGTTGGCTGGTGTGTGGCTGGCCATTTATGGAAAAACGGAATGAGAAAGAAAAAGAGAAACGAGTGTGGCAGAGGGAGAGAAAACATAAAAAGAAAGAGAAGGAGGGTAGCCATGTGTTGCCAAGTGGACTGATGCTGTCAGTATCTTTGTCGTCGTGTTGTAGTCGACGGCGTCGTCTGGGTGGCAATAGCGCGATGAGTAGTCAAACAAACAACCAATTCATATAAATTCAAATGAAAACGGGTATAATGGATTAGTTATCAATGAAAGACGTCCGAAAATCACGCATTTTGCCAAAATAACGAGGAGAAATCAAAAAATATTTTTTATTATGCCAACAGCGCATTGGTTCAGTGAGAGATTTTAGGAAGAGGATAATTTGAATGACTACTTCAAAACTTTTTTTTTTCGTCGAAATAAACAGAGTACGGTATTTATGTTAGCTGTTTACAACATGTGCACTAATTAGCATACAATTACCACGTGCTTACGTGGTTCGACGAAATGGTTAAAGTCATTTCATTCCGTCTTACATGGACGCACAGATCGGTTGTTTCTGTTTTTTTTCTCGTTTTCGAGAAAATGGAAAATGTTTTGAATCGCGATGTATTTACAAACTTCATGATGCCATCAATGGCACATGTTTCTTGATGCTGTGCACATTCTAATTTATGATCATATCTCAAGCAGAAACGAATGTAAAGACTTCCGTTCGTTTTTACGGATCAAGAAACTGACAACAAACATAATGAAATGAAATATGTGGAGTTCTTGGAGAGAGATGAGCATGAAAACAGAATACTTCGAAGACTATTGCTGGATTCTGATGAGTTTTCAGCTTTTTCATTACAATTCAATCTCTCTTATCCTCTCATCTCCAAATAAATTTCTCTCACCATCTCACTATTGCTCAGTTCGTAGCTCATACCTTCTGTTACTTCAATTTGTGTCATTTTAAAAAGAAATAAAGAGAGAGAGCAGTGGATAATCAATTACTTTAATTACAAGCATTTGTATGTGTACTTAACGATAATTCTTTATCGTCCGGAAGTAACATTCCGGTAATCACTACTCGTCTCTCTTTCAGTGTTCGAATTTACATATTCGGCATAATAGTAATTCGTTGTAATTATACTATATACACATACACATGTAATCTGTAGAAGTACTGATGTACTTGCAGGAAAGAAGATAGAAACGTTTGACATATTTGAGCCTCTCATGAGTTATCTATCTATTTGGTTGGCCTGATGCAAACGGAAGCCATATTTGGTAATTCAATAGTAAATCGAGTGTAGGGACCGCCGTCGGAGCTTTTCTCTTTTCAATATGTATCTCAGCACGTCTATTCTACAATTTTTCATAAAGACGGAAAGATGTTTTGAAAATCTTGGAAATGAAATTATATAAAGACAAAAACGAAGCTGAAATACGAAATATGGGAGAGTTGAAAGCGCGTCCCACACATTCACACTCACCACATCTGGTGTACATCGAAATATGAAAATTAATTTTTTCAATGAATTTTCTATAAAAATTGATTGAATGAATGAAGAACAGAGAGCCGGCTGAAGTTAATAGTGAATAGGAAAATAGTAAAAGAAGGGGAGAAGAAGGATTATAGATGCATGCCCATATATAGCATGGCAATGCATATACTACTTCATATATCTAACGGACACACACATTCACACACAGACACACATACTAACCGAAAACCAAGAAAAAAAAATTTTTTTTTTATTGAGGTTAACAACGCGATATCAGTTAAATCCTGATCGATGTTAACTTCAGACGACTTCCTATCACATGCCAATTAGGTTTTGCTGTTGTGCAGTTGTGAGTGAGAAAGCGAGTAACTCCAAATCAATAGTTATACACAAATTAAGAAATAAAAAAAAAGAAAGAGTGAATTGACGAACAAACAGACACACACACACATACTAATCGTCAATGAATTGCTCGTCTGCAGATGATGCCGGCTATGAAAGAGCTTTAACAGCCACAATCTTGATTGTTCAATTAATAGGAAACAAAAATAACAAATGTATTTAAGCTTGAACAAAGTCAAAGCTGAGAATATCTAATCTCAATCAGATAATTACACTTGTCTTTCTCATTGAATGACGTATGCCTCTCAACGGACTTACAAATAACATTTTCTACGAAAAATTATGTTTGAGCACTAGATCCTTAATGAGCCTCACTAAATTCTTGTTGTGACTTTTATTTTTTCAATGTCAATACTTTAATACTCTAAGAAGAGTATCCAAAAGTCGTCGTCTTGCGATTGTTGACCATTGGCGTTGAAGTTTATGCAGCTTGCGAAGACTAGATATCACCTCTCCCCCTTCCTCCCCCCGCCCTGCTATTTTATCAGAAAAAAATCTTTCAAACTCCATTCTTTATCACCAAACCCATACCAACTCGAGATGTGAAGTAGAATCGTTATCAATCTTTGAACAACCCGCTTTCAGCGTGCAAGAACGGAAAAGAAGACGGATGCGCTTGAAGTAAGAAAACAAAGTCACTCAAGTAATAGAAGTATAAGGATTATATTCTATCATTTGTGACATTCAGATAAGACAAGGGTACTACATCCTAACATCTTCAAGCAAATTCCTTCTTTGGCAACTCTATACATGTCTTCTTCATAGGGAGTGGAGGTACGGAGAAGGGGGGGTTGAATGATAGTCTTCATCGAATGTCGATACCGTTTAATGATCATTGAAAGATAGTTAAAGATGTCATCAAAAATTGAGAGCCACGTGATAAAAGTATAATTATCAAGATTCCGGGTTATGAAAAGGAAATGTGTAAAGGACGATGCGTCCTCTAGCTTTATCAAACATTCTTTCAAACAGATAATGTTCGTTGTAGCCTATATAAGCTTGGCTAGAGAGATTACATACACAGACTTCTAACTTCTTAGAATAATGTCCTCAAAATTAGTTGTTTTGCTTGCCCTTGCTGCTTCTGCATTCGCTTGTGATGTTCAATGGCCAAACACTACCAACACTGAAATCACTTGGTGGCAATGCGGAGGTCAAATCCAATTCACTAGTGCCAAGCCTACTGATATGAAAGGTTAGTCCATCCATTGTGTAACTTTCAAACTGAAAATCTCATTGTTTGCAGGAAACTACGAATATCCAATTCATCTCAGCAAGCCATTATTAATCGTTACTGATGCCAATAACCCAAAGAACGTTTACGACAAGCCAAATCTCAAGCAGGTATTGTTAACTTCCGCCATATAGCCTTAATGCCCATTTCTGCAGACTATCAATGTGTGGTCCTGGACTACCAGCTGCACCTGGTCTTCCGTTCCAACCTTCGGATTATTGTAAGTTTCAAAATCATTTTTTTCTGGCATCACAACCATCTCAATTGCAGGAAAAACTTGGATGCTTGCACTAATGGAGTTCAATGCCCAATTAAGACTGGCAAACAGGTGCTCAAGTTTGAGCTCGATTTCTCCGACTACGGAACCATTATCAATCTCTTGAAAGATAATGCTCCCTATCAATTGGAGTACGAGTTGCACGATACCAAATTAGGACAAGCTGCTTGCATCATGTTCCAAGCTAAGGCTTTCATCACATAACTCGCTCATAATCTCAAATAATCATGTACATTTCTGTAATGTTTGTAAAAAAAATCAAACGCAACACCCTTAATAACTGCAAATAAAAAACTTTAATAATCTATATTCTATGATGTTTGACACGAATAAGAATGACAGCCATTGGTGACAAGAGTAGAATGCCGATAACAGCTTCTTCTAACCGTTGGTGTGTTTATCAGAATGCAACCGTTCAGAACGTGATTAGCTATAGCTATGTCCATATATGGAAATATTATTTAACATATAATAATATATTTAAAATGATTAAGTTAATTATAAAAACTTTTTCATTTGAATAAAGTCAATCATCCATTTGACATTTTTCATTTTCATATTAAAATTTGAAGGAAAAACCTGTCTGATGGAACAAGTTGTTATAACAATTCTATTCATAAACATAAATACCTGAAAATGAAGATAGATTATGAATAAATTATATAAATATAGAGAGGTTTAGAGAGAGAGAGACAAATGAACGAAACTCAAAGAGTAAAGTTGTTCTGGACTTATTTCGGCTGTTCGTCTGTTCAAATTGTCCTCAAAGCCATAATAGTCATAGAGAGCCTTACCTTTCTCTCTCTCACTCTCCTTCTCTCTCTCTCTCTTACTCTCTCATTCTCTCTTTATGGGTTTTACCTTTCTTTTATTCTTTTCATACCATGTACTCTCTTCAAATTGTCTGTTCTCTTCCGGTTTTCCGCCCTTTCACATGTGTGTGGTCATTTCGAGGTCATTTCAGGTATACACTGAACATTTGTTTTCAAAATGATTTAGCCGTGGATCCATTACATAGCCTTGGAGGAATCTTAATTTATAATATTATTCTCATCATTATATCTATTATGTATGTTACATCTGCTTGTTGTCTTATATGTATGTAACTATGTGTTGAAGATTAAGTGAATGTTGATGTTGAGCCTTTCAAGCACCCCTCCCCATTTCCTCGAGTGTATTGCTACCTGAAGAGATTTTGAAGAATGAGCACTAAAACCGTCAAAGAATCAAACCAACCATAACATTGGGTCCTCAGCACACTCTCTACTTGTATATGTTACTTGCTATTCAAATCAATTTTCATATCTTCCATATATTACAATAGTCTAAACTGAATAACATATTTCAATATGCATACTATATGAATGAGCTTGTCTTGTGCTCCTAATGAATATCCATTGAACTGTTTTGAATCATCTGAATCTATAGGAGTATTGGATAGTCAGTAAGTGACAGTCTCAACAAGATGCCGACAAGTGTCAGACTATCAGATTATCTTCTATGATCATCAGACATTGTTCCGCTTTTTACCTGAGATCTCTTCACATTGTTAATGAGGGTGGATGATCAAGGATGATTTGAGGATTGACATCCTATCATTATGATTTGAGTCGTCATCAAACTATCGTCCTTCTATGCAATATCAAATATATTTTCGTCAAATCTCATCTTCTCCATGCAACCTCCGGAATACACAGTTGTCATCACTATTCTCTTTCTTCATTCACCCACCATCAGCTCGTTTGACCGTGAATATATAAAATTGAAATTCTTACCGTGCAAGAGGCTATGCATGCATCAAATCTCAATCTATCCATTATAATCTTTCAAAAATCATTATTGTACTTACTTCAATCCCTCCTCGCATTACTGAGCATACGCATATCGTTCTGTCTTCCGATTATCCTAAAAAGGAATTGACCAATAGGTCGTTGAGGATAGCTGTAGTTGTCTCTCTGAAATTTCATCTCACACTCCCCCCTCACTTCTTCCCCTCCACACCCCGACTACCACTAGCAATCTTCATCTCACTCAAAATCTGTGGGGGGTGCCGACGACTTCTTGTCTTTCTTCTGCATTATTATAATTTCCTCCATTTTCACCTTTCTTATGTTGCCCTTACATGGATATGTTGCCGAATAATGAAAACATGAATGAGAGAAGATCGGAAGCGGATAACTAGAAATGGGTCAATATTCTGTTGTTCAGCGTTTAATCATCAGAATCGTTTGTCCTCCATCTTCCTATATCTTGAACATTTGCATATATTTTTCGAAAAACCCTTTTTCCTGCTTCTTCACCTGCACAACGTTGCTTGTTGTGTCTGTTCGTTGTGATTGTATCCAATTGCTTGCGTCTCAAGAGAGAACATCCAATTAGGTGATAATATGACCGATGAGAATTATTTTTTATTTCCAAAATACTTAAAATGGCTTTTAAAACAGGATAACCTTGAAAGTTTAAGAGAAGAATTGCCTTTAATGTCATTTATATCTGATTTTCATTTCACACAATCAATAGCAAACACTTGTTTACTCGTAATGCATACTCCTACTCCCCCTCTTCTCCTTCTCTTTCTCTCTCTCTCTCTCTCTCAATTCATTCATAACAGTTCTTAAGAGAGAATATATGAAAAACTGTCAAATCTCAAAATTCTCCTCACAACTTACATCTGCGTTGTTGTTAAAATCATCATCATCTCAACTTATTGCTAGTGAAGAAGAAACTGGTCTGTTTCTTGTTGCTTCCCATTTATGACATTCCTCCAACGACTTCTTCTCTTCTCTTCAACATCATTTCTTACTATGTATTCTTCATTATGACTCACTCTCTATATGCAATATTCCAAATAATCCATTGTTTTTCCTCACACAAAACCATCTTCAAACTAAGATTTTTCATTTTCGTCCGTTCCAACCTAGCCTTTTGCATATTTCAATCCAACCTAGTAAGCAACATTCAGATCGGATTTTCGAAATGGATCGCCCTAGGCGTTCCATTGAACAAGTCGAGGTCATCGAACATCGAATCATCGAAGAAGGGCGACGACCAGCTCGAGCAGGCGGTTCGTTTTAATAGTACAATAGAATTAATATAATTGCTTACGCAGTTATTGAATACATATTACAAATGAGAATAATCACTCACAAAAACGTCTTACAGGTTCGTCCGTACCTTATACGACAATTCGAAAATCGACCGAAACCTTTGAAACACGCGACGGTGATTTCGACAGGTAAAGACGTTTGTTCTAAACTAGTTCAGAAAAACAAATTCACGTGCTATACTGTTCCTGATTTTCTTTCAGATACCAATTAACTGGAGAGAATGACGTAAGTCGCGAGCCATCATTCATCCACGATTCAGCCAGTGCGTTTGTTCCTATTTAGCTTGTTGCCTAATATAGTCATTTATAGATTATGGTCAACATATAGAACTCTCACCTACAAGAAACTACTTGAACACATCAGGTATGTATCAATCTTGAACAGCTCTGAAAAAAAAAAACCAACCGTGCTTTCACGCCGTTCAGTTTTGAAATGAAGACACCAGTTATTAGGTCGCGGGTGAAATTAGCATTCCAGGTTTAAACACATCAGGACCTCGAGTAGAATTCGCCGATACAACAAACAACACAACTGTCATCAATAACTTTGGTTATGACGTACACGAGATTCATACCTCAGGTCAGTTCTGACAGAGTGAGAAACATGGTTTTCTAAATATAGACGGAGGCGCACGAATAGTCGAAACACACGGTTCAGGACCTCTGCGGGATCACTCGAGACTCGAGTCAACACGAATTGAAGAGGTAAACTCTAAATAAAAAAGAAAATCTAAATAACCTTTTAGGATGATCGTCCAGGAGTTACCTCTGCTTTGAGAAGTGGAGCAATAGGCGGAATGAGGTAAGAAGGATTCTATGAAATATTTGAAAACCTTGGACATTCAGGAATGCTTCCTCCAATCCAATTTTCACCGTCCAATCGCCCATCTCCAATAGGAATGATAGTTATCGAATTTCGGACACTGAGTAGGTTTCTAAAAAGAGTTTCTATCGCATAACGATTGATTATTGAAAGAGCGTGTATAAGCCTCTTTTGAAAAGAAAAAATGAAGTTGGGGGGATAGAGAATCGGACATACATATAATAGATTTCATACTTGTTTATATATTATAACTATCAATGACATAATCAATGTCGCAGAACTATTCAAACAGTTCTATTCTGGTCTGATTCTTCCCATCTTTCAACATTCTTACTACTCCAATCAATAACACAGTCTTCTGTTTCTGTTAAAATACTAAAAATATGAATTCGCAAGAGCTTCCTAATGGCCCACCGAGGTTAACAAAACTTCTTCCTCATCATCTTCTTATACTCATTCTTCTCGTGTTGCAGGTCATTTGCTCGAAAGGACAGTTACAAGAGAATGCAACAATCAGATGAACTCATGGGATCACTCAATGTTTCCAATAAATCATTTGTAGTAAGTGGTTTCTCCTGTATTAATGAAGTTATCAATTGCATTGCAGCCCCAATCACAAGCTTCTCTAGTCAGTCGTAGTACTCGCCCAGAAGGCTCGAATCAAGGATGGTTTGCCAGAACAAAAGCCTACGTCGTTTCTCTCATCGATCATTTTCGGTAATCCTTTCTTATCTGGCTTTTATGAACAAATCTGTTTTCAGCAACATCGAATACACTCCCAAGCTTTTGGCTCACCTTTGCTGTATTCTCTTCTTCCTTGTTCTTCTGATCATTCTATTGGGAATTGTTTTGAATGCCCTGTTCCATAGATATGCCGTGAGTTTCCCTGTCTGCAAGATGGTCAACGTTCTTCTTTCTCAGGTGACAGAATTCCTGTTATACCCACCAGTGTGCGAGGAATGTCGCAGACGGAATCCTTCGCTAACCACCAATTCCTTACCCTCATCTGTATTTATCCATTTCTATTCTTCCTGTTTGTTTTTTTTTCACCCAAATTAGTATCCTTTTATTTCCAGCTCAAGCCCATTTTGAATTACGCGGAAACTCACCTTTCAAGAGTAACAGCTTCACAGCTATTGACTTCCAAACTGTCAGTGACCTATTCAATGATCACATATTTCATTTTATATTATAGGGCTACGTAGCCATTGCCGATCATGCGTTGACAGATTCCAACGGAAGACATACCACCTGTTTCCTCATGCCACTTGATCGTTCCGCTATAAACAGCATTGACGAGTTATCGGAGGCTGTGACAGACAGCTCTTACGAGGTTTTTTTTTGTTGAATTACACCAAAAAGCAATGAGCTGCTCCAGATTCAATCTACATTCGGCTGGCAAGAGTTCTGGCAATTCGAAGCGGAGGCTATTGATTCACTTACGGCCAATTCAAAATTCACTTATCCAGTACGCGATTGTTCGGGTGCGAAATGGTATCTTCTTAAGCAGAGTGTACATGCTAGAGGTGAGAAAAGTAGTTTTACTGAAAGAAACCAGTTGTTCAGATGTTGCATGTTCTGACTGCTATGACTTCTGCCTTCCCGATTGGGCCGTTGTACGCAAAGAGAAGTATGAAGATGAAAGTACTCTCGGTATAAGACGTTTGGATTGTTTCCGTCTCTACGTTCCGGAGTGGCGTAACTTCAGGTAAGGACTTGATAAACCTGCGCTCGTATCAATTTGTCGCTTCAGAGTTGAAACTGATATATCTGGCGGTCATTGGCAATATCCTTTAGCTTCGGAAAGTACCAAGCGTGATCAAGATGGTGAATGGGTATCTTGGGTTGCAACTGGTAAAGGATTGCCGTTCCAACAAGCGCGTAAGAGGAGGTAGATCCCATGCAATTAGCTGTTGTGCAGTATTATGAATCCAGTGATGATTGTTGTGTAGAAATCGTATACTAATTCCTCTGTGAACATATCTTTCTGAGTTCTTTCTATGGATGACATTGTATTTAAAAAATCTTTTTTGATCTTCGTAACTGCTCATATCATAATAATAATTAATAATAACAAAAAAAAGTGAATGAATCATTTCTTAAATGAGATAAATGACTAGAAAATCTGTTCGAATCACAAGCAAACCCGAAGACATATAGTACATTGATAAGTTTTCTATCACAGGTATTGATATTGATATAGATATATACGTATTCTCAGTCTTCCTCATTCATTAGTCTTTCACGTAAATCTCGATCGATCATACGTCTCTTCTTGAGGATGTAATCAAGGATGAGACCACTACCAAATAGAACTGTTGTGAAGGCCAGAAAACATATTGTTCCTGTAAGAACCATATTTGATTGTCACAACTGTGTGAGAACGAGTACCTATGTACATAGCTTCCGACCTTTTTGGATCTCCCAACCCACATTCTATTTCCCAGTTTTGAGGTAACACACTGAAACGAACCTTCGTCTTTCTAACTTCAATCGTTAACGCTCACCTCTGATATATGCGTTGAAAGTCTTGAGGTGAACAACCATTCTCGCAACCATCAATGCTATATTTGTAAACATCATCGATTCCGGTTTGATTTTTATGATAAATCTGAAAAAATCACTTATGCTAATTAACATACGCCATTTTGACGTCAACTGCAGACAACGCCTAATTTCGTTTCCTGCTTTTCATAAGTGGTGATCGGCCTTGCATACACAAGGTGACTACACGTTACTAACCTCTAGAATATACTTATCAGATACTTTGTGTAATTCAAATAGCAGAACGGTTGCATACAGGGGGAATGTTTCTGGGAAGATATTCAAGGCAGATAATACTGCATATATTGAAGTATCATGCTGGAAAATGGAAGGAAGGTAAGAATGTGCGCACTAAGCTATTACTGCTGAATAGGCATACAACCGCATATTCTTTCCGAAGACACCATCAGTCTTCTCCACGAATCTGTCAAGTATTTCTTTCAAAAGTGGTCCTTGAAACAACTACCAATTAACCACTTTACATCAATGGCTCAAACCTCCTCGAAGTCGACGCAGGACATCAGTCGAGAATGTATAACGTGATTGTTTGTTATACAACTCTACTACTTGGTTATATATGGTTTGATTAACCCAGTTAGGCCAAGGATTAGTATCGTTATGTTGAAGCTGGAATCAAACATCTATTTCAAACATTTTGGTTCAATTGAGATCAACCTGACACGTCAGTACATCATAGACCTTCCAAACGTCTTCGACTGGAAGGGCAGTTCCATTCATATGCTCACGTAGATAATGAAGAAGATCTTTGTATTTCTCTTCAAGATCTTTCATTTCCTTCATCTTAGAGATGTCTCTGGTCGCCTGATCTGCCACAGGACACAACATGACTTCATTAAGCTCCTAAAAAAATAATATGAAAGTCTAATTTTCACAATTACCTTATCAATATTCTGTGGTTTTGAATGAATTGGAATGGGCTGCCAACGAACAGTGGGCTCAATCATAGCATCGTCAGCGGCAGGATAGAAACCTACAAAGATTTTTTACGAACAGTATCCTGCATGTATGCATATTTACCTGCCATATTGGCTAACGCTGACATGATCGTTCTGTTATAATCAGAGCTTCTGACGTAGACCTGAAGATTGGAATGCTTTATTACGAAAAAGCCAAACCATACCTCGTCGCGATGATACTTCTCTGGAAGCCATTCAGCATATCTCATTCTCATCCATTTGCCGAGATGGTACTGTTGAACTTAAATGGCACATTGACATATAGCTAAGGAAATCGTGCGGAAAGTGGGGGTGGGGGAGGTGGGAGTGAGATCACGATAGGTGAAGACTGATAATCTCACTCACTCAATCCAATCTTTGTCATTTCACCCAAGCCTTCCTTCCATCCATCGATGTTATCAAATGGCAAAGAAACAGCAGGTGTACGATCACCATGTCTCCAGACCTGTAAGAACCATGAATCACACGTAGTCAAGGGAGTGATACCGTTTGGAAAAAAACAAGAGTATCGGCATTAGTTTTCTGCTCTGCTTTCTCAATAAGTAGTGAAGATGTTAGATGGATAGAGCTAAGTAGTAGAAGCCATTTGACCATACTATAAGCTTGTTGCTGCAGTGAGACTGTTGCGCAAGAAGATATAAGCAATGCTATGAACATGGCAATTTGATAACAACAGGTTGGAAATAGTTTTTAATATAGAAAACAGCATGATATCAATCTGTTGTAAGATTATTATGCTATGAACGTTAGTTGGAACGCTTGTATGCAAAGAAAAACAACATAAAAAGAAAATGGAAAAGAACAGATTCATATCGCTTTCTTTTGGCTTAACATAGATGGAAAGAGAAGAACTTTCGGCACCAGGAACGCAACCTTTGTCTATATACATATTAGGATGGAAAGAGAAGAAATACATTTGCATCAAAACACGCAAACAGATAACATTCTAAAGATATGTGACAAGTAGTAATAAATAGAAACTAGACAATAGGAAATCGGAAATATATAGAATCTAACAATGCGGCGACAGCTTTCCATTTGAGAAACTCAAGAGCAGACGTTGGAAGCGGAACATACTTTTGCAAACACGTGATAAGAACAATGAGAGGGAAGAAACTGTCATTATGATGATCGGTATAATCTTTATCTTCATGGCTTCTTAAGATGCATCTAAACGTAGTTACAGCACTTGTTCATTTTCCGGGCTTGGGTGTAGAACAGTTTCGATTGGTCGGATAAATTCTCACTCTTCTTGACCAAGTCGTCTAGTTTCTCTCCGCGGTCCAGAACAGATTGGATGGTGTTGTGCATAACTATTTTCGTTTCTTCAACTTCTTCCTGAAAATGAAGGGTAAGCTCTGAACATGTTATGCTAAACATACTTGAACTCTAGTCATAGGGTCAGCTTCACGGGGAGTTTGCCATTTCTTTAACAGATCTTCCAATCCAGCGTAGGTACAATCTTTTTCAGTCTGGATTTGCTTCTAAAACAAGACGGGCATTAGGAGCAGCAGAATTAATAGACTCACCCATTGGACAGAAGGGACCTTGGCAGTGAAATCATCCAAAACTCGTGTCATGAAAGACATGGCTACACGTGCCTAGATGAACAAACTCATGAAAGGTAAAGTATTGGAGACAAACTTGATATTCAGCATCTGTAACACTCACTGCAGCTAAACCATCAGCTCTAACATAACAGTGAAGATAGTATTCATTCTCCTTGACACTACTGCGAGCACCTACAACATTTGCAAAAGTTAGATGATAAGGACATATCAAGCAAACCCATTCCAGATCTCTCTACAAGAAGTCTTCCTGTGAATAACATAAACTCCTTGAAATAGAACATTATCTATTGATCGAAAACTGAATAATGTACCTGGACAGAGCCTCTTTGGAAGAACCCGAAGGAGGAAAGGTCATATTGAGCCTTGAAGGGACGAACAGTTCCCTCTGGACTTTTGTGGTAAACCATAATAGAATAGAGCTTCATGGCTATCTAAAGAGAAGAAAATGAAAAGTTGATATCAGAACTATCACGAGTATTGCAAGATAAATACGGAATGAACCGAATAAGAAAAGAAGCGAAGAAGAAAAAAAGACTTTAAATGAATGATCAACAATAACAAAAACTATAAATAACCCGTGTCTAAACTTGAATCAATTCACAAAATTGATGAAATCGTGGTATACCACTTCTCATTGAAAACATTTTCTGAAAATCTTTTAGTAGAATCGCGAGCTGCCTCACGTATAGCATTTCTTTCATTTACAGATTTTGATAGGATTTCTTCTATACTCTTCACATAGTCTATAAACACCACTATAACGCAGATATTGATGAAGCACAACTCACCTGCTCTTGTATCCGCCAAGTACCCAACTTGTTGTTTCTTTTTCGTATCCTTAACCACGATATCCTTTTTTGGTCCAGCTATGCATGTTGACATGATGCTTTTCAAATTGAATAACTTATTTACCTGAGTTGTGAGCAACCATTATGGTTCCTGCAGCAAGCCCTTCCACTACAGAGATTCCGAAATGTTCATTCGTCATTGTGTGGATGGAAATCAATGATTTCTAAAAATAAAAAATAACCATAAGACATTATAGTTCTTCAAAGAAAAGAACAACCGCACGCGCCTACATCATAATGGGAAATGAAGTGCATCTCACGTGAGACAATACGTGGGCCCACGTGAACGCGAGAACATGCATAATAATAACAATAATAATAAACTTACACCCATGGTGTCTAAAAGGTCATCAAAGGAGATGTTGAGAAGAAAATCAACATCAGACTCGACACCCAACTCTTTGGCATAAGCCTATAAACAAGGAAGTTTAAGAAAAAAGTTTGTGCTCAGCTAACCTTCAAATCGCGTGCGCGCTGTTCATCTTCAGCGCCTCTACATCCTCCAGCTATAGCTAGTTGAACCTGAAATGACACTTAGAGCAATTAGGAGATTTGATTTAAGTAACTCAAAGAGTCAAAAATCAACAAATTCGATTAAGAAATTTCAGAAAGGCGGGATAACTGAAGCGAAATGGTTGGATGCCAGTTGTTTCATATACAATGAATAATAGTCCCAAATTGGATTGTCGAAAGAAGAGAAATATTATGGAATTTCAAGACAAAAGGCTAATTCCAAAAAAATGTTGTTGACGCATTTAACAAAATCCCAAATCTCCCTCTCGTAGTCTCTCTCTCTCTCTCTCTTTTCTATAGAAACATACTTTGAGATTACGTTGCTCCGCGAAAGCCTTCACATCTTTCAGAACTTCCAATTGCAGACGATGATTCTTCTCTGGCCTTATTTGACCAACAGAAACAATTCGAACAACATTATCGGAAGCGAACCTTCAACTAATGATGGTTAAGGAATGAGTAATAGAACGACTAACCATGTTTCCGCGTTTTGCTCCAACATCAGAAATGAGGAAACGTCACATGGGGGGAAGACTACGACAGGAGATACTCCCCATAACCGTTTGATGTGCTCACATGTCCAACTGGAAAAGGCAAAAATTGAAATTTATAGTTAACATGTTTATGCCAACCTTCCATTCACCATAACAACATCAGCCGCTTTTCCGGCTAATCCGTAAACCAAGGCGAATATTTCTGCAAAGAAAGAGAAGAATAAGAAATCAGAGAGGAATCATAAACATACTATAATAGAGCAATTTGAGTTTACTCAGAATTGAAGATCTCACAATAAGCTCGGAATTATTGTATGATTCTTGACGACGTTCCACTAAGTCAATCATATCTTGACGAAAAAACAAATTGGATTAAGTTTCCACAAACAAGGCTTACCACATGATATAGTGGGATAATGAACATAAGCAGCAACTTTGCACCCTCCGATGAACTTGAAAAGTGGCAGAGTGAACGGATAGCCCATACTATCAATGAATACCTACACATACAAAGAGATGTTTTCGAGTTCAGTTTCAATGAGCTACCTCAGGATTGACTTTGAGAAGAGCTTCGAATCCTAGGACGAAACCAAAAATAGTTTGGAGAAGGAGAGTGAATCGAGGATATAGATCGGCTTCGACTAATCGACGCAATCTTGAACAGGTTCGGTTCGAGAAAAGAATTCCACTCCATATTACCTCAAATATTCAAAGGTGATGTTATCAGGGTCGATTTCAATTCCGAATCTCTGTTTAGCTTTCAGCAAGATTTGTTCTTTCGTAGCATCCCGATCCCCGGTGAACACGATATAGTTCTTGGACGGGAACCTGAAACATGTGGAAGTTCAAGTGGGGAAGGATAGAAAAAAAACTTTTTCTGTAATGAACTGATTCCACACCACAACACACGCTCGCCTCCGCCTCCCGCATTGCAATATGGATGAAAGAAGGCTACGACATTTGCTTGTCTAAAAGTGGAGAAAACAAGTCAAGCTTCATTTGCATCCAACACCATTTACCTTCTTAAGCGGACCAACACCAAGAAAATGACTAGTGACAAGATCAAGTAAAGCATTTTGTTATTATTCACAAGCACATAAGTATCATACAAGTAGTACAGTTGTCCAACCTGAAGAATGGAGTGTAAGTGATGATGGCACGTGTTCACATAGGTCAAACGAAATCGAGAAGGTCCAAAGAAATTCAAATGACAGTTTAAGCTGAGAAAGTAGTCAAAGGGAGCAGCAGGCGGCAGCTGTGCCAGAAAACAAAGCCTTTTACGTCATCACATAATTTAGCCACGTATCGATTTAACCCGCTAATGGTCTGCGTCTCCATTAATAGCATTTTCTTTTAAAATAACTCAGAAAGTGACCAAATCAAGTGAGAGTCAATAGTCAGACAAGTTATGAGAATGTGATGTTTTCAATGTTCTTCTCATTGTCTTATTCGTCATATTTGAGGAGCTGATGAATAGTGCAACAAGTCCATAAGGAAAAAGGAGCTCTCTACCAGAGGAACAAAAACCTTATAAAAGGATGACGATAAATGGCAGAAAGTGCAGTCGATATGGCAGCTCTGTTTGCGTCGTGTGACTAAAAGCATTTCCATTCAGAAATGCTACTAATGTATAAAGACGAAAGGATAATGTAAAGAACAGATTTTCAGGAGAGAAGGCGAATAACAATATCTTTTAAAATCCCGAAACCGTCATTCTGTCTCTCAAATTAGAATCTACGAGACAATCCTTCAGGCAATGAAAGGAGCCAATCAATAATTTGACGAAAATTTGCATATTATGACGTGGCGAAAACATTTCGCGACGTCGTAATCATTTTGTTTCTTGAAAGCAAATAAAGCGGTTGTATGTTTCCGTTCATTTTTTGTTCATATCATTCATCCAACACATACGCACATAAACAGTTGCATTTAATGATGTTTAAAGAAGGTAAGGCAAATGTAATATAAAAAGAAATGGTAGGTGCTTCAAGGGTTTAATTATGACCACAAAGAGTGACGTGGAAAGCAGTGTGAAATGACAAGAGACATCCGATCAAGTGGGACAAGACATTTTTCATTTTAACGGGTCATTAACTTCCATTTCAATGCATTTTAATAAATGCTAAAGTAAACAACTAAATTAATATGAAAAAGGAGATATATGAAATGAAGTTGAGTTGTAGAGATACAGACAACATACACATATTCATAATTTAAAATGTGGGGTGACAGGGAGGGGGGGGATGAAATGTATGTGTGTGTGTACTAATCGATAATTCAACAATAGTTCATTTGTCTGGAATCGAGCGCACTGGTGGGCGTGTATGATTCAATTTTTTTTCTTTGTTTTTGTGTATTGTTTGTAAGCTATTTTGTTTGTTTTTTGCTTCTTACTTAATATCGAAAAAAATTTCAAATTGTTTACAGATAATGAGTGTTATCGTCCGCTCTTACCTCAACCAGTCAATTTCGATGCGGTAACGATGATCATACCGAAGATTATGACCAGTTTTTTAAAGGAAGGAGTTGTCTAGCTGTTACAACATTTATACAGTTGATCATACGCCAAACTTGCCCCTACTGTGTTCACTCGAAGTGATAAGTCTATCATCTTTCCGATATCTTATATATATGTGTGTCTTATACCAATTTTCTGTAATTTATCATCTAAACAACTGGTTGTCGAATACATAAGTTGTTATATTTGTACATTTGGATGTTTTGAACATTCTAATTCTTTGTTTTCTTCATTCTTGTTGCTCGACGTTTGTTCAGAACGATCTCATCCACGCATTGTTTTTGACTCGCATAAACTATTTCTCAATCTCCTTCATTTCTGTTGAGTTCAATTTAGTTTTGCAACGATGGCCATACACAAAAATGAAATCTCTGAGAGAGATATGCAGAATATTCATGAGTTGAGAAGTTTAGTCAAAGGCGATCTGACGTCTTACTACGATACCGATTTCAATCTTCTACGATGGCTACAGGGTCATTCCAGCTTGAGTATTCCAGAGATTGCAAGAAAGCTGACGCATCATCTCAAACTGCGGTAAAGGCAGGCTATTGTATTCATTCGCCATCTTCTTCAGCAAGTCTTATTGGGATCTGGATAGTTACACTCAGGGAGAGCGTAATCATCCCATTCACAATCATTGGCGTAGAGGAATCACCGGCAAATCTCAAATTCTTGAGAATGTGATAGTGAATGTTGAGCAGGTTCCAATGATATGTAATATAACAACTTTTCTTTGTAACTAGTGTGGAACAACTGATTATAGTGGCATGATGGAGAGCTTCTCAGTATCAGAAATAATGAGAGCTCGTACATACGACCTCGAAGAGATGCTCGCAAGTTGTATGCGATTGGAAGAAGAAACAGGCAAGGCATTTGGGTGATCTACCACTTTCTCTTTTGCAGGAAAGCAAGCATGGATTCTCTACGTGATGGACATAACAGGCTTAGAATATAATAAAAAACTGTATGACCTTGTGACTGGATCAATGAAAGCCTTGGCAGATTTCATGGCTGAGCACTACGTGGAGATGATCAAAGTCGTTTTTCTTAATCAAAGATATTATAAGAAGAGTCTGATTGCAGTTTTTTGTTCCTGTTGCTATGCCAACGTTTGCCACAGCATTATATACAGTACTGCGACCTCTGCTACCAGAAAGGACAAAGCATAAGGTTGGCAGTATCGACTCAAAACTGACAATAGAAATTCGCCAGGTTGTTATGTTATCGTCAGCTCATTGGAAAGAGGAAATTCTCCAATACGCCCAAGCTGATGCTTTGCCCAGCTTCTGGAACGAAGGGAAGCATTCCTTCTCAGCTAAGCTCGAATTGCCATGCAAATATCCAATCGAAAAGTACTATGCCAATCTCAAGTTGAAAGTGCGTCTCTTTTTCACTTGCGAGAAGAATTTCGATTATTCAGGCTCCAGTTAATGCCGAACATCTGAACATCTTGGCGGGGAAGTCGCATGTTCAGACTTTTGAGCTGAAAAAGAATGATCGAATCAGCTGGTGGATCATGGGCAACCGTAATATGGGTTTCGGCTTCTTCAAAGCTGAAAAAGAAAATGAGAACGATTTCGACATGTTCGCATGACTTCACATCGTATACAGATACCACGATTTTCAGAATGAGTCAGATAACCCCGTCTTTCCCCGGAATGCCAGGACCACTGTTAGTCCCATTAGAAGAGGAAGTCACAATCAAAGAAGTATTTCAATATTATCAACAAAAAACAACGCAAGATTATTACAGGATGGAACTTACAAGATTTGGTTAGATAACTCACGTTCGTGGTGGTTTACCTTAACAGTAACACAGCTAATTGAGATACACACAGTAGATTCATAAGAATGCTAGTAAGTTTAACAATGTTCTGGTTCATCGAACACAGAACCTTCGATACCCATTTTCTCAGCGAAGTATTTCAATCTGCAGAACTCCTCACTTGTACACTTCTCCAACTGAAAGGGCTCTATTCGGATAGATACGATTGTTTCAATATACCTTTATATGTCTA